TTGAATATGTATAATTATACTGACTAGACAACTATTATATTTTATATTATTTATTTATATATACTATTTTTATATATACGGAAGTGAGATTGTCATAATATATATCGAGCTATTGTCACACAGTTTATATATATATATATATATATATATATATTATAAATAATTATTTATATACATAAACGGAATATATATATATATATATATATATATATATATATATATAAACTGTGTGACAATAGCTCGATATATATTATGATAATCTCACTTCCGTATATATAAAAATAGTATATATAAATAAATAATATAAAATATAATAGTTGTCTGGTCAGTATAATTATACATATTCAATTCCGATTCAACTTCATATACATTATGTCAAAGTTCAGCGGATACATCAGAAAATAAGAATGGGCGGGGTTAAAGTGGACATGATAATGCGATTATTATGTAGCCATATTATTGCATTTTAATGAAGTCTAGTCATTTGCGAGCTGCTTTTTTTAATATGCAGTTGTAAACACGAAAATGTATGCAGTACATATCCTTTTATAAGAGTGATGATAGTATTTTGCAGGGTTGCGTAATAACTAGTTAATTAAGAATTTTAAAAAAAGTTAATAACTTTTAACTTAGCTTAATTAACTTGCAATGTATTAATTTTTAACTTCAATTAGTTATTTCTGACTTCAAACTTATTAACTTTTTTCCAGGGTTGGAAAAGTTACTTTATAAAAGTAACTCTCGTTATTGTTACCATTATTTTTTATAAAAGTAACTCGTTACCGTTACAATTATTTAAAAGGTAACAAGTCGTTACAATTATCGTTACTTTTTTCTTTTTTATATACATATATATAATAACAAACTTATATATACACCTACACAGCACAAAATATTATGTTTTCAAAAAATATTTCTAAATATTTCTATAAAATATTGCATAAAAACATTTTAAAATGATTTTAGGAATATTTTAAAATTATTTAAAAATTTTTTGTGATAACATTTTTTAGAATATCTTTACAAACTTTTAAGAATATTTTTAAAAATGTTCTTCTTTATCGCTCAGATAATATTTTCTTAAATATTTGAGAAATATATTAGTTTAACATATTTTTGAAATATTAGTTTAAATTCATATTCAAAAATATTTTTTAAACATGAAAAAGCGGACACAGAAACATTTTAAAAATATTTTCGAGAATTATTTTATTTTTTAAAAATATTTCTAAAAGATTCATCCAAAAAATTTCTAAAAGACCAGAATTTTGTACAAATTTAAATGGTGCGCACTTTGAAAATATTTATTATTAGTTTACATGTGTGATTATCAGCACTTTTTTAATGCCTTTTTTCAATAAAATAAACAGGTATGTAAACATTTTATTTATATCCATTAAAAACTGCAGACTTTCCTCTTTCCAACACAATTTTTGTTTTCTCCAATAACTGCATGCATTAAAAAATGACAGCTGATAGTTTCAGTAATTTCCTATGGGATGCCCTCTGTATATTACAAAACAAAATTTTTTAATAAAAAAATCAAAATAAACACTTTTAATAAACATTTTTAAACATTTTTTATATTAAATTAATAGATCATTGCTAATTACTAAGTAAATTCGAAAAAAGTCATTAATTGTTATTAAATTCGTTACTATAGTTATCAAAAAATATAACGAAGTTACTTTTTCCGTTACAAGTAACGCGTTACTTCCTAATCCTGCTTTTTTCCCAAGTTAAATTTTTTAATCTCTGAATATCATATTATTATTTTTTTTATAAATTAAGAAAATTTATTATAAACTTAATTTTTTATAAACGTATTACTTTTAAATTCAAGTATTATTAATTCTTATGTTCATTTGGCATAAATTGTAATTATCAAAAAATATATTTTTATATAAAAGTCAAAATTTCTTTGTTATTTGTTATTATAAATTTTAAAGTAATGAACAAAATTCAAATTTAATATATAAATAATGTTTTTAAAAATTAACTTGTAATTTAACTTTAGTTAATTTAATCTTAATTTAACTTTAACTGAGTTAATTTTTTGTTCATGCAACTTTTATAACTTAACTAAATTAATTTTAACTTAACTAAATTAATTTTATAAGCATCTAACTATTTAACTTAGTTTAAAAAAATCATTAACTTACCTAATCGTGATATTTTGAAAGGGATAAGGCACTCTTTTAAAATACGCAGAGTTGAAATTTATTTTTCTGTGCATTGAATATTTAAATTACTACTTGAAGATAATATTTTTTTGATAAAAACTTTATTGTTATTTTATTCCTTGTAACTATACATTTTTCAAGAGGATATTATATTTTTAAAAATATTGCATTTTTTTTTAATTATTTTTAAGGGGAAAGGCTTAAAATTGTAAAAATATGAAAATTTAAAAGCATTTAATACCAACGTCTTTTTCCTTTAAAGGGATTCTTCGCGTTTGTCTGTTTTATCGACACAGTCATATATTTTCGTACTTTTAGTATATCTTTTTCTTAATTTGATAGAATTAAAAATGCTTCTCTACGCGATTGCAATGCATACATCAATAATCTTAGGGAAATTCGATTTGATATGAAAAATGAGAAATAACAGTTTTTCTTATCTATTTTCATCTTGATATGACATCTCGAATTGCAGAACTGTCCACCTTATTATAATATGTGCTTTATATAAAACATATGCACTTTGTACGAATAAAAATGCACATTCCCTGGTATTAGAGGACACGAAAAAAAGTACTGTTATCCTTTAAACCTAGATTAAAAGTTTGATAAAAATTTGTAATTAGAAATATGATTCGTACGTATATATGTGCGTGCATTGTGTATACATGCATATGTTTTGGATGTGTGCTGCTTGGGTGCATTTGTTTATGCGCAGTGACTGCCGCAGAATACCGCAGATGTCGTTTGTTTACTCCGGCTGCGCAGTTTGTTGTTCGTTTAAGGGGATCCCTCTCGATTTCTGTTTTATCGACGCAGTCGTATATTTTTGTACTTCTAGTATATCTTTTTTTTTATTTGATAGAATTAAAAATGCTTCTCTACAATTGCAATGCTTGCATCAATAATCCCAGGAAAACTCGATTCGATACAAAAAATGAGAAATACCAGATTTTCTTATCTATTTTTATTTCGATTTGACATCTCGAATTGCAGACGAACTGTCAATTTCATTACAATATGTGCTTTATATAAAACATGTGCACTTTGTACGAATAAAAATGCATATTCCCTGGGATTAGAGGACACGAAAGAAAGTACTGTTATTCTCTAAATCTATATAGATTAGAAGTCTAATAAAAATTTGTAATTAGAAATACGATTTGTACGTATGTGTGCGTGCGTTGTGTATACGTGCATATGTTTTGGATATGTGTGCTGCTATTTTGTCGGAGTTCGTCATTTGTTGAAGGATCCCCTTAAACATAACTGCAGCCTATCTGCACAACCATCTCGGAGGTCCTGCTCAGGATGCTCTGCTCACAGTACTGCGTAAACGAATGTGAAATTGCAGTTTCATTATTAAGCCGGTTGAACTTGGTTGAGCATTGCCTGAAAAATTAATTCACTATAATATATGTTTTATTCTATTTTAAAATTTTATTATATATATTTAAATAATAATTCATATTTATTTAAAACTTCTTTACTTACACATTCCAATTACAATCTGAGCAGTCAATTCACGCAGATGATCGTTCGATAAATTATGTTGCGTGACTTGCAGATGAGAGACGCAGTGGATGCGCTAATCGCTGCATAAACAAACGCACCTATTATTTTGTCGGAGTTTGTCATTAGCTGAAGAATCTCCTTAACAGGATTTTACTTTCACACGAGAGATGAGACGGTTGTGCATATTTATGCGTATATATACATATATACACATGTATATACATTATAAATATTGACCTTAAGAATCTGGCCTTTTAATATTTTAAAATAAGATATGACGCACAATTTAAATTATACATTCAATGTAAATCAATATATTGAAAGTAAGTTCAAAGTTTATAGGATATAGCTCAATGAATTTTGAATATTTTATTAGATGAAAATAATAAATACATCAATGCAATTTCAATGTTATTTCTATTACATGTTCTAAATGAGGGATATTTAACTTATCTCTATTAATTCAATTGCATATATATTGTATATCTTTTTATTTTTTTTATTATTTTAATTTTTTCAATTTTATGACAGGAATAAAATCAATAATAATAATATATATATATATTGTCGAATATTATATAAACTTTAATATTAATAATGCCTCGATTTACAAACAATTTCTAAATTTAAAATAAAAAAATTAATCAATTTAAAAATAATATCCACATATTTTATTTATGTACATATAATTGTTAACGCTTTTTACTTTTTTATTATTATAACATACTAAAAAAAAACAATAAAAATTATTAATAATAATGATTATTAATATTAATAATTGTTATTAGTACAATAATAAGAATTCGTTATGATTATTATATTTAATGATTATTAAATTATTTATTTGTATCAATTTTTTAAGGTATAAGTTTTTATTTTTTTATATTAATTTCTAAGTTTTAACTTTTCTATTAATTTCTAATTTTATATTTTTGTGTTTTACATTATACCTTTTTAATTAAATTTTTCAGAATATATACATGTAATTATTAGAATGTATATTGATCATTCTCATTATATAATTGATTTTTATAATAGACAAATTAAAACTATAATTACAATATTATTTAGTTAAAGCGATTTTTTAGTATTATTATTTTTATAAAAAGTTAAAATTATTAATGCTTGTTAGCATGTATAACATTTTAAGAAAATACGGTATGCAATAATTTTATAGCATAATAGGTCTATTCCGTTCATCATAACAGGAAGACATATTTGTCCTATATGTCATCGAATATTTAATATCGCAGTGAAAAAAATGCATAAATATTAATATTCATATGCCAAGTGCACGACTAAACAGTTATTTCATTAACAAAGCGACTACAGAAACGATGACATCGATTTTTCCAGAAGTATCAGAGATGGGAAAAATGGAAAAAATGTATAATTATTTATTTGTCGAGCACTCCGGTAAGTAATCTGTAATCTTTACCTTTTTAACCAAAAATTAATACATTCTTTACTAACAATAAGATAGAAAAGTATTTTTAATTACAAATTCTGAGAAAAAAATTTTTAAAAAAAATAAAAAATCTTGGAAAAAAAACTCAAAAATAAGTTATACACATTTTAATCATAAAATTATTATATATATTCAGAAAATGATAAAAATTCAGAGTTTGAAGAAAATATGATAAGAAAAAATAAATAAAATAAATAATTGGAATTGTCACGCTGTTTCTATACTTAAAAAAATAAAAACCCGGATTAATTTTTATAAATATTTATAAAATGCGAGAAATTTATTTTATTTGCAATATAAATTTTTTATACTTATGTAAATATTGGCGCAAAAAAAATAATATACTATTCAAATAATAACTATATATATATCATATACAATATATGATAAGTATTAATGAAGAAACTTTCCGCATTTAAATTTAATTATTAAAGATTTGTACACACACGGTATATCAGGGTTGGGTAATTTAATGATTTTTTAAAACTAAGTTTAAAGTTAAAGTTAGTTGCTTATAAAATTAATTTAGTTAAGTTAAAAATTACATAAACAAAAAATTAATTCAATTAAAGTTAAGTTAAGATTAAATTAACTAAAGATAAATCAAAAGTTAATTCTTACAAACATTATTTATATTATTAATTGATATATGGCTCCGTTAATAAAAATTATAATATGAAAACAAAGGGCTAATTAGTCAAGCATATTATTTATATTAAATAAAAATTTAAGCGTATTATTTATATTAAATAAAAATTTTGTTTGTTAATTCTTTTAAAATTTATAATAACAAATAACAAAGAAATTTTGATTTTTATATAGAAATATATTTTTTAGTAATTACTATTGATGACAAATGGACAATGAACATATAAATTAATATTTTAATTTAAAAATAATACATTTATAATTTATAAAAAAACAATAATGGTATTCAGAGATAAAAAATTTAATTTAAGAAAAAGTTAATAAGTTTAAGGCCAAAAATAACTAGTTAAAATTAAAAATTAATTAATTCTTTAACTTTTTTAACTTTTAACTAATTAACTAATTATTTATACCCAACCCTGTTGTATATTTTATTTTAAAAACCATATGTTGCATTTTTTACAGTTTCACTAAGTCGCGAATGGCCATTGATATCTTCACCACTTCCGTTGACGCTCATAATTATTGGATATTTATTTTTTGTTCTTTACGCTGGTCCTCGTTATATGAAAAATCGGCCGCCGTATGAATTGAGAACCTTTATGTTACTTTATAACTCAATACAAATTTTAACAAATTTATGGATGGTGCAAGAACATTTGTCTTTCGGTTGGTTCTCAGAATATGGTGTAACATGTGCAACGACTTTGGCTTTGAATTCTCCCAAAGCACTTAAAGTATACTTTCATAATATATGTATAATATTAATTATTATTAAACAATCACAATTCTCTCGACCAATACTAGCACAAAAACTTTTATAGAAACTTTTCACAACGTTTCGACCTTCCATTTAGTTTACCTCATCACTTCTAATAAAGTTTTTATGCCAGTATTGGTCAAGAGAATTGTGATTGTTTAATTTTATTCTACGACTAGTGGTTTATTATCTAAATTAATTAATTATTATTGTGTGTGTGTGTGTGTGTGTGTGTGTGTGTGTGTGTGTGTGTGATTATCGATTATATTGTTTACCGAAAAAAGTAAAATTATAAATAATTTTTAAATATAAGGAAATATAGGTATAACCAGCAAAAATACGACAGAGAATATAGAATACGATAAATGCTTCATCTATATAGACAATATTTTTAAAAATTAATTTATTAATAGCACTTTGTATATTTTGTATCATCAAAATTGAATTTCAGATCTTCAATAATATATGGTGGCTAATGTTATTGAAAATATTTGATCTCGTTGAAACTTGTACATTTGTGTTGAGGAAGAAAGACAACCAGGTTTCCTTTTTGCACGTGTACCATCATGCAACAAATATACTTTTCGTCTGGATTTATTTAAAATATATTCTGGACGCAAGAGCGACATTAATTAGTCTGATTAATTGCACGGTACACGTAATTATGTATATGTATTATTTTATCTCTGCAAGAGGGCCAAAATATCAACGAATAATGTCTCCTCTTAAGCCTTTTATAACTAGAATTCAAATGGTAAGTTGCATTATAATATTCTATAACAATACTTTTCATACACACACACACACACACACACACGCGCACACACGCACATGCACACACGTACATGCACACATATTTAATTATTTTTGTTTTAGTAATATAATGCACAATTGTATAATTTTGTATTTTTTTTTCTGTTTGCAAAATATAGGTGCAGTTTCTTGCAATAATAATATACATGATACAGTTTGCAAATCCAATTTGTTCACTAGATGGGCAGATTTGTTATACCATAGGTACTATTTTTGGTGTAAATATACTAATAAATCTTGCCTTATTTTATAATTTTTATAAGAAAAGTTATACTAACGTATCTAAAGGAAAGAAGAGTTAAGATTGATGTCAATAAATTAGTACAAATAATTAATGACTAATTAATTATATAATTAATTTTTTCCTTAAATGACCAATTATTTATTGAATTTTAATAACATTATTTCATAATATTTAACCATTTTAATTATTGTTTGATTTTATTCAGTCATCAATTTTTTTATTTTAATCAAGAAATAATATTAATATTATTTAATAAATAACCATAATTTTAGTTGCTTAAATATACAACTTAGTCATTAATTATTTATATTTAATTAGTACTCAAATAACTAATTATGTATATATATATATTGTATATGTCAAATAAAATATACGTTGTATACAAATTGAGTATGACACAATGTTGTATTATTTATTTAATTGTTTTGTCGATTTTATGTATAATATATACATTTCTAATAGATTTTGTTGCTAAATAAATAGTTTTTAGCAACTATATAATGATTTTCTCTAAATACGTACAAATATATAAAAATATATAATGTCAAATTTTAGAAAAATATATAATAATCTAAAGAATTATCATATATTTGTTAAGCAGATTTATATTTTGATTTTAAAATATTGCATAAATTTTAATTTACATATTACATATAAATAGAATATAAATACTCATTACATAATAAATTTAACTTTTTTTAAAAACTATAAATTTTTTATTATAATATAATTATTACGATATTTTTTACATTACACACACGCGCGCGCGCCCACACACACACACACACTCATTGTACATTCTTATATATATAATTTTTATATATGTTACTATATATATGTATATTATTTTATATTTATTAAATCTTTTTAAAATAAAAGATTTTCCGTTTCTAAAGTGTATAATATAGTTTATTATTCACAAAATAATGACTATGATTTATTTGAATTACCATTTATCTTTATACAATTTTTTAAATTTATGTAGCATATATATATATCATTTTGTTTAATCTAACCAAATATAATTATGCACGCAAAGCGAAGTTATATTATTCCTTGATAATAAAATCTCATAAATTTCGACGTATGCATGCAAAAATTATTATTGCAATTAATGCACAAAAATATATTAATGAATTATGCAACGCATAAAAATTCAATATTTAAATCTTTAACAGAAAATACGAATAAAAAAATAAAATTTTCTACAAGAATCTTTTGTGATCAAATATCTACGCTTTCATTAGACTCGCGCAAGACTCCATACACCCATCATGCTGCGCGGCTTGCGCGAGACTATTCTCGTTTAAGCGAACGCGAGACCGAGGGTGCGTTCCGTTATGCACTGCAAGTACTGACAGTACTACCAATAGCGTTCCGATATAGATAGCAGTGCACTGCGAAAGTACTATCATGAGTATATGACGTTATTAATTTTGACGTTATTTCCTGTTGCGATTACTGCAACCGGCGAGGTAAAGCACTCGCAGTAATCAAGATGGCTACCTCCATGTGTACGATGGAACTAACTTTTAAATTCCATATCTGAATATAATGATACAATATTTTTAACGTAATTTTTACATTTTATTCTAGGTATTTTAATTTGTCGTCTCATTTCATTTATTAATTCCATTTCCAAATCGCTTTCACTTGATGACTCACTCGAATCATATATATTCTCGATTAAATTATATGTAATTAATGCAATAATGGTATTATCCATTTCACCAATTTTTCACTCGATGATTATTAGCGAAAAAGGTTAGTTAAAAGTCTGCTGAAAGCGTACTGTAGTGCGTTCCGTTTTACTATTTTGCAGTAGCTTCAAAGTGCACAAAATTAAAAAGGAACGCTGTCAACAGTACACTTGCATGACGTCATAGTGCCAGTACTTGCAGTGCATAACGGAACGCACCCCGAGTGGATCTACTGGCCACGTGACCACTGGTCATGTGACCATCGGTCCCGCGTTCACAATCACGATAGCCCGCTGAAAATCAATCTTGATCAATCTCACGCGAACCGCGCAGCGTGAGAGATGTGTGGAATGTACTTATTGTTGAAGTTGTAGATATAAAAAATATCTATTAAAAAAACTGAATAAACTTTTTAGAATAATCTAAATTTGTTTGCTTTTCATTGGTTTAAGAAACTTTAGAATTTTTAGAAAATCCACGTATATATTAAATAAAATTTGTTTATCCGATAAATAATAATTTTCTAGATAAATTTTAGCGGGAGTTTCTTGTCTGTTTACCTAAAGCGTTATCCATTTTTATTTTGACAGATGAAGAAGGTTGTAATTAAAATATCATTCAAATCCATTATTGTAAAGATTAATGCTATATAGTAATATAAATCAAAGAAAGAAAATTATGCATAGCAGAAATTTTTGAAGAAATATAAATATAGAGTTGAATTTATGCTAAAATTAATGCTAAACAAGAAATAATTTTCTAAAATAGAATCAATACTGCTAATAATAATAGACTACGAGAAAAAGCGTGATTTTTAAATATTTGAATCTAACTGATTGTACATCTTATTAAATAATAACCATAAAATCCAATAGAGAGTATAAATTCAGCTTTATATAAAATATTAGTATAAAAAACTTTATATATTTTATATATTTTTAATTATATATATTTGATAAATTTGCAGTAAAATTATGTATTTAAAATTAATTAAATTTAAATTAATTACATTTTAAAATATTTGTTAACTCACTTATACAAATTTCTTTTTCTTCCATATTGGTTTATACAACTGCAAATATCGAGGCTGTTAAATCTTGAAATTGTGAGAGTAATTTAACTTTTAACGAGTTAGTTGGATGCGTAATGATTTATCTAAATAGAAAGAGTCAATTATATTGTTTAAACATATTCTATTTTGCGATATATCCTTGGAGTTCTTCAAAATAATTTTTAAAGGTGCCTACAAAAATAAATATTATTTAAATATAATAACTGTGATTTTATTTGTGTGAATTATTGTTTATCTTTATACAATTTTTTAAGACTAAAATAAGAAAATTAAAGTTTCAAGTAAATAAAATTGATCTGCAATTGCACAGTTTATAAAAAAAACTTTCTTTTAATCCTTATGATATTGGATACGATTTTAAAAAATAACTTCTTTTACTAAAAAATGGTAATAATTCAATCGATCAAATCTGGCAAATAAGTAAATTTATTGAATTTTCACAACGTTTCGGCCGTGGGTTTCGGCCCTTATCAAGTGCTATGATAAGGGCCGAAACTCACGACCGAAACGTTGTGAAAATTCAATAAATTTACTTATTTGCCAGATTTGGTCGATTGAATTCTTACCATTTTTTAATTATTATCTGGTGACTTCATAGTTTTATATCTATTCTTTTACTAAAATTGTTCCCTATAATATTTTAAAATATATTAAAATATTTGTTTGCAACTTTAACTAAGTATATAAATTTCAAAATCACGTTATTTAATGAAGCAATAATTGAAAAAACGGAATTTATTTATTGAAAAAATACGGTTAATCTTTTCCTTGAAGGTTTTTACGCGTTATTGTAGTCTAATTCTTTCAGAATAGAAACAAAGAAAAAATTTTTTCCTTTATCAATTGATTAATAAAACATATCAGACAGTGTAATGAATAATTGAGCATGCATTTTAAAGGTATAATTCATTATCAATGTTAAAGAGGCACATTCCTAAAACATGCTAGACGCAATAATAGTTTCATAACGAAATTCTAATTATTGAAAAATATAAAAAAACAAATAACCCAGACAACACAGATAACACAGAATATTTCTAAAATATTTATAATAATTACTTTAATATTTTATAAATATTTTGGAGTCTTAGATTCAATAGATCATAAATATTTATCATAAATATCAGAAAATATTTACGATAAATATTATGGTAAATATTATAAATATATTTATTAAATGATTATTCCTATAAGCGCATGATATTATTTAATATTTAAGCAATATTCTAGGCATATTTTTAGAATATTTAATATTCTAAGTATACGTCTAGAATATTAAATAATGTCATGTGCTTATAGGGATAATACAGATTTTTAAAATTTATTAATTTATATTTTCTTTAATAAATACTCAGTAAGAAATCATAAGTTAAAAAGACATAATTAACGATTTTTTAACTAAAACAATCGGTTATGATATAGTCTAATCTAAAATTTTGTCAATTACATATTTTTGTGTTTTTCAAACTCTATTAGTTATAAAAAGTTATATTTATAAAAAGTTAAAAATGTAAAAAATGTTTATAGAAGTAACTTATATATTAGACATTTATTTTAAAATAGAAAAAAATGATAATATACACTGAATATATATCCTTAGGCAACAGAGTATATAATTAATTCTCACGACAAAAATCAAATACGAGAAAGATATACGTCACGTAGCGGTAAATGAAAAAAAAGAACTATAACAATTTAGTTAAAAATTATTTACAAAGTAATTACTATAAATATCTTTACATACCATAAATATTATATGAAATATTTATATTAATCTATTGTATGTTTTAATAATATGTTAAATAATAAAGATTTTTATAAAACATTTTCAAAATATTTATGTAATATTTTTTAAAAAATATATATTTATAAATATTTATGAATCTTTATCATAAATATTGTGTGCTGTCTGGGAAAAATATATATATTTTCAGCTAATCTCGAACGAATCAAAACACATGACATGACAATTTTGCAACAAGATGATATAATATATTTTTATCCGTGCTTAATTATTAAAAATATATTCAATTTTAAAATATTAAGTTCAACAAAAATATTAATCATTTCTTATAATTTTTTGATATTTAGTGTATATTTACATTTAAAATATAATTTATCATTATTGATAGGATTCGAATTAGCAAAAAAAAATGGTTCCAAGCGGTCACCCATCCAAAATACTATTCATACCCAGCGTTGCTTAACATCGCAATGATCAGTGGCTGGTAGCGACAACAAAATTTAGAACGTGAGACATCTGTGCGCAAATATTCGAACTCATTCAATGACGTTTTCGTTCGTCAAAGCAGCAATCGTCGTCAAGGGGTTTCGATGATTTCAACGATTTATTTGCGACAATAAATAATTCATTGATTGATGAAGCGATCGATGCGTCCTTTGCTACGTGCATATGTAAGTTAATTTTGACTTGTCATTCGTCCATTATTTTGCGAGAAACGAAGGTATCATATTTTATTTCGCATATCGCGAATTGCATCAGATGCATTTCTAACCTAATCAATTTTATCTAATTTATCATAAGTAGGTCAAAGTTGCAAACTATGATCGCTAAAAAAAGGCGCAAAAAAAATTGAAAGTTATTTGACGAGTTTCTTTTTACGTTCAATTCTCTGTGTGTTAATTTATATATATATATATATATATATTTTTTTTTATTTAAGGTTATATTTGAATTATACACACGTATTTTTCATACAATTAATTATATAATATATTAATTTTTAATTAACTAGTATTATATTTAAAATTATGAATTATAATAAATGATTATTATATTTAAAATTATCAATTGTATGAAAATTAAAATATATATATATAATTTTTTTTTTTAATGTTTTATTATTGCAGATTGTATTCAATTGTAATTTTAATTTTAATAATAAGAATTACATTTTAAATAGGATTTATTTATTTCCTTATCTACATATATAAAGACTTGGAAATTTATTAAAGAATTTATCAAATTAAACTTAAAATTAATTTTTTCTATGATGATCAATCAAAATTAATAAAATTAAAATTAAAATCAATTGCAAAACTAAAATTTATATGTATATCCTACATGATCAATTTACATAAATCTTGAATTAATTCTAAATATTCTTATGTTAAGTCCACAGTGTTCAAGCATTCCATCGACATGATCAACTCTGCTCTAAAGGCCGAGGTGATATTATCAGAAAGTAATCGTAAGGCTTGCATCGAAAGATTCAAATCTATGCTGTTTCCCAAGTTGAAGGACAAGGATATTCCAGAAGCTGCTGTTTTGATCCCATTATGTTCCTACAAAGGAGAACTTGGTCTCTTATACACACTGCGATCCATAAAACTCAGATCTGGCGGAGGACAGGTAATATATATAATATATATATATATATATATATATATATATGTAATTTATTTTTAATATATTTATATAAGTACAAAAAATGTAAAAATATATATATGTTCCTATATTGTACATATAAATTTTTTTTTATTTATATAAATATAATTTTGTATAATTTATATTAATAATTATTACATATATGTATATTTATATATATGTATATATATATATATATATATATATATATATATCATTTTATAATATAATATTAATAATTATTTATAATTAATTTATGTTTTTTATAATTTTTGATACAAAGAAAACATATTTATATCAAAATATGTAAGATTTGAATATACAAGACTTGGATTTCTCAAAAAAATCTTTTTCAGGCATCCTTTCCTGGTGGAATGCGTGACAAGAGTGATGCCGACCTGCAGGAAACAGCTTTGCGTGAGACCTGGGAGGAGCTAAGAATCCCTAAGGAGAAAATCGACGTGTGGACCACGGGAAACCTCATCGGCAAGACGGACGTCAATGTGATGCCCGTCCTGGCTTACGTCGGCGAGGTGGTGCCGGAGGAATTGGAGATCAATCATGACGAGGTGGACGAGGCGTTCGTGATCAGCTTGCAGAAGTTATGCGACCCCGAGCTGTGTCACTTCACGTACTTCCGTCACGTCAATCTCACCCTGCCGAGTTATTCGGGCGGCAAATATCGCGTCTGGGGATTCACTGGGGCCATCACTCACTTTGTGCTCAAGTGTTTGGTACCGGAGGTCTATAGACACGAGATTCACGAAGTGCAGAGGCTCAGGAAGAAGGGAGAAACGAAAACGAAAAGAACTTTCGAGCAGGATGCGACACGATCGAAAATGTGATGACCGGAGTGTTGAACCTTTTATGTGTTCACAAATTGCGACGTTGTAGATTAATCAAAAATTTTATTAACAAATAATTCAGATGTATTTTTATAACGTTACACAAGAGTTAATAGAATTCTTAACAATTTTTGTTTAAATTTTCGAGCGGTCAGTATAGAACTTTTTGAGACTTGGATTGTTGGTATAACTTTAACATACGGGAATGTTACAAAATTGTTGCAGTATATATATATATATATATGCAATATATATATCGTACCTGTAATTTTAGTAGATGTTAAGAGCATAAAAGGAAATTACTCTTAGACATTTCTAGTTTTTAATGTTTAATTGGAAATAAAACAAATGTATATTTTTTTTCTTTCTTTTCTTTAATGTAGAATTATTTTTCATTATTCTTAGATAGAATTATTTCTCTTAACAGACTGAACATCCTTATGGTTATATAATACTCAAATTATTGTTTTACATTATTATAAAAATATATACAAATTTATTGAAATTTTTGACCTAAATGGCCAGTACAATTTAATTTGAAACACTACGTTTCGACCCTTAAGTACGGGTCCTTTTCAAGTGTAACTTTCAAGATGTTGATTCGACAGCAGTAAAATTACTAATGTAAAATTATTGCTGTCGAATCAACATCTTGAAAGTTACACTTGAAAAGGACCCGTATCTAAGGGTCGAAACGTAGCGTTTCAAATTAAATTGTACTGGCCAGTTAGGTCGAAAATTTCAATAAATTTGTATGGTTTTACTCATCACTGGCGACTTCATTAATTTTATCGTTATTATAAAAATATATATTATGTTTATTATATATAATTATATATGTTATATATAATATTATATAATAATATATATTTATATATATAATATAATATATATTTATATAATATAATATATATTTATATTAATATTATATATAATCTAATGTGCACCATATATTATATATAATTTTTCGTGTTTGTATATAATTGATCATTTATATATTTTTTTTATAAAATTATAAGCAATATATAGTATAGAATCCCAATTCTTGATACAATCAATTTTTGTATGCAAAAATCAGAGTTGAATAAATTAATGACTTTTTTAAACAAAGTTAAGTTAAAGTAGTTGAGTTAAAAATTGCATGAACAAAAGATTAACTTGTTAAAGTTAAGTTAAAATTAAATTAACTGAAATTAAATCAATATTTAATTTTTTAAAACATTTTTATATTTTTAAATTAGAATTTTGTTTGTCAATTCTTTTAAAATTTATAATAACAAGTAATAAAGAAATTTTGATTTTTATATAGAAATATATTTTATTATATAGAAATATATTTAATTACAATTGACGACAAATGAACATAAAAATTAACAATACTTTAATTTAAAAAAATAACACATTTATAACTTATAAAAAAATAATTGTATTCGGAAATTTAAAAAATTTAACTTTGGAAAAAAGTTAATAACATTAAGATCAAAAATAACTAGTTGAAGTTAAAAATTAATACATTTGAAATTAACTAAGCTAATAAGTTAAATGTTATTAACTTAGTTATCTAATTCTGGCAAAAATTGAAAAAGAATGCATTCTCATGTGAATAAGGCTTTAAATTGCCGCAGATATGGCGCCAATGACGTCACAGCCAATAGACGCGTTGGATTTGCCGCGCAACGGATATGACGTTCGCCGCGAGAATAGACGCGCTTCGTTTCCGGAAGACTCAACGGCCTCGTAGCGGCAGGTTTACTCCACTCTCCGACCGCGACGAAAAGATTCATAAGCATCGTCGAGCGTCGTCGCGCTGAAGCTATAATCGAGGTAAGAGAACATTCCTTCGCTTCAATTGGCACCTTTATTTTTTGTATTTTAACTCATCTGGATCGAAATAAAAAAATCAGCCGAGCTGCAATTATTATCCCTTCATAAAAAGTGAAGTTACATATTTTTTTGTAGCATGGACGCTCGGTGAGAATTCCTATCCGTTAATCTCGTCGATCAATCAACGAAGAAGAAGAAAGAGAGGAAGAAAAAGAAGAAATCCTGATCAGGATGTATCTCTATAATTTGACCTTGCAACGCGCCACCGGCATCACTCATGCGGTCCATGGAAACTTCTCTGGCAGCAAGATGCAGGAGATCCTAGTCTCCCGCGGCAAGTCGCTGGAGCTGCTGCGACCGGATCCGAACACCGGGAAGGTTCACACCCTGCTGACCATCGAGGTCTTCGGCGTCATCAGATCCTTGACGACGTTCAGACTGACCGGTGCAACCAAGGATTACATCATCGTGGGCTCTGACTCCGGGCGCATAGTGATCCTGGAGTACATTCCCGCCAAGAACATGTTCGACAAGGTTCACCAGGAGACTTTTGGTAAAAGTGGCTGCAGACGCATCGTTCCTGGCCAGTATCTGGCCATTGATCCCAGGGGCAGAGCAGTTATGATAGGTGATTGCATATACTTGGGTGTTCCTGGTTGTACTTTTAGCAATTCTGAATGGTAACGATGAGTTAACATTGACTACCACATGATTACTTCTGTGTTTCATCTGATTAACATTGATTACACTCTTCTTTTATGATGGCAACCTATTGATTATAGCAATTGCTCTTCAGGTGTGCGAATTGAATTTTACATCTGTCTGATCTTATTATAGGTGCTATCGAGAAACAGAAGCTTGTCTATATCTTGAACAGAGATGCTGAAGCTCGTTTAACGATATCTTCTCCATTGGAGGCTCATAAAAGCAACACTCTGGTGTATCACACAGTTGGTGTCGATGTTGGCTTTCAGAATCCCATATTTGCGTGTCTGGAGATCGATTACGAGGTAAAAGTTCCTTCAAGTTCGAAACAATGACTGTATTTAGTAGTAAAAGCAGCTTCGCAACTGTTGTGATTAGGTTTATGACAAGGTTCATCAGGAACAATCAGGTTCATGAATTTTACAACAGTTGTGAAACTGCTTTCTCTGCTGAACGCAACCAATCCTTGTAACTTTAAACAATGACTGCGTTCTGCAGAAAAAGCAGTTTTGCAACTATTGTAATCAGGTTCACAACAAGATTTATCACAACCAATCAGGTTTACAAATTTTACAACAGTTACACATCTGCTTTTTCTGATGAATGCATCTAATATTCTTGTAACTTGAAACAATGGCTGTGTTTAGCAGAAAAAAGCAGCTTTGTAGCTGTTATAATTAGGTTCACGACAAGGTTTATCAGGACCAATGAAGTTCACGAATTTTACAACAGTTGCAAAGTTGCTTTCTCTGAACGCAATCAATATCCTTGTAACCTGGATAATGACTACATTCAGCAGGAAAAGCAGCTTCGGAACTGTTGTAATCAGATTCACGAATTTTACAACAGTTGCAAAGCTCCTTTTTCTGCTGAACGTAGCCAATATCCTTATAACAAAAGGATCACCATTGTAGCCACATGATTACTACTTCTTTATCCGTGTTTCATCTGATTAACATTGATTACATTTTTTATTATGATGGCGCTTATACGACATATTCGCAGTACCATAAATTGCAAAAGATGTTTAATATATTCTATTGTAATAAAAATGAATTCCACAGGAAGCTGACAGCGATCCCACGGGCGACGCGGCGGTGAAGACCCAGCAGACCCTGACCCTGTACGAGCTTGACCTCGGTCTGAATCACGTAGTGCGAAAATACAGCGAGCCGCTGGAGGAGCACGCCAACTTCCTCGTGTCCGTGCCAGGCGGCAACGATGGCCCGAGCGGCGTTCTCATCTGCTCCGAGAATTATTTGACCTACAAGAACCTCGGGGATCAGCATGACATCCGTTGTCCGATCCCGCGACGTCGCAACGACCTGGACGACCCCGAGAGAGGCATGATATTCGTATGCTCGGCCACCCATAAGACGAAGAGCATGTTCTTCTTCCTGGCACAGACCGAGCAGGGAGACATCTTCAAAATCACCCTCGAGACCGACGAGGAGGATATGGTAACCGAGATCAAGCTCAAGTACTTCGACACCGTGCCCGTCGCAGCGAGTATGTGCGTCCTGAAGACAGGCTTCCTATTTGTCGCCTCGGAATTCGGCAACCAGTTAGTAGTTTAACCAGATGCGTTAAGATAAGGAGATGGCTTTGCGAAACAGCGCGATTACGTTGTCGTTTTTCAGCTACCTGTATCAGATAGCGCATCTCGGGGACGATGACGATGAGCCCGAGTTCAGCTCGGCGATGCCGCTCGAGGAAGGCGACACCTTCTTCTTCGCCCCGCGACCGCTTCGGAATCTTGTCCTGGTTGACGAAATGGACAGTCTCTCGCCCATAATGGCTTGTCAGGTGACGTATTTATTCTGCGAGACACAGATCTTCTAAGCACCTTCAAGTAGGAGGGGGACGTCATCCATGCGTCCCTTTTCTGTGGGAATTCAGATGCGAGAGCGAAATTCTCTTTGTCGCCTTTGGTTTGTTATTGCAAATCGAAGTGAACTCTTAGAGAGACACAACTGAAAAGGATTTTGCAATAAATATGTAGGATTTTGGCTTTTGTAGAAATTGGCTGTTGCTTACATCTTTTCAACAAATTATAAGTTACATGTGAGAAAATCAATTCTGATTCAATTTTATCTAGGATTTTATGGGTTCAACAATCCTGTACTGATCATATAAAATTAAATCTTGTTATGGTCAGCTGATTTTCTCATGTGTTGTAGCTTATGACAAATCATAATCTGTTGAACGAAAGATTTAACAACCTCAAAGCTAAATATTGGATAGTTACAGTCAGTCAAGTATGAAAAACTTGGGCTCTACAAGTTGAAAAAGAAAACAATTACTTCAAAATCCTATATATTTGATGTGGAATATTTTTCGCTTTCTTCATATGGTAATTGCAGGAAGATTGAACTATATGTCTACACACTGATTCTAGGGGAAGATTTAAAGTTAAAACTTATCATCAAATAATTTTGCTGAACCCTCTGCAGCTTTCTATCATCAATGACAGGATCCATTAGTGTGTCTACATATAAATCTGTTCGATCCTTTTGCTGATGAACTGGTACCCATTGATGAAAGAGTGAAAGATGATGTGTTGAAGAGGGTTTAAAAGATCTTTCATCATGTTTCTTGTACTATCACAGGTGGCAGATCTCGCGAACGAGGACACGCCGCAGTTGTACATCGCCTGCGGTCGAGGACCGCGCTCGACCTTGCGCGTACTACGTCACGGTCTGGAGGTCTCCGAGATGGCGGTGAGCGAGCTGCCCGGTAATCCAAATGCCGTGTGGACCGTGAAACGGAGAGTCGATGGTTAGTCGAGAGATGTATTTCTACCCGATCGTTTGCATGTTTTCACTTGAATCGCTTACTCGAGACGATCGGCTGCCGATCGTCGGAATTCCCTAGGGTGTATACTCTCTGGAAAAACCTGGAATTCTCAGGAAATTTTGTTCTACCTTGAAAAATCCTGGAATTATTATGGAATTTGATTTGAACTCGGGGAATTTTTTTAAAAATTGCTCCTTTGTTTTTAAAATATAGTTCAAATAATATAAAATATTAATTATATAAAGTATATTAAAATATATTTTATTTTATATATATATATATTATATAATTTTATTATATAACACTATATTACATTATTATATTGAAAAAATACTTCATTTATGTTAAAAAATTATGTATAACAAGCAAACTTATTTCAAAATTGTATTGTAAATATTATTTAAAATACTTTAATTTTATCTGGAATTTTGAACAAAACTACCTGGAATCTTTTATTTCTAAGATTTGAGTATACACCCTGTCAACACACGTGTCTCGTCTTTATCATTTCTTTCAAAATCAAGCGATGTGACAAAGAAAAATTCGTCCACGCAGTCAGAAGTTAGACTTTTCTATTCATCTTTCGTAAAAAATAATGTGTGGATAAGAAAGTTTGCTCAATGGTAGTAAATTTGAGCAAAGCTTTGGGGTAAGAGAACATTTCCTACTTTCATATGACTTGGAAAAGACAAAAAAAAATAAATCTGTAGTTTGCTTTAAAGAAAAGAAAAAAACAAACATGGCATCGGTTTTGTAAAAACGATATTAATGAACCTGGTGGCTTGATACACTCTTATCAAACACCAGTTCTCTCTTTCAGGATGCCAGCGCGCTATTGGTTGACCCACAGAAGTCTGAATGACCGAAAGGTAAGGATCTCCGCGCGAAATTGGCACAAATAAGAGTAAAAAAAATGGAAAAACTCTTTTTGTGCCCCGTGACACGAGAGTGTGCGCAATTTCGAACGATCGAGGGGGAGGAGAAAGGGCGAAATATATTTAAAAATATATTATATATACATATATAATATCTTCTTAAAATGGACAAATTCAAATATACAATTCAATTTTAATTTTTTTTCTCGACGTTTTCGTTCGCGCATTTCCCGGTGTACCTGAGAATGAGTCTTGTAATTTTGATTGCAGAGGAATATGATGCATACATCATAGTGTCCTTCGTGAATGCCACCCTAGTACTCAGTATCGGCGAGACTGTCGAGGAAGTGACGGACTCGGGTTTTCTCGGTACGACACCGACCTTGAGTTGCTCGGCATTAGGCGAGGACGCATTGGTGCAGGTATTTTTTGCACTTTGGAGTTATCTTATATTCTACACTTTTACGAGTAAAGTCTAAAGAAATTTTTTTTTTTATTAAGGCTCCTGGATCCTCATCGCCACTATGTCAAATTGTGAGGCGAGGAGCTATTATATATATATATATATTTTTTTTTTTATTATTTATTTATATATATTTCTATTCTGTATTTATTAATTTTTTTAGATGATTATATATTAATATATTATTTAATTATATATAATATTTTGTGTGTGTGTATCATATATTTATATATTTATATTATATAAATATATTATTAAATCTATTATTTTTATTTTATTATATGTATATTATATATTACATAATATAATAATAATATAGATTGTGACGTCAGAGGCGAGGAGCCTTAAACACGCGATTATTTTCGATGATGTTATTGCATTAAAAATAATAGCATATTTTTTATAAAGAAAAGACTCTGGACCTTAAGAAGTCTAGATATTCGCTCGTACGAAATCGCGGAATTATTTCTTCAACTTCTTGCACTTGGTATCTCCGGCATGATCCTGGTCCACCACGTGCCGGTCGCAAAAAAGTGCTAAAGCAATTCTGGGCTTACATCGTTGGAATGTTCCGATGCTTGTCCGAACTTTCCTGGTTTTATAGGCCCGACAGTTGCATAAATTTTTTAATATATATATATATATATACATTTTATTATATATATATATATATATATATATATATATATATATATATATATTTTTTTTTTTTTTTTTTTTTTTTTTTTTTTTTTTTATTTATATAATTTATATATCAATTATTTTTTATTTTTTAAAATGATTATTAATATATTATTAAATACGTTTTATATGTTTATAATGTTATTTAATTATATTGCATATTTATATTATATAAATGTATTATATTAAATCTATGATTTATTTTACTATATATTATATAGTATAATAATATAATAATAATAATGTATATTATATAATATACTATGTAGTAGTATATAATAATAGTATTTTATAATAAAAGTAAAATAATACTAAAAATATATTATCAATAATATATATTTGTATAGTAATTAATACGATTTTAAATACGAATTAATATACGATTTTATTAATTACATAACGTTAATTGAACATGATTCGATCCTTTTTCAGGTATATCCTGACGGTATACGTCACATCCGAGCAGATAAACGTGTGAACGAATGGAAGGCGCCTGGCAAGAAGACCATCGTAAAGTGCGCGGTCAATCAACGTCAAGTTGTAATCGCTCTCACCGGAGGAGAACTCGTCTACTTCGAGATGGATCCTGTATGTATCTCCGCGATGTAGTACGATTCCATCGCGATATAATCGCATTATTGTTCTCTCTGAGTGATGTGTCTGTCTTCTTCAGAGATGTAGAAGATGCGAAGAGCAATATCACTCGTTTCATCTTTGTATATATCCCAAGTTTATCGCTTATCGATAATCGAGAGGTTGATGTAGAGTGAACATATGAAAAAAAATGCAAAATTGTTATCGCCTCTACATATGAATCAACGTTGAAACTTACACTGCACATGTTTTAGACCGGCCAATTGAACGAATATACGGAGAGGAAGAAGATGCCGTCGGAAGTGATGTGTATGGCCCTGGGAAACGTCGCCGTGGGCGAGCAACGTTCGTGGTTCCTGGCTGTAGGTCTACAGGACAATACAGTGAGGATAATATCTCTGGATCCCTCGGATTGTCTGGCGCCGAGGAGTATGCAAGCGTTACCAGCAGCTGCAGAAAGTCTGTGTATCGTGGAGATGGGGGCTAAAGAAGCCGACAATTCCGAGGATTCGGCGCCGCAACAATCCAGTTTATATTTAAATATAGGTGAATTACATATATGAAAATTAGTTAGTCGTTGATCAAATTGTCAAATTGAATGTTACATCTCTCCAAGTAGCAAACTGACGTCATTAAATGTCAAAATGACGTCATATATGAAAATTAATTGTCAAATTAAATGTTACATCTCCCCAAGTAGTAAACTAACGTCACTAAATGTCAAAATGACGTCATTTTGACATCTAATTACGTCATATATAAAAATCAATTTTTAAATTAAATTCCAAGTAGCAAAATGACGTCATATATGAAAATTAATTGTCAAATTAAATGTTACATCTCCCCAAGTAGCAAACTAACGTCATTAAATGCTAAACTGACGTCATTTTGATGTCTAATAACATCATATATAAAAATCAAGCGTCAAATTAACCCAAGTAGAACAGAAAATCAAAATAATATAATTTTGACGTCATTGATCAAATTTGGAGTTCAAATTTGATCAATGACGTCAAAATATTATTTTGATTTTCTGTTCTACTTGGGATATCCTAGATCCCAAGGAGAACAAAAAGTCACGATAGTGTCAAAATGATGTCATTTTGACCTTCTGTTCTCCTTGAAATAGCAAACATACGTCATTTTGACGTTTAATGGCGTTATTAAATATTAAAATAACATCATTTTGACATCCAATGACACATATGAAAATCAATTGTCAAATTAAATGTTACATCTTGAGATGTAACTTCTAGATCTAGAAGTTACACAACTGTGTTATTATATTACATTATCTCTTCAGGTTTGCAGAATGGAGTATTGCTTAGAACCGTGCTGGACCCGATTTCTGGCGATCTCGCGGACACGAGAACGCGGTACCTCGGCTCTCGCCCCGTCAAGCTCTTCAGAATACGCATGCAGGGCAATCAGGCTGTACTAGCGATGAGCAGTCGATCGTGGCTCAGTTATTACCATCAGAATCGTTTTCATCTCACGCCTCTGTCATACGAGAGTCTGGAGTTCGCCTCGGGCTTCAGTTCCGAGCAATGCCCGGAAGGTATCGTCGCTATATCGACGAACACGTTGAGGATCTTAGCCCTGGAGAAGCTGGGTGCTGTGTTCAATCAAGTGAGCTTCCCTTTGGAATATACGCCGCGAAAGTTCGCGATTCACGCGGACTCCGCGCACCTGGTGGTCATCGAGACCGAGCACAACGCGTACACGGAAGAGACCAAGCAACAGAGGAGGCTGCAGATGGCGGAGGAAATGCAGGAAGCGGCCGGTGCCGAAGAGGCCGCCGTTGCTCGAGAATTGGCGGAGGCATTCCTGTCAGAGGAACCGAACGAGACAGTGTTCGGCGCCCCGCGAGCCGGACCGGGCCTTTGGGCCTCGATGCTGAGAATTATGGCGCCCACCACCGGCCAGACATTCGAGGTGCATCGCTTTGAGCAAAATCTAGCCGCGTTGTGGTAAGTCGCGGAAAGAGTTGATCTATGAGCGAAAGACTTTTGACCTTGACAGATTTTGCTCCATTTATTTTCTTCGTTCTTTCGTAGCCTCTGTCTCGTCAAGTTCGCCAATCAAGGAGATCAGCTGTTTCTTATCGTCGGAGTCGCTAAGGAGTTTCAATTGAATCCCAGAGTCAGCAACGGCGGTTTCCTTTACACATATAAGTAAGATTTTTTTCTAACTAAATTACCCAGGTAACAAACTGACGTCATTTTGACGTCTAATGACGGCATATGAAAATCAATTGTCAAATTATCCGGGATAGCAAATTGACGTCATTTTCACGTTTTATGACGTCGAACGACGTCAAAAAGACGTATGCTTGGCTACTTGAGTCTCTTCAAGTATCCAGTTGGCTAGTATAGTCATTTTGACGTTTAATGACGTTAGTTTGCTACCTAAGTAGAACAGAAAATCAAAATAATGTCAATTTGACGTCATCTTGACCAAATTTGATCAATGACGTCAAAATGATATTATTTTGATTTTCTGTTCTACTTGGGTAGCAAATTAACGTCATTAAATGTCATGTAGACATCCAATGACATATATGAAAATCGTCAAATTGTTAAATGTTTCATTTTCCCAAATAGCAAACTGATGTCATAAATGTCAAAATTACATAACATTAACGTCTAATAACGTCATTAAATGTCAAAATGACGTATGTTTGCTACCTGAGCTGATTCATGCCGTACAATCGAATGTGATGAAAGCGACAATACATCTGTATTTCTGATGACAAAGTCCTGCAGTGCTGATACCCAAAGATATATCATTCGACTAGTATCGACTATTATTTCACGGAACGAGAATTAATGAAAAACCAATCCGTTGTTTCAGAGTAAATGCGGAGTGTACCAGTATCGAGCTGCTTCACAAATCTCTCTTGGACGAGGTACCGCTGGCCATTTGTCCGTATCAGGGTCGCGTACTGGTCGGCGTGGGTAGGATGCTACGGCTTTACGACATGGGTAAGAAGAAGTTACTGCGCAAGTGTGAGAACAAGCACATACCCAACGCCGTGGTCTCGATCAACGCAATTGGTCAACGGATCTACGTCAGCGACGTGCAGGAGTCCGTGTACGCGGTGAGATACAAACGCCAGGAGAATCAATTAATCGTCTTCGCGGACGACACCCATCCACGATGGATCACGACCACCTGCGTGCTGGACTATGACACCGTTGCCACGGCCGACAAGTTCGGCAATATAGCCGTCATACGGTTGGCTACCGGTATCAACGACGACGTGGACGAGGACCCCACGGGGAACAAGGCCCTGTGGGACCGGGGCTTGCTGAACGGAGCCAGCCAGAAGGCGGACACGGTCGCCTGCTTCCACGTAGGCGAGACGGTGATGTCGCTGCAGAAGGCGACCCTGATACCGGGCGGCTCCGAGAGTCTGGTCTACACCACCCTCAGCGGAACCGTGGGCGTCCTGGTGCCGTTTACCAGCCACGAGGACCACGACTTCTTTCAACACCTGGAGATGCACATGCGATCCGAGCATCCGCCCTTATGCGGCAGGGATCATCTGTCCTTCCGCTCGTACTATTACCCGGTGAAGAACGTCATCGACGGCGATCTCTGTGAACAATTCAATTCCATCGAACCTGCCAAGCAGAAGAGCATCTCCGGCGACCTCGAAAGAACGCCGTCCGAGGTGTCGAAGAAACTGGAGGACATACGCACGCGTTACGCGTTCTAAGATGCTGCTCCGCGAGTACATCGTATCTTTCGATATGTTGTTTTTCCATTTTTTTTCTCAGCACTCATGTGTCTCGTTAATCGGCAGATCTTGGAAAATTTGTTGTACATTTATTATAATTTCTATTTTTTACACACCTTCCTAAGTAGCAAACTGACATCATTAAACGTCAATTTGATGTCATTAAATGTCAAAATGATTCCAAGTAGCAAACTGACATCATTAAATGTCATAATGATGTCATTTTTACGTCTGTGGCGTCATTTTGCTACTTGGGATGTCAATTTGACGTTATTAAACGTCAAAATGACATCATAAAATGTCAAAATTACGTTATAAAATGTCAATGACACCATAAAATGTCAAAATTATGTCCTTTTAACGTCTAATGTAATTAAATGTCAAAATGACGTATACTTGCTACCTGGGATTCAATTAGCGTTTCCATATTTTTCGACGTGATCGTAATTGACTGAAAGCTAAATTCTATTATATACATGACATCATCTGTATAAAAATTCGATATATTTTCTACATGCGTAATAACTTTATTATATAAAATATATTATCTTGATATTTTTTTTACTACATAACGTTAACATTCAGAAAATTATATATTCAGTTTCCTTTAAGGCAAAAAACAATTATCGCATGAAGAAATGAGTATAAAGATATTTTAACAGCCTAGGGAGACTATTAAGAGTAATCCCGCTAAATGTGTATAAGTTTTGTAGTTCTGTAACAAATAGCGAGAATCGCTATGAAAATCACGATACCACAACTGATAGATTCGATTGTTACGTGAATAAGAAGTATTTAATTTAATTTGTATCGGTGTAGATACGGTATTCACACACATAACACGCGCGATGTAATTTCACTATTACTAGTATTACAAACAAAACCGCATATATAAACTAAAATGCATCGCTTTCAAATATGGTATTCATATGACGGCGATTAATTTCAGCCCGCTGCTATTTTACAAATTTGCGTATTAAATCATTTATCGAGTTTAACGTCAAATTCATCACTCGCCTCCGATAATGATTTGTGTACATCCAACACGAATATCTTTGAATATATTTATTAAAGGAGAAATATCTCTCTTTCAGACCGAATCCTTCCTATAATTTAATTCCATGGAAACTAGAGTAAAAAAATGTAAAATTATCTTGGAATCTCCTAGAATTTTTTTTATTAAATTCCAAGATGTTGCACATTTAACTAAAAATATTGTTTACGTTTGTGTAAATATTAAATTAAAATGATTATAAAATATAGGAGATTTTGTGTACATTAATGACGATTTTTGTTAAATATTGTATGTAGAACGGAAAATAATAATTGTTTTCCTTTTCAGGGAAGCACAGTTTTCCGTTATTAAAGCGATAAAATCTATATAGTCCGACGTCAGGAAATCTCTATTTAAAGGATATTCCAGAATATATACTGAATTAGAACGACGGCTCTATCCTCGTATGGCATAACTAGGTGAGCATGCAACCCCGTGAATGCATTCAATTGCATCCCCCACCTCATCGCGATACCTACATGTAAGTGCACAATTATGCATACAGACACATCCTCGAAGCAGTCTATAGTTTCGCACCTCGAAACTATAGAATGTATCCTATGCAGAGAGAATGTTCTCTTTTAGAATTTATCCTGAAATATTCATTTTGTAATTGTAGAATAATATATATAATATTAGAAGAATTTAAAAAATTTTTTCTAATATAATAATTTACATAATTAGATAAATTATATAATTCTCTAATTAATAATACCACGAAAAATATTAATTATATCAATCACAATGAGATATAAAATGTGTTTGGTTAATTTTACTAAAGCATATAGTAAAATTCTAATAATTTTAAAATATATTAAAAACTTATGATTTTTTAAGTAAAATAGATACCAAAAAAGTGATAAACTCGTAAAATATTTTATATAAATTTTACAATGCAGTATATTTTCAATCTAGCTTAATTATTCACGATAATTTTAACATGCAGCATGGTAATTTTCGGCTTATTACCAAACATGATAAAATTTGCAGTGAATCTCGCGGTAAAATATAACGCGAAATTCTCTCCGTGTACGTTAATAATTAATTAATTAATAATTAATTAATTTGAAAAGAAAAATTGAATAATGCACGCATTTTACTTGATTTTTGAAATAAATTTTATCCTTTTTTAATAAATTGTGTCAAATAATTCGCACTTTAATTATGAATTTTTTTTATGCCATTATTTTTTGCATAAAAGTATTGAGATAAAAGAAATATTTTGCAAACTATTCACTTTTTGATCATCTTATCTTTATAACTTCTTTTTATAAATCAAATATTGAGAAAATCAATTTATATAAAAAGAATTAGGGTGATTCTATTTAAAATAATTGAGTTGATTTTTAAATAATCTTGAAATCTTTAACTTGTATTTTTTGTATTTTTAAATCTCTTACAACTATAATTTGATTAAATTAAAATGGGACACTATATATATATGTACATATACATATAAATAAAAATAAAATGTATAAATATGATTATAGATAATTATAGATTGAATATATTGAAAAATATAAGAAATTTTTTTTCATAAATTTATATAAATAATTATATCTAATAATACATAAAAAATAAAGGATCTTTATATTTAACATACGATAAGGTATAAACAATTATTATGAACTGCATATGTATACGTAAAATTAATTTTATAAAAAAATGTAAAATCTCCAAGAACTCTTACATCCCCTAGAATTTTGTGCCCCGGTTAAGCCTTTATCCAGAAAGGAAAAACTGTAAAATAATTTCGTGCGCGATAGTAGCTGGTCTAAAATTACGTAGATGCGCGATTATTCATCGCGCGTGTTCCACATTATCGGATTTACCCCGTAACCGCGTTACGAGATTAGATCTTCAATTGACGGAGCGTCGTTCGCGCGGACGATGAACTGTTAAGGGTAATAAGCGGAGATAATGAATAACGATCACCGGGAGATCGATAACCGGCAAGCAGAAAGAAAGGGGAACAGCGACCTGGAGCTCTCGCCGTGATGCTGGTAACGCGATAAGAGTGTTACCACCAATCCCTTTATATATGCATTGTCCGAAGAGGAAGAGAGAGAGAGAGAGAGAGAGAGAGAGAGAGAGGGATGGAAAAGGGTGCGCACCCGCGTTCGATAGCTCCGTCGTCGCTGATGCGACGAGGATGTGTGTACGCGCCGATGGCTACATGTATATTATTAGGGACGGCAAAACCGTCGACGACGACGTCCTCGACATGCTTATAGCGTCGTGGATGCATGGAGAAAGGGAGAGATCCCGTCCGGAGGGAGACCCGTTCGTGTCGCGTTTACACAGCGTTTCATAATACATATGTAGGGTACATGTTGCGTGATCAACTGAATTTTCCCTCATTTACTGGGGGAAGGAATTACTGCACATCCCCTAGGTCAAGGTTATTATGCGAATTTACGGGGTGTCGCGCGAAGGCAAACTATTTTTCTTGGATGAAGCAAAATTGTAGGAAGAAGAAAAGTCAAAGTAAGGTTTTTTTTCATGTAGAAACCGATTTTTCGAAGAAGATTGCACGGATCTTTTTCTTCAATTTCATAGAAAAGTCACGATATCTTCATTATTGAAGAGAACATCTTGATATCTTCATACAAGAAAACATTCTGTTGATTTTATGAAAGAAGACATCTCGATACCTTTATTAAAGAAGATAACACGTATCTTAATATCTTCATTGAAGAAGACATCTTGATATCTTTATTAATGAAGAAGATATCTTTTTTAATGAAGAAACTATCTTGATATCTTCCTTAAAGAATATATTTTGATAACTTTATTGAATAAGACACCTTTATATATTCATTAAAGAAGACATCATGATATCTTCATCGAAGAAGACAACACGAGTCTTAATATTTTTATTAAAGAATACAATGCACGTCTTAATATATATCTATTGAAAACAGCAACACGTATCGTAATACATGTCTTATAAGGGAACGGTCGGAAGTGTCTCTCACCGATTTTAATGAGCCTTGAATATGTTGTAGAGTATTGAAAAATATTAGATCCTTTTTTTTAGCGACGTATCTCGACGTTTAGGGGATAAAACACTCTCTTGAAAAAATCGTTTTTTTTTTATTTCTGAGCCAATATCGTCGAAACGATAAAAAAATGTAAAAAATGTTTCAAATAAAAGTTTTATGATTTTTAATATTCTTTAAAACAATGTAATTAAATTTTTCAAAAATGTCAATTTTTTCAAAAATTTAAAATTTTTGCCTCCCTTTCCATAATTTGATTGCACTGTTTTAAAGAACATTGAAAACCATAAAACTTTTATTTGAAACATTTTTTTATATCTTTTACCGTTTCGGCGGTAGCTCAGAAATGTAAAAAAAATCGATTTTTTCAAGGGAGTGTGTTATTCCCTAATCGTCGAGATAATGCCGCTAAAAAAATACGGATCTAATATTTTTCAATGCTCTACATATTCAAAGCTCATTAAAAGCGGTGAGGCACACTTTCGACCGTTCTCTTGTTAGTACATAATCTTAGTGTCTTTATTAAAAAAGACAACGCATATCTTAATATATAATGTCTTTATTGAAGAAGACAATGGCTTCATCAAAGAAGACAATGCATGTCTTAATACATAATGTTTTTATTGAAGAAAACAATGTCTTCGTTAAAGAAGACAACGCATGTCTTATACATGTGTCTTAATACATATTGTCTTTATTGAAGAAGACAATGGATATCTTCATTAAATAAGACAACGCGTAACTAACAAGATACTTCATTGAAAAAGAAAACATACATCTTAATGTTTTCATTAAATAAAATAACGCGAGTCTTGATATCTTCATTGAAGAAAACAACATGCATTATAATGTCTTCATTGAAGAAGACAATAAATGCAGATCTTGAAAAAAATAGTAAAATTTTAATGATTGCCTCCTCAAATCAGACAATTTCTAGCAGGAAAAATAATTCAAATGATGTAGAGATGAGTCAGATGGAACGTCCTGTACACACATATCGACATCAAAAGTCTCGACGGTTGACGAGCAGACAGGGGAGTGAGAAGAAGGTTGAAGCTCGCCCACACCTGTCAACCTACCTGCCTACCTACTCAGCATCACGCGATGCTGAAGAAGGCAAACACTAGCGGCTTCTCTCACATTTCCTCTTGGAAATCGGTCAACCATTCATCGAACAATCGAACCGCGTCTTTGATAACGAACGTTATATCATGTATATAGGATTCGATCCTCTCCCGACGCGGTATGTTTTCTCAAAGAACACATACGGTCAACGCGATTGCTTAATCGGACCCCAGGGAGGGATTACTAGAGCGCAAAACATCCTAGATAAGCTAAATCCGAGCGAGAAGATACATTCAGAAGCCGTACAAGTTATTCATCCAAGGAAACACATTGAGAAATTCTGCTTTACTTTCCCAGGTGACATGTTCTACGGGGAATCGCATCAATATATGATCAGCACGATCGGGAGTGACGGATCTCCGCATAGAGGTGATCCCCGGAGTCTCTCCTCGCATTTCGGCAGTCGGTGCCCGACGGTTGACGAGCTTCATGAACAGAGATGGAGAAAGAGACAGAGGGAGGGCAAAAGCCGATCGATGCATTGAGGCGCCTAGCAGCCAGGCAGGCAAGGCATAGCTCTCTTCGCGAGCTCAACCCCCAGTTTCTCTCACTTCCCGTCTCTCTCTTGTCCCACTCCGTCTCTTTCTCTCTTTCTCTCTTCACCCCTGCCGCCGCGACACACGTCGCCTGCAGCGGCGGCGCGCTTCTCCGGGGAAGATACGCGATAGTGTGCAGTTGCGCATCGACCTCCGGGACGTGCACAACGGGTGGAGGCGCTCCTCGTGAGTGCAGCGGCGACGGTGGTGGCGGAGGCGGTGGCGCTTAGGCGGGGTTCCCGTCGTCGCTTTCTTTCCCTCGCGGAAGACTAGGTCGTCCGGAAGGATATCATTATCGTCGTCCTCGTCATCGTCATCGTCGTCGTCGTCCTTACGGTCGAGAAAATGTCGCAAGTGCCGACGACCACTGCCGTTCGCGATCCGCGATTTTAGCATCGTCTTCATCATCATCATCATCATCATCGTCGTCGAGCCGACATGCCGTCGTTCCAAGTCAACAACCAGGTCCGGATCGCTTCGCCGTCGGAATTGTCACTGTGATATGCTCGATTCGTTGGCGAATTATTATGGTAAACCAAATCACCTGTGTATCATTTATTATGACCCGGTTATGCCGGGTGTGGATTTAAATCGGTCTCGCAGGTGTTTTGGAGCGAAACAGGTGTTTACGGCGCCGCGGGGCTGATTGATTTAAAATCCGTACGCGATCACCTTCCAGACTGTAGGATAGTAGAACGATTGATGATGATGATGATGATTCTTGTTTGGCAACCGTCATCATCATCATAACTTACTTTAGGGAAATCGTTTCAGTTCAGCTTAGATGATCAGGAAATTCTAAATGAAACCCCTTTAAGAAGCATGTACAGCAATGGACTGGTTTCTCGCCGAGCAGGAGATAGCTGATACCGGAGGAGGATCCGAGAACAACGACAGACAACAGTGGTGTCGCTCGGTGCATCGCATCCTGTCGCTGCTGTTGTTGCTGCTGCTGATCGCTGACGCGTCGAACGGCGTTGGCGTTGGGGGCGGCACGGGTGGAAGCAGCGGAGCTGGTGGAGGAGGAGGAGGGATTAGTGGTGTCGGAGGAAGCGGCACCTGCGGGTTGGCCGAGTTGACATGCCGGGACGGCCGATGCGTGCCGATCGACGCTTACTGCAACGGCGAGGATGACTGCGGCGACGGCAGCGACGAGCCGGCGATGTGCACCCCGTGCAACCGCACCTACCACGGTCGCGAGGGACGCACCTACAAGCTGGATCTGCCCAGACCCGCCGAGGAGCGTCTGCCCTTTCTGTGCCACCTGACCTTCACCGCGGCCGGACAGGGCTACGGCGAGCTGGTCCAGCTTCTCTGGGACGCCTTCAGCGTCGGTCGCGTCGACCCGAACGCCAACAACTACTTCACGAGCTGTCCCGAGGGCTCGCTCCAGCTGGCCGAGCTAGGTAGACACTTCACCGGGGGCTCCTGGTGCGGTGTCGGCGAGGGTCGAGCGTCATATTACAGGTTTGTCCGCCTGTTCTCTCTTTCTCTTTCTTCTTAGGTACTTTTTCCATCTTATGTTTGAGTATCGGCAGCTCGTGGGATTCCAGGTAGCAAACTGACGTCATTAAATATCAAAATGATGTCGTTTTCACGTCTGAGCATACGTCATTTTAACGTTCAATGACATCAGTTTGCTATTTAGAACATTCAAATGATACAGAGTAGCGTACTGACGTCAAAATGACGTCATTAACTGTCAATATGACGTCATAAAATGATCTCAAGTAGCAACCCAAGTAGAACAGAAAATCAAAATAATATCATTTTGACGTCATTGATCAAATTTGGAGTTCAAATTTGATCAAGATGACATCAAAATGATATTTTGATTTTCTGTTCTACTTGGGAAACTGATGACATTAAATGTTAAAATTATATCATTTTAACATCTATAATGATGTAATTAAATGTCAAAATGACGTCATTTTGACGTCAAAATGACGTATACTTACTACCTGGGATAAAATATCCTAAAAATCCTAAATAATATAATAGGGAAATCTTGCTTGGTGACCACTTGGCTCTTTCCTCTCAAAATTCTTCCAGATCTCTCGAGAGATCTGCAATCTATTTCTGCATAAAACTTCCCATCATTATTATCATAATTTTTCCAGTGAGACCAGTACAGTCACTGCCTCCATACGGCTGTTTCACGCGCCGTCGACGGTGCCGTTCGAGTTCCGTCTCCGTTTCCGCTTTGTCTCGCGCAACGAGGCGGTCGCCCGGTTGGGCAAGCCGGACCTGCCGGTGGAACGGGGTTCCCCGGTACCTGGAACCTACTGCTCCCGCAACTTTTACGAGTGCCACCTGAAGCAGTGCCGTCTACAGAGCCCGAACTATCCCGGCGAGTATCCGCGCAACGCGAGCTGCCTGATTACCGTGCGCCAGAAGGAAGTGCCCACGTGCAAGCACGCGATGATATCTGTGAAGCACACGCCGACCGGTCCGGTCAGCCTGAATGCCGCCGTAAACACCAGCCTCAGCGTCTGGCAGGACTGTCCGCCGGAGCGGGACCGGCTGATCTTCCGGGACGGCGCGCGCACTGAGGACCCGGTGCTCCTGGTGTACTGCGGCGGCCCACTGCCGACAATAACCGCGCGCGGGCCCGCGATGCAGGTGGAGTTTCGCAGCTCGCCGGTCGCGGTGCCGTTGGGCGCCGCGTCTCTGCGGCTCGAGCTCGAGCTGCGGGTCGTCTATGTCGACTCGGACGGCCTGGACTACGCGAAGGGCGCCCAGGGCTGCCACTTTTTCATTAACGGCACCGGAGTCGGCGCCAAGAGGAGCGGCACCATAAGGGCGCCGTTGCACGCACTGCCGCCCGGCTCGAGCTGCACCTGGAACATCAAGGGCGCGATCGGCGACCGTGTCTGGATCTACTTCTCGTCGTACTCGCAGCGCGATCTGACCAGCAACGGCGAGAACAACGCCAGCAACGGCCAGTCGGCGATGGACAGCACGCCATTGTCCCTGCTCTGCGCCGTCAAGCTCGTCTTCTGGGACGGGGCGCCGAATACCGGCCAGCCGATGGCCACGCTCTGCGACGACACGCCTAAACTCTGCGCTCACGCGGCCTTACGGAACATCACCAGGAGCACGAGGCCCTGTACCGAGGAGGAGAGCTACCTGACTGCCGCACCGAGTCTCACCCTACGGATGGAGACCGTTCTGGGGACCGCTCTTCATCCGATCAACTTCCACGTAAGTGTGTGGATGTGTAATGGATGAGATGCTATCCAAAGGTTCCGAGAATTTGCTTATTTTTGCCCTAACACTGAGTCTTAATCTCCACTATTGCCTCCATTTTGGGTTTGTACATACCGATTTCAGGGATTTTCCCATAATCGGAAACAGCTTTTGAAGTTTTCTGCTGGAGTTGACATGTTTAGGACCTATTGAGATTTTGTTTGAATATCTTAAGGGAAATGGTAAAAGGGAGATACTATCTAAAAGTACCGAGAATTTGCTTATTTCTACCCTAACACTAACAATAAGTCTTAATTTCCACTATTGCTTTTATTTTGGGTTTGTATACACCGATTCCAGAGATATTCCCATAATTGGAAACAGCTTTTAAAGTTTTCTGCTGAAGTTGACATGTTTAGAACCTGTTGAAAATTTGTTTAAATATCTTTAATTGCTCAAAACTCTTTTTTTATCTTAGGGGAAATGGCAAATGAGATCTGGTAGAGAGGGAAGAAATTAAACTCTTCCATTGCAAAGATTACTGTCCAATTTGAGATTCACCATCTTTTACGACCTTGGAGAGAAAGTTGGGGTCATCTCTAACTTTTTCTCAAAGTTATTTGAACCTTTTTTGGTCGATCGTGGTTTAAAAGACGCGAAACAAACTTTCCTGCAATTCGTCTCATGTTCAATTCATCCACCAACATCGTGAATTGTTCATCTTCTATCTTCAAGGATTTCCCGCGCTTCCAGAATCGCGTTCGTCTTTGACAGATCTCGCGATCCTATTTAAAACGCTTATATATAAGCATTCCAATGCTTGATCATAATCCTCTTTTAACATTCAATAGGTTTCCGTCACAGTTTTATTAAGCTTGAAGAAAAATTTTCTTTTTCCTTTTACGAAATGATTTTTATTGCAACATTTAAATATGTAGAGATTATAATTAAACGAGTTAATTATATAATTAATTAAAAAATTTTCCGTGTATGCTGCTTTTTATTCCTTCCGATCGAATAATTATTTTCTTTGAAGAGGTGAACGTTTCTTCTTCAATGGACTCTTGACCCCAATATTAGTTCAGCCTGGTGCTATAAAATTATACCATCATCTTCATTTGCCATTACATGCAACGCTTTAAATAATTGTTGATAACGCAATAATGAACTTTGAGCAACCCGATTCACGCTCCGTTAACTGTGTATAAACACACAGGATTAGAGTTTCATAACAATTCTGGCATTGATTCATCTGATCTCCCGCCACACTTACACTGAACAACATTGCCACATCATGCAACTTCAAGAACCACAACCCTCTCTCTCTCTCTCTCTCTTTCCTTTTGTAATAATTGAACACACAATTATCTGTTTATCTCTCTGCATAATTAAACAAATAAGTTTGACGTATCAGTATCCAAACTTGCAACTCGCTCGTTCTAATTCCCTGTATTGCTTTATTCCAGGCGCGTTACGAGTTTGTCTCCACCCTTCAGCCGGGCGAACCCTGGGGCGATGGTATCTGCAGCCGAGTGTGGCGCAAAGCACGCTCAGGTGAAGTGACATCACCCCGCGACGTGCGTCTGTTCGGCCGCGGTGGTTCCAGCAAGTTAGACTGCAGGTGAGAACCGAGGATGAACAAGAGTACAACTGATGTATAATCCTGGGAAAAACCTGGAAAACTTTGAATTCTCAGAGAATTTCTTTCTATCTTGAAAAATCTTGGAATATTCGTGGAATTTGTTTTGGAACTCAGAGAATTTTTAAAATTTATTAGGTTTATATAAAGTATATATTAAATGTATTTTATTATAATATAATACTATATTACACACATTAATTATATTTAAAAAATACTTCATTTACGTTAAAAAATTATGTATAACACAAACTTATTTCAAAATTGTATTCTAAATTTTATTTAAAAATACTTTATTTAAATACTTTAATTTTATCTAGAATTTTGAAGAAAAGTACCTGGAAAATCATGGAATCCTCAGAGAATTTATTTCTAAGATTTGAGTATACATCCTTGTAGTTGTCACCCAAAAGCGAAAGCAAACCGAGAACTCTAGATTCTAGCGAAGTGTCTGTCAGTTCGAGAGATGTACAAACACATTTTGGCCAAAGACGTTTCTTTTGAACTTTGAAAATAATCTATTTTTAAGTGTTTTGATTGACAACATTTAAACATACTACATGGAATGAAAGAATCCTGCATCAAATACGTAGGATTTTGATTTTCGATTAAATTGGCTGTTTTTTCCAGATATAGAAATTGGATTTCGATGAAATTGGCTGGTTTCTTCATATATTGTTTTATCTGGTTTTATCGGAATTCAGTTTTAGGGTTTATATGGATTCAAAAACTAATCATATAAAATTAAATCTTGGTAAGATCAATTGGTTTTCTCATATGTTGTAGCTTATGACTTGTTAAACAAAAAATGTAATAGATTCAATCAGCTGATTTTCCATCCAATATTTAGTTTTGGAATTGTTACATCTTTTGTTCAGCAAGTTATAAGCCACAACATAAAAAAACAGCCAATTCCACCGAAAACCAAAATTCTACAATGTAATTTGGTGCAAGGTCCTTTGTAGCTCGATTTCGACGAAAACACCCGGTTGACCTTGAACTCTACCTACAGATACCGGGTGGAGGCCGGCAGCGGTGAGCGGGTCCGCCTAACGTTGCACAACGTCAGTCTAGGCGAGTCCACGATGTGCACGAGCGACTCGGACCCGCACACCGGTAGACCGCGCTGCGTCCACGAGATTGGCTCCAGGGAGGCGCGGCTGGTTCTCTACGAGGCGCCGTGGCGAGACGTGCGGGTGCCCCGGGCGTGTCTGTGCGACAATACGTCGCACCTGCCGCTCACATACATCTCCTCCGGCCGGGCGGTGGAGATCACCTTCCTGGTGGATCAGCAGGCGCCGCACGAGGACTTCGAGACCCTCTTCTTCTACGCCAGCTTCGAATTGATCCGCGTGCCGGAGTGCCCGCGCAAGCAGCGACTCCGCGGCGAGGGTGGCGAGCTGAGATTCGTCTCGCCACCTCTATCGCGACCGGACATCTACTGCGACGGTCTCCCGTGGGTGGTGGAGGCGCACGAGAACCGGTCGCTCTTTGTCCTGACCTGGGGTTGGTTTCTGCCGCTGGAGCCGCCGGTCACCGGCCCGGATACACCTGGTGGTACCGGTACCGGCGACCAGACCAAGTGCCCGACCACCAATCGTATCCTCCTGTACTCCGGCTGGCCACCGAAGCTGCTGAAGGTCGTCTGCCCGGCGGAGCCGGGCGCCCGCGAATTCACCGTGCACGTGTTCTCGGAGGAATGGTTAGGTGCGACAGAAGAGGGCAAGTGGCCGGGTCCGCCGCGGCCGCCCGCCCTGTTGCTCGACTTTGTCGCACGGGAATCCGGCCAGGCGGCCGCCTCCTGGTTGGAGATCTCGAAGAGCCGCGCGGCGCTGCGCCGACAGCTACGTCTTCCAGAGAGGGGCGTGATGACGGAGAACGAGACGAACGGGATGCCGGCCCACGTAGGCGACTGCCCGCACAAGTGTCCCGAGCTGGGCGCGTGCATCGCCGCCAGCCTCTGGTGCGACGGACATGAACACTGCCCATCCGGCCACGACGAGGCCAACTGCGGCAACGGCGCCCGACTCCTGGGCCTGCTGCCCTCCACCGTCTGGCTCGTCATGGCCGGCGTCGCTGGAATTGTCACTGCCTTCGCGTGCCTATTCACTATTCTTATTAGCAGGTACCAGCTGCGGAGCTTAACAATTCCCAGTTAACAAACTGACGTCATTAAACGTCAAAATGACGTCATTTGATGTCATTAAATGTCAAAATGACATCATTTGATGTCATTAAATGTCAAAATGACGTCATTTGATGTCATTAAACTTTCAAATGACGTTTAATGACGTCAATTTGTTATCTAGGAATTGTCATTGTTGAATATAGGGAGCTATAAATGTGCAATTTTTGTCTCCTAGATCCAAAGCTCGCACAAAGAGACTTCACTACAAGGGAACGAAGAAGAGCAAGAAGCCGCGACGAGCACCTACGGAGGAGACGCTCCTCGGGGCGGCGTCCTGACATCAGCCACCCGGTTTCGTGGAGTATATTCACGTGGACCGGGAAACGACTGTCTAGCGACGCTATATTCTGTGTGCTTCACCGTCCAACTGACTAACTCTATTCGATAGAAGAAGAAGAAGAAGAAGAAAATGAAAAAAAGATCTCTCCCGTGGTGCCATATATATGTATATATACATATAATTGCGTGGCGGTGACGAATTCTCGGAATTCCTACCGCGTCTTCTCTTTTTTCGCCTATTCGTTCCCGAAGATGAAGAAACTAAGCTCGGTTTTGCATGCGTTCGTTCTCGATTCGAGATGCCGAAACAAAATCGCAGGTAGCAAATGATATTTGGTTCTTTATTGTTAAACTGATAAACTAGGACACAGTGGTGCTGCACTAAGTCAAAGTCTGGTCTTTTCAGTTGAAATGGTTGCACTCAGAATTTATTTTTTTTTTACTCGACATTGAAAGAAAAAAAAATAAACTCTGAATTAGCGTATCTACCCAAGTAGCAAAATGACGTCATTAAATGTCAAAATGATGTCTAATAACGTCATTAGACTTCAAAATGACGTATGCTTGCTAGCTGGGTAATTTAGCTAAAAAATACATCTAAAATATACTTAAGTTTGTTCTCTTCAGCTGAACTAGTTGCACTAGTTTATAATTTATTTTTTTTACTCAACATTGAAAAGAAAGAGATAAATTTTGAAGTAGTGCATCTATATAGTTCAGTTGAAAAGAACAGGCCTTTTAACTTATTACACCACTGCACTAGTTCACCAGTGCAGCAAAGAGAATAAACTTACTATATCCACCACCGAATGTCTTCTGTTGGCGAGATATTATAGTGACATATTTATTTGTGATAGTTCCCTATATATATTATATATATACATAATAATAATAAAATTGAGTGCTTTCCAGCAACGAAACCCAGTTACACAGTATTAAATTGTAGCTGGAAGGCTCAACTTGCTTACTTCACCTCTAGAATGCAAGGTAGTCACTTTAAATAGCTTCTTCCATTTTTTTTTTGTTTTAGCTCCTTTACTATTGAAATACCATTTTATAAAATAATACCAAATGTAAAAATGTTGGTATTGGGATAATGCAGAATTGGGATGATACAAATCAACAGCATTTTAGCTATATACGATTCTGTCGATGTTGAAGAGCCCTGGGTCGTACACTGTGTCACCTGTACGTTGCTGAAGAGCACCCATTAAGTATTAAACATACACACACGTACACAAAGACTTAGATATAGCTTTAAGCACGTCTTACCAGGACGGAAAGTAAATCCCAGAATTGTCTAGCGGGATTCAGGTGTGAAGAGTACTAATAAGTCTACCTTTTAAATGCTATTATTACCTGAAGAGTCTCGCTAACGCGCGTTCACACATAGCGATAATTATTTTAGAGATTAGAAGAGAGAGAGAGAGAGAGAGAGAGAGAGAGAGAGAGAGGGAGAGTAAGAGTAAGAGAGGGAAAACGAGTTACGAATCTCTCGCGAATTATTCTAACAAAAAAAGAAATATATATATATATAAATATATATACAAAAAATAAAAAATAGAGATTAGAGAGCCGAAAACAAAAAAAGAAGAGTACGTTTTACGAATAAGATCATATATTTCAGAATTATATGAATAACGAGATTAATTGAACGACGTTGAAATATAATATAAAATGTGTAGTTGAATAACAGAGATGAAAACAGGTCAGGGTTCATAGAATATATAGGTATATGTATAGGATGAAAGAAAATATGTGAAAAAAAAAAAGATATATACTTCTCGTCGCATGAGAATCCACGGTTTCGTGCGGCGAAATTAACAAATATACTGCCTTTTTCGCACGTGGAAATATTCTAATGTCAAAGATAATTGCGTTTATATACATATTCGCGAAAAAAAATTCCACACTTTCAATTTTTGGGCTGTAGATTATCTCATATACATATATATACATATGTGAAAAATTTATTTACATCTCGTCGCATCTTCCAAAAAAAATATATATATATACATTATTTTCATATATTCTTTTATATAGGGTGAGTCATTTTGATCAACGCACGTAAACATCTCGTATAGTGCAAGATGGAAAAAATGTCTCAAACAAAAATTTTTTGACTATGAGGGGGACATAAAATGGTGTCAATGATTTGATCTTGTATAATTATTTGAAGGTCACCTTCAATTTCTTAAATGGAATTTGCTATTTTTTATTACATATTCTTATAGCTTATCTCAATAGCTTTTCAAAATCCTATAATAAAGTGTTGTTTGATGAAGTACTTTTCAAATTATAAAAGTTTAAAGTTTTTTTTTACAATTTTTTGGCATATAAAATGTAAAATATCTTTAAAATGTTCAGTTCAAATCAATGACACCATCTTATGTCCCCTTCATAGTCAAACAACTTTTGTTTGAGACATTTTTTTCCATCTTGCTTACTATACGAGATATTTACGTGCGTTGATTAAAATGACTCACCCTGTATATATGTATATTAAGATGTGTTATATTATAAAATATATTAATGTTACTTGCAAATTCAATTGATTTACACACAAAACACAGAATTTTCAAATTTGTAATATTTTTATTGAATCTACTTTATTTAAATTTAATTATTTATTATATATACACATAAGAGAATATTTGTATAATATATATAGATATTGTAAAGAGAGAGAGAAAAAGAGGATCGCAGAAGCAAAATATTCTAAAACGACGAGAGAGAACAACGTGTATGTTGGTTTTTCGCATTATTGAGCTTAATAATAAATATTTTTTGCCTTCTTGGTTCACTGTGGAATATAAAACGGAGAGAACGAATCATCTTCCAACAGTTTCAAATACCTTTTGTGTATATAGGATATTTTACACATATACACTACACACAAAATTTTATTGACAAAACTTCTAAAATAAATTTTTTTTGTCTAAGAATCTTGAATTTTCAGACACGTCTAAATCATAAATGTTTTTCAAACACTCTGATGTTATTTGGAGGTTTGCCAAAGCATTCTGAAAATATTTCCCTTATATATATATATATATATTAATTTTATACTATCAAAAAAATAAAATATATAATATATATATATATATATATATATATATATATATATATATATATTATATATATATATAATTAAGTATTATATGCTACGTAGACGTATACAAGGTGTCCCAACGATAAGAAAATAGATGATAAAATGGCAAAATAATAAATAGAGCGATATAATTGTCAGGACCCTTTGTGTATGTACATACGTAAGTGTATATATGCATATATATAATATATTAAGGTAGACATAAACTTATAGAGAGAAAGAAAAAATTATATATGCACCGGACCAGTAGAGAGATTATTTATTAGAGGAAACTTCCGCGAAACGCGTTTAAGGCTCAATAATTCACTCGTTATTCAAACTGCGGTGTACGAGATATTATAAAAAAAAACCACGTGAAAAAAGCACTGTGCCACTCGTGTATACACACCAATTTCAATAAAAGCGACAGCTCTTGTAGGAAACATCGGAATAATTAGCGTATTTTGATGTCTTATTCTCTTTCGCTTTATTGTTTATTTTTATTATATATATTTAATATTGTTTATATATATATTATATTGTATTATATTATTATATTATTTATACATGAACATATATATTTTTTTATTTTTGTTTATTTTCTTTTATTATTTTCATTATTTTATTTCGCAGTAGCAGTGACGTCATTTTGACGTTTAATGGCGTCATTTTGACGTTTAATAACGTCAGACGTCAAATGACATTATTTTAACATTTATAATGTTATTCAAAAATTTTCTTTTTATTTTCAATTTTCTAGCAAGAAAATAAATTTTCCTATATATATATATATCATTTTGACGTTAAATGATGTTATTATAATAACATTATTTAACGTCAAAATGATATATATATATATATAGAAAAATTTTCGAATCTTTAATTAAAAATTTAATAAGTAATTGTATTATATTTTGTTTATTTGTATTTTCTTACTAGAAAATTGAAAATGAAAAGAAAATTTTTGAATGTAGCAAATCTATTCATATAATTTTATCGATCGAGTATTGAAAAATTGATATTTAATTTATCTTAAAAATAATAGGTGGCAGCACTAGATTTAATACAGTGTTGGTAAAGAAGAGAAAAAGAAACTTAACCTCTCATTGTCAAAAATAAACGCGTTTGAGAAAACATTGAGAGAAAAGTGAGGAAATGGTATTACATTTATATAAAAAAAGCAGATATAAGAGAAAAGAAATAAAAACAATACACGAAACAATACAGAAGAATAATATACAAAGATAAAACTTATCTTAAAACAGAAGCAGTAATGTAACAAGTGCATCCTAACAAAGGAGCCGAGGGACAAATATAAAAAAAGAAATAGCGTGAAAAAGAATTAAAATAGTGGAAAAATGATGAACGAAAAGATGATGGACGCGCGAAGACGCGAGAGAGAATTAATAGGATTACGTGGAGTTCCTGATGCTTGGAGCAAATCTCCCGTTCATATTGAACAGTAGGTATTCATTGTTTAACATATTTGACAATGTCAGTTTTTTCAGCAATACCACCTAAAATAGAATTATAATCTTGTAAAATTATGTACATAATTTATTTTAGAATTTTAATGTCATTACTTGGACAAATTTATAAATTTGGAAGCTTAAAAATCTGTATAAGTTGATACGATTCATATGTACATAAGCAAAGAAATATATGCAATATATTAAAATTTTGGATTATTTTTTTATTTGCAGCAGTTCAGACGAGGAGAGTGAAGATTTGATCAAGCAAAAGGATATTTCACCGAAGAATCGCAAGAGAAAAAGACACGATGCCAAAAAGAAGGTATTTAAACTCATTCACTTGACAAAGTTAAATCAACCCAGCAAGCATACATTATTTTGACGTCAAATAATGTTATTAAATGTCAAAATAATGTCATTTTGACATTTAATGTCAAATTGACATCATTAAATGACATCTAATGACATCAGTTTGCTACTTGAGAAATCTTTACAACTAAAAGTATTTACAACAAAATTAATAAACATTTTCTATCTTGTAGAAGAGTAAAAAACTGAAGAAGGAGAAGAAGGCGAAGAAGGAAAGAAGAAGGGAGAGAAAAGCGAAGAAGGAAGCAAAAAGGGAGAAAAGGAAGAAGAAGAAAGCGAAGAAGGACACAGACAGTAGTAGCAGTTCTGACAGCAGTGGCAACAGCAGCGACGAGGAGGTCTGGGTGGAGAAGACCACTATCACGAATAAGCCGAGACCCAGGAAGGGTTCGAGTTCGGACGACAGCGGCGGAGACGACGGTACGGTGGGACCGGCTCCGAAACCGCATGTCACACTCTCGGCCAAGGACTTCGGCAAGGCCCTGCTACCGGGCGAGGGCGCGGCGATGGCAGCTTACGTCGCTGAAGGCAAGCGTATACCCAGAAGAGGCGAGATCGGCCTCACTTCCGAGGAGATCGCCTCATACGAGTCAGTCGGTTATGTCATGAGCGGCAGCAGGTGACGACTACGCAGAATTATGCATTAAACATTTTTACAGCTATCCTGATATTAAAACGAGAATGTACTGTATGGATTTGATCCTTCGACATCCCAAGTAGCAAACTGATGTCATTAAATGTGAAAATGACGTCTAATGATATCATAAATGTCAAAATAATGTCTAATGATGTCATTAAAAGTCAAAATAACGTCTAATGACGTCATTAAATGTCAAAATGACGTCTAATAATGTCATTAAATGTCAAAATACTGTCCAATGACGTCATTAAATGTCAAAATGACGTCTAATGATGTTATTTGATGTCAAAATGACGTATTCTTGCTGCCTGAGATGTGCAAATACCTCAAGTAGCAAACTGACGTCATTAAACGTCAAAATGACGTCATTTTGACGTCGAACGACGTCAAAAAGACGTATGCTTGCTACTTGGGACACATAAGCGAGGATTAGTAATTTGAAATTAAGTTGACAAACATCGATAAAATATGAAGAATACTTTTATCGATATGCTGGTTGAAAGTACATATATTTTAAATAGTTTTTTTTCTTTTTAAAGGCATCGTCGCATGGAAGCTGTTCGTATACGTAAGGAGAATCAGATCTATTCTGCTGATGAAAAGCGTGCCTTGGCAATGTTCAGCAAAGAAGAACGACAAAAGAGGGAAAATCTTATATTAGGACAATTCAGAGAGATGATTAATCAGAAGAAATTAGCACAGGAGAAGAATTAAAACTTAAGTAATGTGTATATAGAATTCTAATTCTCTTGTAAAATTTTTTTGTATAATATTAAGCCTTTGTATATTAAGGTAATATAGAAAATAATGTATATCAATGCATGTATATACTTAAGTACTATTCAATTTGTCAAAGCGTTTCGACAAAAAATATAATACATTCTCAAATAGATTGATATAAATATTTATCTTTAATTTTTTTTATTACTTACAGAAATAGAACACAGAATAATTGCAGTGTGATTTTGAAATAAGTTTAACAGTGAAAATTTTTATAATATATTTAACAACTATCTCCTTTTTTATTTATTTATTAACTTTTACTCTTGCTTTCCCAATCCAGCCAACCTCCGGTGTAATTATATGCCCTGTAAAACAGACAAACGGATGTTTTAATATAATGTTTGCTTAAGATTCTAAAGATATCCTCAGCATACCTTGTATATCCTAATTTTTGCATAGCTTCCTGCACTGCCCCACTTCTTTTACCAGACCGGCAGCTGAATATAATTTTTGTGTCTTTACTGGGTTTAGGTCTGCTATAGCGTTCCTCAAACTCCTCTTCCGAAAGATTTAGGAATATTTGTCGAACATTGTCCACTGAATAAGTATAATATATCATACATTATTATTATTTTATTATTTTACATATGCTTTATATATTATATAGATGATGCGATAATTATTGCATTACATTATTCAAGAAATATGTAATAAACTTGAAAAAGGGTAGAAGAGGAAATTCCTACTTGGTATATGAATGCTTCCAGGTAATTTTCCAGTCTCGTTTATCTCCGCATGTTCCCGAACATCGACGATTAGAACGTCATCGTCCTTTTGAGCCTCTAGGAGCTGCTTGTAGTCTACGTTAAGTGCCATTTTTGTGTTTTCACATTTAATTACAGTATCTGCTTCTCGATAAGGCCAATTAGATGAGTGTAAACTTCGTGTCACTGTAAGAAATATCGTATCTTATCATCAGAAACCTTCGTTAAACAAAATTAGTCATTTCATGATGGTAACAATCTTCTACAGAACTTATGTGGTCTTCGGAGAGGTATAAATAATGTTATTATTATATAATCTTAATATTATCATTATAATCTTATTATTATATAATAAATATTCTTATTAATATAATCTTCGAAACAGTTATAAAAGAAAAAAAGAAGATAATCATCTCTTTGCTTCTTCTTCTTTTATAGCTTCTTTAAAGATCATTGATGAATTTTGTAGGTTGTTATACTACTATAAAATAATTTATTTTGTAGGTTGTTATACTATCATAAAATGATTTATTTAACAAACGTTTGTTAAGAAAAGAAAGGAAAAAATAAAAGAAATAATACTAAATAAAAATCTATTGCAACGTGCGATCAACATTATTTTTTCTTTAATTAACCATAATTTCTAGCTTTTCTATCATCAGTAAGAAAGAGAAAGATATGCACATCTGCCTGATTCTGATGAACGATCAGATAAGACTTCCACAAATCGCCGATAATTCGGTTCTATCAACGCACAAGAATTGCGGCGCAAAAAACTCTGCGATATGAATACTTGATAAAGTCGACGGGAAGCTCTTGTGTACATGACTATAGTTACTATAGTTACTATAGTAGCAGTGTTGTCAGGTCGCTGAAAAATTGAACGGTAGATGGCATGCTAAAAAGCGGTAGATTTGAAATTTAAGGGTCGACAGGTCAACCAGCCAGACTCCGAATTGATGTTGGAGACCTCGCGCGTTTACAACGTGAAACTCCGGTTTTAGTGTCAACGCTGAGAAACCAATTCTCGGGTTTTATGTAGTGGTGCATGTCTGTACACGTACGTACACCATTGCATTGCTCACGCGGACGCACCGTAGAGAGACAAGGACCGATGACGTGTTCTCCTTGTTCCTTTACCGTGCCGGTATACGCGAGATGCGGCCTGAAAATGCTTTCTGGCCTTCCGTAGCAAAAGGCAGTAGCGTAGCAAGGCTAATAAGCACCCACTTTTTGGAAATTGTATATATGCTTATGCACATATGTGTGTATATATATATATGCACATAATTTCAAAAATTACATGTATGTTTCCAAATTGTACAGTGATACATAATAATAATAAAATAATAATTCAAAGAGTGGACTAATGTACAGAATGTAAGATACGGGCGCTTATTAGACTTGGCAATTGATTGCTTCTTTTACTTTGATATTTTTTCATCGCGACTTTACATATCGTCAGCGCAATAAAGACAAGGAGAGAACGACTATCAATTCTAGTCTGTTGTAGAACATGTCGTAAATTTATAGACTAATAAATATGTATTAATTACTTTTCAATATTATATTGATATTATAATAATATCTGCTATATAAATAAGTATGAAAAAAGCACATATAATGGCTGAGTGCAAAAATGTTCAGTCTGTCATCGTGAAAATTCGAATTCAAATCTATCGGTATCAACATTTTTTTTTTTAATATGTTGGAATATATAAAAATTATTAAAAATATATTTTTTTGTAAAGACAAAACTAAAAAATTCTTAAAATATAGAAAATATTGGATTAATTTATTTACGGAATTGTTTTGCATTTATATAGAACTTATAAGCATAGTAAGTATTTATAAAAAAAATATAAATATATATACATATATATTTTTATATCTTTTTTATAATTAAAATTTTTTTATAATTGTTTACATAAGCACTCTTAAAAATTATTATCTAGAAAATTATCTAGATGAATTGCCATATAATTTAATTTTTAATCTTATATTTTATCTACACTTAAAACAAAATCATCTTTATATCTTATCTAAAATGAATTATTTACATATAATATATAATATATAGTAGTGATAAAATAATAATAATAATAATTTTTTTAAATAAAAAATCTTTTTTTCTATTGAACGTTTCCAATCCGCCACAAAAAAAGGTCGCGCGTTGCGAGCGCGCCTTAACGAAGGCCCTCGCTAGCGCCACCTGGCGAGGAATGCGGCAAGCGGTTCTTTTTATTTCACGCGTACAGACACACAAGTGCGGACGAGAGTGTACCAATTTATCGGAGATAATCACGGAGAGATAAATCCTGGGTCTCAGTCTTATCGCAGTTTTCGAAACGAGTGAGTAGAAAAGTGACGGGAGGGGATGCTGGGGACCGGGGACTCGGAGCCGAGGCTCCGGCGTTCTTGTCGTCCTCTCGTCCTCGTCGTTGTCGTCGTTTGTTTCTCGGCGAAACGCGACCTCGCGCGGCCACTGCTTGGCAGATACACCCCGATGATGACTATGTCCACGACGAGACGATGCTCCGTCCCATTGTTTATTTATTTATGCAACTCCGCAAGAGATCAGTTTGAGTCTTCTCTTTTCTTCTTTTTTTTCTTCATTTCTCCTTTTTTTATTTTTTCTGGATATCTTCTGGGAAGTATACCATTTTTCACTCCCCACGTGTGTTTTCAGACGGGCATACGAAATAATCCACATCCAATGAGCTGAACCTTATGAAAATGAGCTCGCTACAGCAAGGAAACAGGTTCCTCCCATTCTCGACTGGCAATCTACAAAGAAAGCAGCTGTCTATACCAGGTACGTTTTCATAAACTGTGATTCTGGTAAAGTTGGTGGTGATAAGAGGCTGCGAGAGGTTACACTTGACAACTGTTCCAAGTATGATGCTTAGCGAAGTGTTTTCTCCTCTGCAGGTGGTCTTCCTCAAAGCTTGAGTGGTAGCGAGACTGATGTTTCCACATCTAACGAGAATCTGAGCAACGAGGAGAGATACGTCATAAGGCACACGGCGCGGCAGGAGCCGCAGGGTCAGGAGAATCAGCAGCAGAGTCCTTCTAGGTCCTCCAGTCACAAGGAAAACATACCAAATATTCAAGTACGTTTAATTGATACTATAAATGCAGGAGAAAATTGTAAACAATGGAATAATTGTGTCTTTTGCGACTCTATATTGGGCTTTCTAGCAATGACACAGTGTGATAGAGTATCATTACCTGTGTTCAGTGGAAAAAACAGCTTTGCAACTGGTGTAAAATTTATGTATGCTCTTGATCTTAGCTGAATCCAAGCCATTCCATCTTCTTTCAATACCAGTAAACAACAAAGATGGAATGATACTCTGTTGTTGCTGGAAAGCACCTATTATATTCTTACATAAAGCTGAAATGATTTGTTACGATACAGGGCAATCTGCATAATAACAGAAACAGTCTGAAAGAGAGTCTGAATGGATCAAATAGAAACAGTCTGAAGGAAAGCTTAAACGGTTCCAACAGGAATAGCCTGAAAGACAGCATCAATGGCTCCAATCGGAATAGTTTAAAGGACAATCTGAGCAATCGTAGTGTAGGCTCGAACAGAAGCAGTCTGGACGTGTCGACGAGTTCGTATAATACGTTGATTATACACAACGCTAACGACGACAGCTCATGGATACCATCCGGAAGGTAAACAAACGTTTCCTTCCTCAATTGTTCTACCTTGCATTTGTCATCTACATCTGATCAACGTACAATCAACAGATTGTCGGGCATGGTGAGGGAACACGCAGACGTGGGCTACTTGTATTGCGATGGCAATGGCAAAGGTCACACCAACAGTCCTACGATGCAATCCCTGTCCAACCTACCACACGAAGATTACGTTCACGAACATTCTAGCGGCGGTGGTTGCCAGGAAATTACAGACATCCCGGATGACTATCTCAGTCAGTCTCAGGTATGACAGGTCATTTATACAGCGAACAATGAACACCCAAGTAGCAAACTGACGTTATTAAACGTCAATATGACATTTAATGATGTCAGTTTGCTACTTGGGAAACTAAATAACGGCGAATTCTTCTCTCGAATAGCATTATAAATAATTTAATATCTCAATCAGTCTCAGATATGACATTATTTATATAACGAGCAAATAATACTCAACAGATTGACGTCATTAAATGTCAAAATGACATCATTTGACATTTAATGTCAGTTTGTTACTTGGGGAAGTAAATAATGGCAAATTTTTCTTTGGAGTAGTTTATAAATAATAATTTCAAAAAAATTACAGGTTTTGAAACATCTCGCGAAGGAGGTGAAGGTGCCGTCGTACACCAACAATGGAGACAGCTTAGAAATGAGACTAGGAGAGATGAGAATAAGGGATGGAGGGAAGCAGAGCGACAGCGAGTACGAGAACAGGCCGTCGTGCTACATATCCACGTTGTTACCGTTTAACAAGCAAAAATTTCTCGGCCCGACGGAGAAGTTGACCATATCCCGGTCGCAGCCCGACCTGTCCAAGGTCCTCAGGGAAGACTTGTATCTCACTCGAATGAGATCACCTCGGTAATCTTTATATCTCTAATGTCCGCGCATTTTCAGTATCTCTCTTTGAGTTTTTTTTAGCTGCACTAGTTCGTAGTTTATCTTTTTCTTCCCGACTTATGGAAACTTTTTGACACGCTTGAATCCTTCCAGACCGCAGACCAAGGGCCGGGAGGAGGTGGAAAGGGAGACGGCCGAGGTATGGCAGCCATCGGAGATGATTCAGCTGATAATTCAGGAGAACAACGCGCTGAAATTGGAGCTGGACCGCTGCTACAGCAAGGTCTCCAAGTCGCAGAAGCTGGAGCAAGAGGTGACGAAGGTGCATCGCGCCCACGAGGAGCTCGCGGCTTCCTGCGAACGACGGGAGAAGCTGGAACGCGCGGCACGACTGAGACTGCAGAACGATTGTCGTCGACTGAGCGAGCTGAATCGCGCCCTAAGGGACCAGATCGACCTGTTGTCCACGCGCACGGACAGCCCGTCGATCATCCAGAGCATGCGGAAAGAGCTGTCGCAGCACGAAGTACTCATCAGCCAGTTCCTCTCTCAGAGTACGACTAGACTTCCGAGTTTCACTCTACTTCCTTTTTCTAACTATCGCCTAACTCTTGCTTTCTCTCTCTCTCTCTCTCTAGACAAAGAACTGACCGCCGCGAAGGAGAGGCAGGAGATCGAACTGGCCGCCCAGCGGGCCACCCTGCAGGAGCAACGTACGCACATTGACATTCTGGACACCGCCTTGACTAACGCTCAGGGCAACGTCGTGCGGCTCGAGGAAGAAGTAACTTGATTATTTAACCGACGAAATAGATGTATAGACGATCTTCTTTATTTAACGATTAGTTTGGTGCATAATGCTTGAATTCTTGAAAATGATGAAGAATCCTAAATTTTTCGCAAACTAAGACAGTGAGATTTTATTTAAATTCTAAATGGACTCGGATAAGTCGTTAATAGAGGTGTGATATGTGATTTATGATAATATTTGTGGTAATGATCTTGGATGTTGATTACTAAAGGAGTTTTCTTCCGTACAGTGTCGCAAAAAGCAAATGTACGTGGAGAGAGTCAACCAGCTTCAGCGAGCCTTGTCTTCGCTCCAGGCGTCTAGCGATAGACGAGAGGAGACGGAAAGACAGTTGAGGGGTCAGCTGGAGAAGGAGCTGCGCGAGGGTGGCGGAGGTGGTGGTGGAGGAAATGGCAACGAGCAGACGTCGAACGGAGAGACTATCGCGGACCTGAAGCGACGGTTGCGCGAACGGGACGAGAAGATCATGTCTCTTGAAGGAGACGTCGCCAAGTGGGAGCAGCGTTACCTGGAGGAGAGCGCGCTCAGGCAAGCGGCCATCGACGCAGCCAGCTTGCCGAAGTAAGAAGAGTCTTCTCGAACTTTTACGTATTCTAATTTTCTCCCTTTACGCGATATTCATTCTTGTTCCGTTCAGAGACGCGAAAATCGCCGCTCTGGAGAAGACCAGTCAGGATGCGGAGAAGCTCATCGCCGAGGCGCGTTCGGAGAAAATGAGGCATATGGATGAGGTGCACGCCGCGCAAAAGAAATTGGCCGATCTTGAGTCCAGGTAAAGAGGAAGCTACTCATTGTAGATCGACGTCATCGAGTCGATTAAGTGCCCAGGTAGCAAACTGACGCCTAATGGCTCCATTCGACGTTTAATGACGTTTAATGATGCCATTTTGACGTTTAATGACGTCAATCGATGTCAAAATGACGCATGCTTGCTATCTGAGTGGATTATGTTATTTGGATCAATTAACTGATAGGTTTTTTTTATCCGAACAGGATGAAGGATCTGGAGTCCAAACTGGCCGAGAGAGACGCCATGATCAGGGTGTTGCAGAAACATACGTACGACAAGGTGGACAGCAGTAGCAGTAGCGGCGTGGGCAGCTATCCTGCCGCGCATTCGTCGCATTCAAGCACGTCGGCGGATCATCATACGGCGCTGACGAGCACGCCGGAACTCGGTACAGATATTCTTGCACTTATCTAAGTATTTTTAGCAAAATAATGAGAGAAAGGATGCCACAATACACTTATGGAAATTGGATTTCGCTGGAATTGGCTGGTTTCTTCATATGTTGTAGCTTATGATCTGCTGAACAAAAGATGTAATAGCCTCAGAGCTAAATAATGAACAGTTGCTGAGCTACAGCTAAGCAAACAATTTTCAGAGCCTTAATTCAGAGCTTTAATTTCATCTAGGATTTCATATAGGTTTCTCGCATTAATAATCCTACCTAAAATTGAATCTAGATAAGATTAGCTGGTTTTCTCGTATATTGTAGTTTATGATCTACTGAACAAGAAATGTAATAGATTCAAAGCTAAATACTAGATAGATTTATAGCTAGTTAAACACAAGAGATGTGGGCTCTGTGAGTTGTTTGACTGGGTGTAACTCAGTAATTGTTCATTATTTAGTTTTGAGGCTATTACATCTTTTGTTCCGTTGGTCACAAGCTACAATATATGAAGAAACCAGCCAATTTCATTGAAATCCAGTTCCATAAGGATTGTATGGGGTCCTTAATTAGTGTAAAGAAAAACAACTTCTAGGATTTTATATCATTTCAAGAACTAATCCTATCTAAAATTAAATCTTGGTAAGATCAACTGGTTTTTCTCTCATATTGTAGTTTATAATCTATTGAACAAAAAATATAGATTCAAAGCTAAATAATAGATAGTTACTGATTTACAGCTAGTTAAACACAAAAAATTTGGGCTCTGCAAGTTGTTTGACTGGGTGTAACTCAATAATTGTTCATTATTTAGCTTTGAAACTATTACATTTCAGCAGGTCACAAGCTACAATATATAAAGAAACTAGCCAATTTCACTGAAACCCAGGTAACAAGCATACGTTATTTTGATGTTTAATGACGTCAATTTGCTACTTGGGCAGTTTTCATAAGGATTATGCAGGGTTCTTAATCAGTGTAAAGAAAGCCAGTTGTGTGTGTTTTTTTAAGTATGCAACTAACTATTTTTTCTCGAATAGTGAGCAGCGTACTCGGCGGTGGCAGCGGATACGGCAGCACCGGTTCCTACGGCGTCACCGACAGCTACAAATATAGGAAACAGGGCAGCTTCGAACAGACTAACAAGAGTCTCGACGATCAACTGAAGGAGCTAGACTCGCAGCTACTTAGCAAGGTAGCAATAATTTAAGCGCATATGAACGTTTCTGACTAAATATTTAGGTGGTGATCGGGTATAATTTCGAATATATAGTGTTATCAATATTTTCTCTCTGTTTCATCGAATTCATTTCTGTCATTCTTTAAAACACATACATGCGCTTCGATTTACATTAATATATTTATCCCAGGTAACAAGTATACGTCATTTTGACGTCATTGATCAAATTTGAACTCCAAATTTGATCAATGACGTCAAAATGATATTATTTTGATTTTCTGTTCTACTTGGGCATTAAATGTCATTAATTGTCAAAATGACACCATTTTGACATCGATCGACGTCATTAAACGTCATTTGACATTGACTGACGTTATTAAACGGCATTAAACGTCAAAATGACGTCATTTTGTCGTTTAATGACGTCAGTTTACTACTTGGGATATTTCGTTTACGCATTAATATTTATCATTCCTTTTTTTTATTAATAGAGGTACATTAATTTTTATGGACGATTACATATTTTGAGTTCTTTAGCAACATTTTAATAGTCATCGCTGATCGTGAAAATATTACAGGTCAAACATGCGAAGGTACTTGTGTTTTGTGTTGATAGCTGTTTGAAATACATTTTCCATTTTTATTTTTAATAAAGAGCGTTTTTCAAGTTACTTTGACATTAACTTTATGTGTGATGTAACACAATAATCTCAATCTTTTCTTTTTTTTTTCTTTTTTGTTATTTTCAAAATCATGTAACACCTTTAATAGCACCTCGAATAACACTTTTGTGTTACTATTTTACACCGATGTGTCTTTGTAAGCAACAAATTTCTCTGATTAATCTAGTATCTTCCCCTTCTTGCCAAACTTGCTGAAGTAGGTAGCCAACATAGAGTTTCTACAGATTAATTCTTTCTACTTGGTTTTCTTTTTTCTCTTTCTTCTCTCGAGTTGCTCTCCTCACTAATCCTTCCTGAAGCTCTCCCACCCAGACATCCTCCCCTCGACATCCTCGAATGTGCATGTGCGAGCGTTTTATACTGCGAGCACTAACCCCTTTTCCAGGTCCCGGTCTTCCTCTCTGCAACCCGTGCGGTTCTTTCTGTTTCTTGTTTCAGCGGGCACTTTGCTGTTTTCCAGGATTCTCTAATCCAGGCACTGCGTCGCGAAAAGGAAAAATACCCAAGCCACTACTGGCGGGTGTAGATAGCACAGGTACCTCGAGCACCGCCTCGAGCAAGAGCCGGCTCCTGGACGACTCGTCCGGCGACGTGGTGTCGCCGAGCATAATCGATTTCGCGAACGCTGCCGCGAGGCTCAAGGGCACGATCTCCAGGCTCTCGGACGGCGCCGGCGGCAAACCCACCGAGGACATGATGCTGCTGGAGAAGCAGGGCAGGAGCTCGCAGCGGCAGCGGATGACGTCGGAGGTCAGCGGAGAGCCGCGTCGCGCCGGCAGTCTGCCGCCTAGTTCGCTGCCGCGGCCGCCCAGGACCTTGAAGACGACCGGCAACCCGCGCTACTGCCGGCTGAGCGACTCTGAGACCCGGAAGAAGTCGGACCCAGGCCCGGGGATGCCGGTAGATGCGGCCGGGAGCGGCAACGCAAAGCTCGGCCGCGACTCCAGCAGCATTGAGTACGGGAGATTCGACACCGCTGCCGCCAAGGTGCTGCGCAGCAGGAAGAAGAACCCGGTGGAGAACATCTTTATGGCGAACAGTACCCTGAAGAAGTCGTCGACGGGCGCAAGCGGCGGCGGTCATGAATACGAAAGACTGCAGGCGGACACTGGCCGCAAGAAGTCATCGTCGTCGTCGTCGGCTGGGAATGGTAACAGCTGCGTGTCGGAGTTCGCGGTGAAGCATCGGGAGATTCAGAGCCGTTCGTTCATACCGCCTCCGCCTCCATCGTCATCTCGGCCTCGTATAGGCGAGTACGGTCGGCTGAGCGACGGCGAGGCCTCCTCGATGATGGCGGCGGCGAACGCTCTCAAGGCCGGAGGAGGTAGCGGCACCCTGAGAAAGCAGACGGGAGGGTCCTCCCGGGGCCAGAGCACCGGCAGCATCGTCAGCAGCAAAAGCGGGGGCCGCGACTCCGGTGGAACCGCTAGCAGCGAGGCATCGACGGCTTCCCTGCCGCCGACCAAGGCCAGGTCGATACCGCGTCCCAATTATCGCATCCAGTTCTGAGGAAGCTGTATATTTACGCGCCGTATAGTTTTCATCGAAGAGTTCCCCAGGTCTATTTGGATAGTGCGACTGGTGCCTAGGATGACTAGCATGATTGAAGATCGGAAGATCCTGTGTTCAATAGGCAATGTGTCCATTTAGGCCACTTTGGAGACTCGGTTCGATCCGTAGACAAGAGGATATGTTAAGTTAAAAGATTGAGTTATATTAGAATGTTTTCCAGCAATGAAACAGTTTTACACTGTGTGATACAAGAGGTCTGTTCGTTTTAGCTGAACTGGCTGTACTAGTTCAGATTGGAAGAAAAAAGATAAACTGAAACCTAATATTACTCCATTTGTTTGATACGCATATAAAATGGTGCGTTTGAACTGATCGGTGACTGACCAATTTACTAATTATTTGCTGCGTTCAGCAGAACAACTGCTTAGTTATCGTCTTATCAACACTCTACATTGATTTATTGGTTCTAAAAGTAAGAACCAATCACGTTCGATTGCTAATAAGCAATTTGTTCTGTTCAACGCAACCATTTACTATTTACTATTTGATACGTGTATCAAATGCTCAGTATAAATTAATTCAACGTTGACTTGTAATTGGAACACTGCTTAGCTTTTTTACTTCATTGCCAGAGTGCAGAGTCATTTTGCATAGCTTTTTCAAAATTTTAATCAGTTTTTTCGGTTTTTTTAAAGATTTTTAAATTTCACACTTAACTTCACGATTTTAAATATAAGATTGGACTATGAATATCGTCCATAATGAGACACAGCATTTTAGCTGTGTACAATTGTGTCAATTTGTGTACGTTGCTGGAAAACAGCTACCTATAAGGCAAAGTTGGGAAACTTACTTTATAAAAATAATTCGTTATTGTTACTCGTTACTGATTTTAAAAAGTAACTTGTTACCGTTATCATCATTTAAAAAGTAACAAGTCGTTACAATTTTCATTACTTTTTTTCATATATATATATATATAATAACAAACTTATATGTATATTATAAAACAAAATTTTTTTTAAATAAAAAAATCAAATTGAATAATGGCAAACTAGCCAAGAAATTTTTATTTTATTTCCACAACGTTTCGACCATCTGTTTTTCACTTGAAAAGGACCAAAAGCAGATGGTCGAAACGTTGTGGAAATAAAATAAAAATTTCTTGGCTAGTTTGGGTCGAATTAAATATATCGTTCCTATTTAAAAAAAATCAAATTAAATACTTTTAACATTTTTAAACATTTTTTTATATTAAATTAATAGGTCCTTGCTATGGTTACCTTAGATAATTATCGAGTAAATTCCGAAAAAGTTATAATAAAAGTAACGAAGTTACTTTTTGCGTTACAAATCAAATTTGTAACGCGTTACTTCCCAACTCTGCCTATATAGTTCTGTTGTTTCAGCTTTTTTTACTCCACATTGGAAGGAAAGAGATAAACTCTGAACTAGTGCAGTCAGTTCAGCTGAAAAGAACAGGTCTTATTGGATGTTCACGTTGTGCAGATAATTTAACGAAGTCAGCGTACTGGTTTCCTTTTAACTGTTAGATTCCATCTATCTTTATCTACGGTTCGACCGGTCTGGAGACACGATTCGAACGGATCTTGAGATCAATCGAGAACTTGACGCATTTGATCACATTTTAATAATTGATTTAATCGGATTAGAATTTCTGTATGAATTAAGCCGGGTCCAAAAATTAAGCAAATGAACACGAACGATAATGAAATGAATAAGCGCACGTTAATTATTAATTTGTTTAACTTTCCTTCTAGATCTAAAATATCTTGTGTAAAATATTATTTCGCGATTCTTTTAATTCTACTTTATAATTAACGCACAGAATTATATAATTATCAATTGAATAACGCTTTTATCGACATTCTTTCATACTCGTTTGCTGGATCTATGGCTTTTTTATACGTAAGATTGCGTTGTACGCGATGCGAGAGAATGGCCATAACGAGAAAAAAAAGCGCCTAAAGTTGCGTCGCGCCATTATAATTACTATTCACTATTTAATAAGCTAATCGTGCAAGCCATAAAACGGACACGAACGACACACGATCTAAAACTAACGATGTAGCGATGTAGTGTATGACCTAGTCATTACCAAAGTAACTCTCTCGAATAGAATAGGAAAGAAGAATTGTGTCTTCCTCAATCGCGTCTCGCGATCCCATCATGGCGGCCTTATAATAATATACAGAGTGGGAGGAAAGATTCTCCTACGTCAAAAGTGCCTTTTCTCATGGATCGTCTCGCGATCCTCGAAACATTATTCTTTTTTCTTCTTTTTTCTCTATCAAGGAAAAGAAGAAATTCTTTTCCTTGTGTCTTCTTTTCTTTTTTTCTTATTTCTTCTTTTCCTTGTGTCTTCTTATCTTCTTTGCCTTGTTTCTTCTTTTCTTTCTTCTTTTTTTAGATTAGTTTAATTTTATCCTTAAGCTATTCAGAAACACAATTCCTATCCTCAATTGGTCTAGGTTTCTCGAAAAAGAGAGACTGACCCGCAGACGGGACACCGTGACGTTGCGCTTTCCTTTGCAATCCTCGCAATACGCGTATCTCTTCCGCATTCGCGTATCTCTTCTTTTCTCTTTTTTTATCATAGTACAGAGATGATACTTCTTTTCGTATAGCTTTATAATGTAATGTAATATTTTTTTCCTTAAAAATCCGCGTGTAAAAAACCCTGTGTGTATATACATACATATATATATATATATATATAATGTACAAAATGTCAAAATCCTTTAGGTTTGGATGTTGCAAATTGCATATATTTTTCTTAGGGTCCCAAATAGCAAACTGACATCATTAAACGTCAAAATGACGTATGCTTGCTATCTGGAATAATTTTATTGACCTTAAAATGACCTTGAAAAAACGTTACTCAAGCTCAAGCTGATAATGGCTAATAAATAGATCTTTTTAAATCCTACTATTTTTTAATTTTTTTCAAAAAGTTTTAATGAAATTAATGGGTTTCGACACATTTTTGTACATCCTATGTATGTATATTTTTTACAATAATTGGTAACGGAATTGAGATAGTTTCTTCGCACGAAAAAAAAAAAAAAAAAAGAAACGAAATGACAAAACGAAAAAACGCCAAAGTAATAAAACTATTATATGTAACTATATATACATATGTATTTATATTATGTATGTATATATAGCGTATTATATATTATTATATAAAATGTCTTAATATAATTGACCGTATTTATTTGTGTGTTATGTTGTAGTCGTCTAACAATGTACGCGTGCGCGTTTATGTAATTCATAGTTCGATTTTTTTTTCTCTTTCCCCCTTTTATGTAACACGGCGCAGCTAAGCTGAACCTTCTTTCGAAAATCTTGTAACATACAGATATGGATATTGTGATGTAGCGAAGCTGTAGGATAAGGCTCTCTAAGAATAAGGCATGCGAGGTGGGGTAACGTTTCCTGCATAACAAAAGTGGCACAAAAGATTCGGAAGAAGAAAGAAGTCGATGAAAGTGGAAAATTAACGTCTTCATTCTATTGCGCTGTTGAATGATGATGATGATGATGATAATGATGATGATGATGATGATGATTATGATGATAATGATGATGATGATGATGATGATGATGATGATGATGATGATGATGATGATGATGATGATGATGATGATGATGATGATGATGATGATGATGATGATGATGATGATGATGATGATGATGATGATGATGATGATGATGATGATGATGATGATGATGATGATGATGATGATTTTTTCGATGACTTGGAAATCTGTAGTCTGTCTCTGCTGTTTGATTCAGCCAAGCGAACTATCGATCTGCTATCAACGTTCCTGATGTTTTCCTACTTCCTGTCTCTCCGCACCAGGAGAGACAGGCGAAGCGAGGTGGACGGGACACATCGAAAGTGTATCTTCCACGCATGCAAGAGATGATACCAAATGCGACATCACCAAAGAAAGAAAAAAAGCGTCCTACTACGGGCTGCGTAGCTAAGATACTACGTGTCCACGTGCGTAAAAACGAATATATCTATATATACACATATACATATATCGTTCCTATATAATATTTCCACGAGCTGAAGCTGAAGAAATTATCTGGGCTCTCGAAAGAGCAACTTTTGTGAGAAACGATACTCCTTCTCGAATCTACGGCGACGAGATCTCGCCGCTGGGTCCCTTCTTCCCTTTTGCTCTCTATTTTTGATACGGCCGAGTTTGCTCCAAGCGACAAGCTGTGCTATCTCATCGTGAAATTTATACACGCGAGACTTCGCGCTTTATATTTATATATCGAACGAAGTCTGTGGCTTTTTTTTCGATAGCTTTACTTATTACTGCGCTGGTACCAGTAGAATCCGTAGAACTTCCCGTGGCCTTAAAAGCGAAATAAAAAAAAAGAAAATAAAAATAAAAAATCGACTCCTTCGTTCGGAGAACTTTGCGAGAAAGGGAGCGCGGATATTCGCGCTCCCAAATGTTTTGTACTCGAAAGAATGCTGGCAATTTTGCTCGATGTAAAGAAAAAAAAGGTTTGAATTACAGCCCCTCTTATAAAATTACGCTGTTATTTATTTTCGTTTCTTGCGATAGAATAGATTGGTAAATTCAGAGATGCTGAATTCATTTCTGACAGTGAAATCTATTAATATGCTTCTATATGTGTTTGTGTAAAAATTGCATTTTTAATTATTTAAAGATAATAATTTATCACACATCATCTTATAAGAGAGTAAAAAAAATTACAGACATTTAAAAAATCAAGCGATGTTTAAAGATGACATTTAATGACGTCATTTTGACGTTTAATGACGTCAATTTGCTACTTGCGTTATAAAATATATATATTTTTGTTTAAGTCTAATTGAGTTCTTGAAGCTTCTTCAGCACCCTCTTCATCGTTTTCTCTTGTGCTTGTGCGACCTGTGTCTAGTATCGTCGTCTTCCGTGGTCCTCTTCCTCTCGTTATCACGATGTCGACGCTCCCTATCGTGCTCGTCTCTTTTGCCCCTTCTTTCCGATTTCTCTTCGCTGTGGTCTCTCCTCCGGTCGTTGCTGTCGTCCCTCTTACTTCTCCTTTCCAACCTGTCCTCGCTGTGACCTCTCCTCTGATCCTCCTTGTCCCTATCTCCTCGTCGTTCCTCCCTCCTTTTCCTATCTCTTCGTTCATTCTCGTACCTATCGTGCGATCTGTCTTCCCTTCTCTTATCTTTATCCTCTTTCCTGCGCTCGTGCTTTCTATAATCCTTGTGCGAGCTCTTCTTCCTTCCGTCATCCCTATCTCTACCGTTGTCGTCATGATTCCTCTCGGATCTCTTCGAAGAGAAGCTCTCGTACTTCTTGTTCGTCTTGTTGTCCTCGTCGAGGTAACGGATGCCCTTTCCTTTGCCTCGCCAGCGCATCTTCGCGACCGACTGCGAGAAATCCACGTGTATCCTCCGGTCATCGATCAGGACATTATCCATTTTGAAGTACGCGTCTTCGCAGCTCTTGCGATCGCTGAATTCGATGAACGCATACTGCAAGGAGTCTCCCGTTTGATGGTCTCTTATCACTTCGCAACTACATGTGTACAAAAAATTACAATAATTAAAATTGAAACATCCAGGTAGCAAACTGCCGTCATTTTGACATTTAATGACGTCATTTTAACGTTTAATGACGTCAGTTTGACATTTAATGATGTCATTTTGACGTGTAATGCCGTCAGTTTGCTATAATAGATACATGATTTGTGACAGAAATGATTTTAAAAAAATACATACCCAACGATCTTCCCAAAACGACTGAAAATGATTTCAAGATCGTCGTCGGTCGTGACTGGATTTAATTTGCAGACAAACAGGACGTTCTCCGGCGGAGCGATATCCGCGTCCGGTATATCACCCACAATCTCTAGTATCGTGGCTCTCGCTTTTGCTTCCTTGGCCTTTTGAATTTCCATCAGCTCTTCTATGGTCATCCCTTTCATATCGTCGATCGCCTCATCCGCTCCGATTCTATCGCTCTATAAATATATATGATCATACAGAAATTAATAATTATATATATATATATAATTTAACGGATCATATATATATATATATATACAACTATTCCAAGTAGTAAACTGACGTCATTAAACGTCAAAATGATGTATCCTTGCTATCTGAGTATAATTTGTATTACAACTAGTTTACAGTTATATAATAGAGTTATTTTTATATTATTCTTATAATTAGAGTTGTATAATTATTATGTAATAACTTATAATTATCAAACTAAGATAAATTGTTAATTATTATAATTATATATAATAGTAATACATATATATAATAATAATAATAATTAGTATATAATAATTATATAACTATAATAAAATAAAATAACTATAAATATAGAATTATAATTATAATACAAATATAACTATAAATATAGAATTATAACTATAATATAAATATAACTACAAATATAGAATTATAGCTATAATATAAATATAAATATAATTATATAACTGTAACACTATAACATAAATAATTTAAAACATAATAAATATGTCGAAACTTATTAATAGACGTACTTAGAATAAATCAAATTATATACAATTTCTCTACTTAGCATAAATCAAATTATATATAAATCTCTGAAAATACAGAGAAGATTATTTGTCTGCAAACTTAAATATCTTTAAAAAGATGCGAAGATGTACATAAAGCATACATTATTAATAAGAATCGACAAAATCTTCTCATTGCCACTTTATTACCATTAGAGCTTCTTTCGTTGGTTCTGGACTTCTATCAGGAATCATCAACCCCACAGGATCGTCGAACGGATCCTCCAGGATGACAGTGTGGGATATCCTTATGTCCTGATAAGGCCTCTGATCCCCATCGCAGATGGCTTCGTTGAACTTGAGGATGATCTCCAATCCCTCCGTGATCTCTCCAAACACGCAGTGCTCATTGTCCAGGGACTGCAGCTCGGATCCCAGGGTGATGAAGAACTGGGAAGCCAGCATGTTGTTGCCGCAATTCACCATGGACAATAAACCTATCCTGTTGTGCTTGATCTTGGGCATATGCTCGGCTTCGTAATAACGCGCCTTTTCGCCTAGGACAATCCCGTAGACGCTCTCCCCGCCTTTCCCGGTGCCGGTGGGGTCTCCGGTTTGCGCGATGAAGTTGGTCTGCACCGAATGAAACAAGTTCCAATTGTAGTATTTCAGTTTGCACAACTTTAGGAAGTTCCGTGTGGCTGCAAAGGAACAAATCAATTAGTATTATTATTTCAATTTATCGTTATATGGTATATATTATATATTTTTGTATTTACATATATATATATAGTAATATATATAGTATTAGATTTTATATTTTACTTATAAAATTGAGACAATGATGATGATGATTATTATTATTATTATTTTATTTTATTATGTTATATATATATATAGTAATATAATTATTTTATATATATAATAGAAATATACATATTTTCTGTATCTTAATATGTTTTCTACATCCTAAAGAATATTTCTATTTTTCCCATTTCTCATAAACAAAAAAGAAAAAATAATAAATAAAAAATATATATCCTTGATTCATATATTTAATGTTAAAAATATTGTCTAATTTATAAATTAATAGTAAATATGTGGAATATAAATTTTCTATCATACGCTGGAAGAAATAAAGAAAAATACTTACTTTGGGGACGTTCTTCAATATAGAGATCTACCGTAAAATCGCCTATAGTGGTTTCTATTACCACTGCCATTTTTTTCAGACCTTTTTCAGTTAATGTTGTTTATATATAAATCTTTTATTGTAAAAATAAGCTATTCCTTATTTTAAAACAAGATTGTCCAACTCCACCAAGTTTAGGTTATGTACGTTTGATCCGATTATAGGTTATGTCACTGACGGAACTGTTACCATGAACCATAAAATATATATAAATGGTGTGTACTTATTTTTTTCTCTCTTTCTCTCCAACTTTATATATAAATATATTAATTATTATAAATTATTATTATATATTATAATATATACATTTACAAGATAAATAAATAAATATTTTAAAAATAAAAATAAATTTAATAATTTATAATAATAAATAATAATTATAAATAATTATAATAAAATTTTTAATAATTTAATTAATTATTAAATAATTTAATAATTATTTATATTTTTTATTTTATTTCTCGTCCCAGTTGCTGCTAAAAAGAATTGATATTCGTAGTGAAAATTATTTATATTTTTTTGAAAACGCGCGCGCATCAAAATCGACCTTCGTCGCTGCTTTTATTTTTTATATTATATATATTATGTTTCTTTCGTTTCTCTTTCTTGTCAAACAGTCAAAGCGAGTCGCAAAATGTCGAGATCCAGGAATTTTCAAGAAATAAGGTTAGACATTGAAATTCTTTCTTCAAAACACATCATTGCGAATATCAAAGAATAATTTTTATACATTTTGAGTCACCTAAATCAGGACATTTTTATTTGAATCCCGTATTATTCATAATATTTGCATTTTGACTTTCATCTTTTGTAGTGCGAAAAATTATAATTATGATTTTTATTTTGTAGAAAGATTAATTATATTGTCATTTCAGAATATTTAAAAGTCACGTAATAATATATTTGAAAAAAATTTATCAGGCAAAAGTTGTAGGGTTTTGATATATAATTATCAGAACCTTGATTGATTTTGAATAAAAGAAAAGTTATCTAATTTTTTACATAAATAATCGATTCCTCGTAATATTCGACATTAAAAATATTACAAGAGTATAAAAATGACGAAAAAGTGAATAATATATATATAATTTACAAAAATATATTTTATACTTTAATTTAATTTTACATAATTTTACATAAACTCTGAAAATAATATATGTATATCTTAATATAAAATATTTATTTGATGATCTTATATTTATATATAGATGTATATATTTATATATAGATATCATTAAATATATAAAGAAATCATTAAAGATTAGAAAGAAGATCGAGATTCAAAATATCAATTTAAACTTTATGAAGAATAAATCTTTTTATAAAGGATAGTTTAATACAGGATGAAGCTTTATGAAGAATGGATAAACTACAATTAAATTTATTTTTGTAGATACCAGTTTATCAAGGTGCCTACTCGCCTTTATTAAGCAAATATTTAGAAATATTGTTTGTTAAAAATATAAATTTATATATTATATATAATTATATTTTATATAATTATATTTTATATAATTATATAATTTTTATATATATATTATATAATTATATAATTTTTATATATATTATATAATTATATAATTTTTATATATATATTATATAATTATACTATAATTATATATAAATATAATTATATAGTTTTTTTTTGATATACCAAAATATATATATATTATATATAGATTTCTTCTCATATATATTATATATTTTGTGCATAAAAATATATAATATATATGAGAAGAAATCTATATATAATATATATTTTGGTATATCAAAAAAAAGTATAATTATATTTATATATAATTATAGTATAATTATATAATATAAAAATTATATAATTATATAAAATATAATTATATATATATAATATATAAATTTATATTTTTAACAAACAATATTTCTAAATATTTGCTTGTTGAAATTAAAATACAATATTTATCTGAGGTAGCAATATAAAACGTTACTAAACGTCAAAATGACGTTATTTTGACGTTTAATGACGTCAGTTTACTATATACTTGGGGTAAAAAAATATCGTATATATATATTGTTATGGTTTATATATATTACAAAAAAAAAAATATATATATATATATATATTACATGTACATTTATTCTACACAAGTTATGGGATATAAAATAAATTATTAAAATAATTTAAGTTATATATGTAAGTTATTTTGTTACAATATTTACATTTATCTTATATATACACAATATATTTATACATTTATTCTATAAATTTAAAAAAATGGCGTGCAAACGCAGTCTATTCAAATTTGTGAGACGGATATGAATGTCGTTTCAAAATTAAAATTTTCTCGTTTTATAGGTAGCAAACTGACATCATTTTGATGTTTAATGACGTCAGTTTAGATAATATATATATAAAATTTATTTACAAGACTTCTTCTTTCATTGCTCCTCTCAAAAATTTACTTTTATTTTTCAATCGTCGATAATTATTTTTTAAATTATAAAATGATTATATAATAATATATAATATAATTATATATAAATTATATAATATATATTAATTATTAGATAGTTATCGTTGAAACAGGCATAGAGTGTGCATGCTTGGATGATAAGATTTCACTTCTTATCTCTACACAAATATACATATATATAGGGGAAATCAAAGAGATAAAATTCTTGTAGGGGCGAAACATAAGCCAAAGTGACCTTTTTATTATCACTTATATAGGCTTATACAATTTCTCTTAGATATCAGTCTGCTGCTTATTTACGTACACGTCGCATGTATATAAAGCGAATTATATAATATTCTATATAGTACCTTTTATCTCTGCTCTTCCTTTTTTAACGTTTTGTCTTTGAATAAAAATGTTATCGGCAACAAAATCCGAGATAGATATGCGTAAGGTGAAAGTTCCGGAGAACATCATCGTGGATTGCGACGCCGGTCTAGACGATGCTTTAGCTTTGATTATCCTCTTGGCCGGTCATAAGGATTCCAAAATCAAAGTTAAAGCCGTCACTTGCGTGAACGGTAACACCAACGTGAACAATGTGGTGAAAAACGTGTTTAGGACGCTGGACGTGTGCGACTGCCAGGAAGTAAGTTGGATAATTTTATATAAAACATTTTTTTAATCTTTCCAAATAGCAAACATACGTCATTTTGACGTTATTATACATCACAATGAAGTCATTTTAACGTTTAATGACGTCAGTTTGCTACTTATTGGATCTTTTTTGTATGTTTTTATAAATTCCCAAGTAGCAACTGATCTGTAAATGATGAAGTCATTAGATGTCAAAATGGCGTCGTTGTGATGTATATAATAATGTTATTCGACCTCAAAATTACGTACGCTTTGCTAACTGAGTCATTTGTAATTTTAAACTGATTAAATTACACAACAGAGGATTTTATAGAGTTTTTACAAAAAGATGATAGTTTAAAAATATATTAGTAAGATATATTAAAGATATCTCATTAAATATATAAAGAAATCATTAAAGATTAGAAAGAAGAGATTCAAAATATCAATTTAAACTTTATGAAGAATAAATCTTTTTATAAAGGATAGTTTAATACAGGATGAAGCATAAATATGAAGAATGGATAAACTACAATTAAATTTATTTTTGTAGATACCAGTTTATCAAGGTGCCTACTCGCCTTTATTAAATACTCCTAATGCTGAAGAGACAGCATCTGAGGGATATCATGGATCCGATGGATTTGGAGATGTATATACTGATCAGCCAGATACGAGTAGACTGCAAAAGGAACACGCCGTGTGTGCTTTGCACAGAATTACATCAGAAGATCCTGGTAATGCATCTCATCATCATAGAATAACATATCTCAGGTAACAAGTATACGTCATTTTGACGTTCAATGACGTCATTCGACGTCATTATTTGCATCAAAGCTCGACACCCTTTATTAAATTATATTTTTCATAAAGATTCATTTTTTATAAAGTTTTATTAATTGATATTTTTATTTTGTATTTCTAATTTTTAATGATATCTTTAATGATACCTTTAATTATATATTTAAAGGTAGCAAGTATAGTCATTTTGACGTCGAATGACATTGCATTGAACATCAAAATGACATCAGTTTGACATTTAACATCAGTTTGCTACTAGAGATAATATGCAATATTTACTCAATGCATTTTATTTATCATCTCCACATTTTGATCAAGGTAACGTCTCCGTGGTCACTTTGGGTCCCCTGACAAATGTAGCAATGGCTATAAAAATGTATCCGGAATTTGTGAATAATGTGAAGGAGTTCTTTGTGATGGGTGGAAATTCATCTGGTAAGGTTGACGATTATTCGCATCATTCTAATAAATGGAACAGAGACGTTTCTCTAAGTTTGTTATTGTTTCAAACATGTTTCTAGGAATGGGTAACATAACTTCACAGGCGGAATTTAATTTTTACGCAGATCCAGAGAGTGCACACATTCTACTCAACAGCAACATCAAGCCGTTATGGTTGTTGCCATGGGAATCCTGTTTAAAATCCCAAGTAACACATGTATGTACCATTTTAGTCATAAATAAAACTGTGTAATGGCTGGTTGTTCCAACTTCTTGGAAATTTTACAAATGCATATCTTTGTCTCTTTTCAAATAAGTATTTAAAAAAAGTTTAATATATGCTATCTGTTGGGATTACCAAAAAGTGGAACAACCGACTTTAAGATAATTAAAGTATCAAACTCATGTCATCAGACGTCAAATACCGTCATTAGATGTCAAAATGATGTTACTTTGTTACTTGGGATATTGATTTGATGTCATTGAATGTTAAAATAACGTCATAAAATGGCAAAATAATCTCAAGTAGCAAACTGACATTATTAAATGTCAAAATTATGTTATTTTAACGTCTAATGACGTCATTAAATGTCAAAGTGACGTCATTTTTTCGTCTATGCGACATCATTAAACGTCGAAATGACGTCATTTTGATATTTGACGTCAGTTAGCTACTTGGGACATTGTATCGCAATAATATAATTAATTTCAATTAATTTGTGTCATTTAGAATAATAGTAACTATTGAAAATCACCTTGTAGGACTGGCGAAGAGACGTACTGGGCAAGATAAATACACCTTGTGTTCTCATGATGAACAAAATCGAGGATGGCAGACGTGTTCAAGTGAAAAAGCACTTTCTCTCTTATATAGCGTGCGATGCTTTCTTAGCCGGGATCGTCATGAGACCTGAAATGGCTAAAGAAGTCATTTCATGGCACGCGGACGTTGAATTGGGCGGTAACAAAACCCGGGGTCAGGTTGTCCTGGATCACATGCTATTCAATAAACCAAATGTGAATCTGATAAATGATTTTGATTCAGAGATGTTTAAAGATGTGTTAGTGAGCGCAGCGCGTACATTGCGGGGTGATTATTATTATTAATTATTTTCTGCGTCCCAAAATGGCGGCTACACAGACGAATATTGCACGATTTAATTATTTTACTTAGATTTATAAAAGTAATTTTTTCTACATAATATATCTGTAATGTTTCCATATTTTTTCACTCTTTTTATGAATTTGCAGAGATTAAATAAAGCAGAGGATGCAATTATATGAATAAACGGAATAAATCGGAGCAAAAAGGAAAGGAAGAGACTGAGAATTTATTTTCAAGATCATACTAGCGAAGAAATAATGGATTTAATGGCTTACGTACCTTATTCTATGACAGCACCAACTGTCCAGGTATATAATCATCACTCAACATCAAAGTACATCAAGAACACGAAATTACTTTATGATTTTTTACAGTGATATTCGATTGCATAGATATGATTTTGCAAAAAGATTTTATTATATATAAAAAGTGAATGTATATTTTTATTAAAGATAATGAGAATGATTTGCAACAGAATTGTTTACAAAGTGATAAATATAAGGCCAACTTATCGAGCTGAATATTCGAGATGTTCAGTCAACTACCATTTATTACATGTATAAATTATAAAACTACAGTCATTATATTAAAACTAACGCAAATTACAATCATTCTATAAACGTTTCGACCGCACGCGGTCTTCTTCAGTATAATTATTGAAATATAAATTCTTACAATTCACATAATATCGAAATTTAATTATAGTTATTCAGAATCAAGAGTTTTTGAGCAATTAACGCGTGTTTCAATCCGTCCTGTCCAACAATGTTCGCCTCGATATGATCCCTGATTTTGTTCAGATCTCGGATAGTTTCATCGTTAATATGCGAGAAATTAACCCGTTCCGTAGGCGCTGCGATTAATAAAAAATTACCGATCAACGTATGTCCAAATTATAATATGTATCCCCTACAATTGGTAGTATGCTTACCTATCATCGTTCTTCTTGACAATTTTGCTACTTATTAACAGTTATTAAGGATGACACATAACAAACCAACAATACAGAAAGACAGCTCATTTTAAACTCTACTTGATCGGAGAGCGTGCGTGTTTATATATGATCTAATATCTATGTTTTACTCGTTAATGTCCTATTTGTCCTATTATTATTTCTTGTTCGCTAATATATCCAAAATATCAAAATACGACTCGCTAAGTAACTCAGTATCTTTGTTTAAATTTAGTCCATTTTTTTGTTCCTTGATATGTAGCATCTCAGAAATGAGTCTTTTATAATAATTATTTTCGTTGTCCATGATCTTAACATTGTCCCAATTAAAAGTATGATGTTCATTTATTATGTGTTCAGAAATTACTGAATGTTTCGTTGAGTCCAATCTAATATTATTTTTATGTTCTTTCATTCGCGTCTGCAATTGCCTCTTTGTTTGGCCTACATAAGATGCATTACAATTATTGCAACTGATCTTATAAACCACATTCGAATTGCATGGATGTTTAGTTTTATCTTTCTGCGCTTTAATAATATTATCCAGTTTGTTGAGACATCTATACCCTACCATACAATTTTTATTTTTTACCGAGGAAACAATCATTTCTGAGATCCCATCTATATACGGAATGACAAAGAATTTTTTATTGACCGAGTCATTTCCTATACTTTTTGTTCTTTCTATGTTGGCCTGTCTCTCTATAATGCTCCCCTTAGATATGATGTGTTCTATCCGATGATTAATTTTGTTAAAAATCAGATCAAGAGGGTAACCATTGCTTCTGAGTATATTAATAATTAACTCCAAATTTTTATTAAAAAATAGTGGATGTGATAGCAATAGACATCTGTCTACAAGGTTATATATTATTCCAATTTTGTGGCATAATGGGTGGTTTGAATAAAATGATAACGTCCTTCCTGAGAAGGTTTCTTTTTGATACCAGTCTATATATATTTTGTTATTAATAATTTTAAGTGATAAATCTAAGAAATTCAAGCTATGGTTAACCTCTTGTTCGACCGTGAATTTAAGTCTTTCATGATAGTTGTTAAAATTATTCACAATCTGAGTCATATTAGTCATAGAGGTGGCCACTATTATGTCATCCACATAACGAAAATAAAACAAACATTCCAAATTCAACGCTTTGAGAACTGTATCCTCAAGATCTTGCATAACCAGGTCTGCAATAATTGGTAATAAAATTTATTGGCTTCTATGTGTATATTGATCTCCTTGGCATCATTAGTGATTGCCCTGAGAGAATTTTGTGATATTTTCGTCGGTTGTGAAGTTTCAAAATGTAAAGAACAATGTATATCTATAGGTTTGATGCTGTTGATATACTTATAGTGTTGTTTTCTCTTAAGCCAATTGAATTTCTTTTCGTGTGCAGTAACCAGAATTGTTTATATACTTTTGTACAAATTAAAGTGAATAATTTAACATCCCAAGTAGCAAACTGACGTCATTAAAATGACATTACTTTGCCGTTTAATGACGTCATTTGACGTCAAAATAACGTAACACTTGCTACCTGCGGGATAATACAAACCCAAGTAGTAAACTGACGTCATTAAACGTCAAAATGACGTCGTATGCTTTGCTATACTTGGGAAATAATTCCTCCCAATATTGCAATAGTTTGTAACTATGTATATATATATATATATATATGAAACAAACTTAAATAAAGGCAGTAATATATCTCTTATCATTGAGTTTTTGAAGCTTCCATAACAATATAGACTACTTAAAATAATTAAAGCGAGCGATAAAATAAATAACTACAGCGTGAACCCCGAATGGAGCATATTTGCGAAGTATCGCCGAAGGAGGATCCATTGACAAAAATGATCTCCGGGACTTCGGTCTGGTCCAGAATACGCCGCTGGTTCCTCGGAACGCGAATAACGTCGCGACGACACCCCTTCACAGGGTGGTGTTTGAAGAGCACCCGGGCGATCGATTACGAGATCAGCCGCCACCTCAAATCTCATCCCTACATGATCCATCCCTTCAGTTCCTTCAGGTCAGTCGCAAACTTTCACTTTTTGAAATCAATAATCGAGCAATTGAATTATAAAAGAGTCTATTCTTTCATCTCAAAGCAACCTAGGTAGCAAGCATATACGTCATTCAATATAATTTTGACATAATGACGTCACTTTGCTACTTGGAAAAATTTGAATTGAACAAAGTTTCTTGTACGTATAGAATATTTTGGGAGTCCACTATGACGCTGTTTATCATAGCCACTCTGCTGATCACACCCGTCTTTCTCACGTTCTACTTCGACGAGTACGCAAAGTTGTACATGTACAACAATGCGATCGACGCCGTCCTCATATGCGACATAATAATCTGGTTCTTCACCGGCCACTACGACAGTCGCACGCAACAGGTGACTCTGGATCCAAAGATTGTAGCGAGGTACGCGAGAACGACACGTGCTATAAGTCCTCCCTAGGTAGCAAATTAACGTCATTAAACTTTAAAATAACATCGCATTTGATGTCAAAATAACATCATTGATGTTTAATGACGTAAGTTTGCTACTTGGTTGAATCTACAATAAAAAAATTTCCTAAGCATACGTCATTTTGACATAGATGACGTCATTAGACGTCAAATGACGTCATTTTGACATTTAATGACATCAGTTTACTACTCGGGTTATTTTTTCTCAAATCGCGTTTTGAATCAATATATTTAAAGAAAAACCTAGGATTAGAAGGATTTTGTAAAAAAATTGTTATCGTAAAATACTCCATATATATTATTATACGCAGGATGTCCCGCAACGTGATGTTTACAGTGAAACTTTGTATTCTTGGGATCATTTTAATTGTAAGTCAAAAAAGTTTTAATACACATATAATATTATCGTTCAATAAAATTAAATATTATTATCTTCAATAAATAATACTTATCTTATTACATGCAATTTCGTCTTTTCGCTGTAACTTTAAAACAATCGACTTTAGGACATAATGTGTATTAAGATTTTTTGACTTACAAGGGACATGTCACAACTGTCCGGAACCGATTTGATTCTCCTTGAAATATGTTGTTAAATACACAAATCTAAAAGACACGTATTTTTTTATACGTGCGCAATTTGAGTTTTAAGGGGTGAAACACCCCTTTAAAGAATAACGGTATTTTTCTTTAGGATCAAATATCTGCTAAACTATAAGAGATATAAAGAAAAAACGTACAACAAATTTTAATGGCTTGAAGAGTACTTTAAAGTTATATGAACAAAAATTTTTTTTTTTTTTTTTTTTTTAAAAAACCCTCACCACCTAATTTTTTTTTTCAAAATTAAAAATTTTGTTTTACCTAATTTAAAGCTTATTTTTTTCCAAATTCAACCATGTGTAATAAAGTTATGTTACGAAATATCATTTTCGAAAATTAATTATAAACGCTCCCGTATATACGCTCATCCGTGCTATGTGCGTAAGTAATTACCGTCGAACAATAAAATATATAAAAAATGTTTTTGTATAATTCTTATTTATGTTTTCTATGTATTTATAACTGTGTATTGTGTATATTTAGATTTTTTTAAAAATGTATTTGCATTTTATATTATTCACTCATTATACACATTACAATAATGATATTCGACAAAAAAATGTTTCAAACATAATGACTTCTTGCACCAAGAACATCTTACTACAGCTATATTATTGCAACCTTCGATATCACATTTTGTTAAAGTTTCGTCTAAACTAAAGTGTACTGGATTTTCGAATTCGTCTGGTCTTTCATTCGTATAACCACTTTTAAACCACGAATATTTAAATAAGTTTTGATATCGTGGGGATGACAATTGATTATGTATCAAAGATTGCAATTTTATTATATTATTTCGTTCATGTAAGTTTATATTACTTTCCAACAGTAAAACCGCATCTGAAAATCTTTTAGCAAAATTTTTCCAAATTCTGAATCCATAAACATCTAATGGTTGTATTTTCCCTGTAGTTCCTTTCGGTATTATCATAGTAGTAATATGTGTTCCAGGAGGTGTTAAATCCGAAATCATATTGGGGCAATGTCCAGTCCATGAATCGATAAGAAGAACGCTATTAGGACCAATGTTTGCGAAATAAGCTTCTTCTAACCACATTTTAAAATGATCTGTACAAAATATAAATGTTAATTTAATAGTTTTTTTATGACTCTTATTAAATTGTTAAATAAAATAAGGTTGTTAAAAAAAGTAATTATAAAAGGAAAATACCTGATGTCATTTTACCAGATTTCGATGCTTTTACAATAACATTTTCTGCTTTAAATAAATTTTCTTGTACTCTTGGTCCAAATTTACCATTAGCTTCTTTTAATACAATAAATAAAGGGGACAACAAATTGCCATTACAGGATATTATTGGTTGTATCGTATATGAATGGGTTGTTGATGATATGGATTGCACGACACGTTCTACTTTCTTTTCTCCCTGGTTAGACAATGATCTTCCAGAGTGAAGTTCCAATTGGAAACCACTTTGATCTGAATTGTAAATATTTTCAGATCCAAACTGTTCAATAAGAGGTTTTACTGTTTCCAGAAAATCATCAGCTGATTTTTGCAAATCAGCAGAATCTTCTAATGTTCTTCTAGTGACAAACTTCGTAACTTTTCTTGAAACAATTCGGTGAGACTTCTTAAATCTTGCTATCCAACTGTGAGATGCTTTAAATATAGGATTTAAATTTCCTATTTCTTCTTGAGCTTGTAAAGCCCATCTTTTTAAATCAATATCATGAACCATGAATCCTGATTCGACAGCTGCAGTAAATTTATCATGTGTAAATTTGGAGATGTAAGATAATTTTTCTGTACGACTTCCACCTGATTGTATTTGTTCTTCCCATCGCCTTAACTGACGTTCAGATGAAACTCTTCTAAATTTATTTTGTACTACTCTTAGAGGACGATTCCTTTTTCTGTCATTACTGTTTTCATCAGTGTCCCGAAATCGCCAATACTCAACAGCTCGTCTTTTATAAGAACTATCAAAATTTGTATCATCATTTGAACAATGAGGATGAGAATTTAAACTATCTTCATGCCATGCTTCTTCGTCATCTTCAATTATTTCAAAACTATGTAATTTATAAGGTTCTTCATAATCGAGATATATTTCTTCCGTTACTTCCACCCCATTATAATGAAAAACGCTATCCAGTAATATTTTTTTAATGTTTTCCTTTAATTCCACTTCTGCTTCAGTTACTGGCGTTTCTGTTAAATATATTGAATTTATTGACACCAATAAAAGTCTAACAACGTTAAGCGGATTGATAATCATATTCAAAGATGTTATATTTTGCTTTCTATTGCAATAAAAGAACAGTTTACACAGATATTATTACAACGAAAAGACTACACCGACTGTGAGAATTATGCTGCTACATGAACAATTTATATTAACTTATCAGAAATACGTCATCACATAATCTTATTTTATTATTTATTTTAACGTATTAAAGATTTTATTGTAAAAATTATAACTTATCTGGAACACGTACACATAATCTTATCTTATGATTCATTTAACGTAAGATATAAAATTTGTTTATGCCAAATATTGCGACATTGGTATTCGCAAGATTCAATTAAAAAATAATTTTATTATAAAATATAATTGTTTTTAATTTTTATAGAAGAAATTAAATATTAAAGAAATAATAAGAAAGCAGGGGGTATATTTAAAAAATTCTTATTAATTATATTTAAAAATTTTTTTTTAAATCTAAATATACACAATACGCAGTTATAAATACATAGAAAACATAAATAAGAATTATACAAAAACATTTTTTATATATTTTATTGTTCGACGGTAATTACTTACGCACATAGCACGGATGAGCGTATATACGGGAGCGTTTATAATTAATTTTCGAAAATGATATTTCGTAACATAACTTTATTACACATGGTTGAATTTGGAAAAAAATAAGCTTTAAATTAGGTAAAACAAAATTTTTAATTTTGAAAAAAAAAATTAGGTGGTGAGGGTTTTTTAAAAAAAAAAAAAAAAAAAAAAATTTTTGTTCATATAACTTTAAAGTACTCTTCAAGCCATTAAAATTTGTTGTACGTTTTTTCTTTATATCTCTTATAGTTTAGCAAATATTTGATCCTAAAGAAAAATACTTTAAAAGGGGTGTTTCACCCCTTAAAACTCAAATTGCGCACGTATAAAAAAATACGTGTCTTTTAGATTTGTGTATTTAACAACATATTTCAAGGAGAATCAAATCGGTTCCGGACAGTTGTGACATGTCCCTTGTTAGAATAATCCAAAGAATACAAAGTTTCACTGTGGACATTACGTTGCAGGACATCCTGTATATGGGATACTTTTAGTATCTGTATGTTCTTTTTAAACAAATAGATTCTCTACTTTCTGAAAGAGTTCAACATTCTCAGTTTCTTTTAAAGAATCATTTTCCAATTTTTTAAACATTGTAACAATTATTGTAGCAAGTATTTGCGGGGTTTCTTCTTCCTAAATGCGTTATCCGTACTACCATTGGAGTTTATCATCGTCCTCACCGACTCGATGTGGTACCTGGCTTCACTAGACCTGCTGAAGTTACTGTGGATCCGAACCATCATTGTCTACTCACGCAAACTCTATTACGTTAGAATGATATCTCATCTTCATATCTCTTTGTCTCGGCAAAATTTGCTTCTACTCGTACATTAGATAATTAAAATTTCAGGTATACCGAATTAATTTTCTCCTGTACAAAATAGCGGAGATCAGCATCATCATCGTCATCTGCGTGCACTGGGCTGCCTGTATGGAGTATTATCTACCTTTAGTAGTTGCCAAGATAGCTGAGCAGAACAACCTGTTGAGTATAGTCTTCTTCTATTTTCTAATGCAGCAAATTGGCATCATTAGATGTCAAAATGATGTCATTTTGACCTCTAATAATGCCATTAAACGTCAAAATGACATATACTTGCTACCTGGGAACGAGAGAAGATCTCAAGTAACAAATTGACATCATTAAAGGTCAAAATGACATTACTTTGACGTTTAATGACGTGATAGATGTCGCAAAATGACATTATTTTGATGTTTAATGACGTTTGTTGCTTGGATTTTATGCTAATAAAAATATCACGGAAAATTGCAGATCGTGGATTCGAGGGTCTTACATGGAGAAGAGAAAAACAAAATTCGAGATCTACCTGACATGCATTAATCGAGCTATCATTGCACTAATTGGATCCACGCATTACTTGAACGTCAGAGCAACGGAAGACATTATATACAATCTAATCTTGTCTGTAGTCGGGTTTTTCGGATTCGTGTATCTGCTAGGTATGTTTATTTTAATTTTTATTTGTCCAAATTATTCCTAAAACAATACTGATCGATATAACTGTTCTTCTGTTTCATTGGAATCGCGCAGCGCGAATCTTGCAATTAATGATGACGCTTCACTCGACCAGAAAGAGGCACTCCAAGTTAATCCAGCAGCTGCAACAGTACATGAACTACAAGGAGTTGCCCTATTCCTTGCAACGACGATTGCTGATCTACTATAATTATCGCAACAAGAAGGGATTCGAGAGGGATAAAATAATCATTAATCACGTGTCGCCTGATTTGCGAGAGGTACATCCTTGAAAATAGTATATAGTCTAGAATTATCTACATCGTTCTGTAAAACAACAAAAACAACCGAGATAGCAAGCATACGTCATTTTAACATCGAATAACGTCATTAAACAGCAAAAAGACGTCATCTTGACATTTAATGATGTCAATTTGCTACTTGGGAATGTACTGTAAGAGATTAATCAAGGAATTCAAGTGTGATATTCTGATAAAATTAATCCCCTCATTTCTCAGAAACTACTTCTGCACAATTATCTGCGGCTACTGAGCAACGTGAAGCTCTTTGGACACTTGCCGCAGTTAATAGTAACCCAGCTGGTCGGTGCCGTGAACTCCGAGATCTTCATGCCGAACGACGCGTTGGTCAAAGCCGGGACACGCGGCGAGGCCTTGTACTTCATCGCTGCCGGCACCGTGGCCGTCTACAACAACGTCGGGAAGGAGGTGAGACAAACCCCAGGTAGCAAATCGTGCGTCATTAAACGTCAAAATGATATCATTAGCTGTCAAAGTGACGTTATTTTGACGTTTAATAACGTCAGGTTGCTTTTTCGAACGTGAGGATAAAGTTGAGACTTTTCAAGTAGCAAACTGACGTCATTAAACGTCAAACTAACGTCATTAAATTCCTGGACTTGGTGCGCACAGATCTGCCACTTGGAGGACGGTGCGTACTTTGGCGAGCTAGCCCTGGTAATGGAGGACGAGCACTGGATCGCCAGCGTTGTCGCCGTCGAGATGTGCGAGGTCTACATCCTGCTACGCACCGATTTTCAACACGCCCTAGCACCTCATTCCGACCTCCTGGCCCATCTTCAGAACGTCGCCCTCGCGCGGCTGGAGCAGATGCCGTTGCTGAAGAAGGATTCGGACGTGTCGTTGTCGCCCGACATTAACATCAGCAGCATAAAGGCCAAGAGAAGGGATATTGCAGGGAGAGAATGAAGATAAGGGTGTCTATATATTTGTCATTCTGAGTTCAAAAAAATTTTACATTGTCAGTATTTAATTTATCTCATTTTTATTTTTCATGTTAGTTATATATATTTTGCGCTCTTATAATTTATATTAGCGATGGGATCAAGTAGATTTGAATTTGTTTGCAACTTGATTTCGAACTCTTTATCAATATGATTACCTAAAGAAAGCAGTATTTTCAAGTAAATAAATTTGTAAATACATGTTAAACTTGATCCCATCACTAATTTTGCGTTTATTACTAATTACAACAGGATAAAATTTTATTAATGCCAAAAAGTCTGGCTAATGGCAGTTAATTATTTGTTTAACAAATGGAAACAATTCAACGGAATCATCAAACTCTCATTCTTGTTGTAACAACTCAACAATCAACAATAAACAAACTAAGCAACAACTTTTTCTGAGAATCGTGAGCTTTTTAACTTCCAAGGAGCCAACTCGGCAGGATGTACGAGGTTCCTTCCGATCAGAAGCGGCGAGTCCTTCGTTTCTGCGGATTCCTGTACGACTGCTGGTACACGGACATGAGCCGCCAGTGCTCGGGATAATCGGCGTCCCGGCAGCCGTTCACCACGCTGAACGGCGGCGTCAGGGTGTCGATGCAGAAGGCGCGTCTGGCGAACGGGGTCCTCGGCCGCGGCACTGTCGTCCTCGCCGGCGGCAAACCGTTCCTGCGCGCTCCGTCTTCGCCCGTCGCGGCTCGGCACCTCTGCTCCAAACCCAGGGCGAAACCCACCGCGGACCTGATCAGCCTCGGATCCTCTTGGCTCCTTTTTCTTCGTTCGGCTTCCGCTTCCGACTCACCTCGGCACGCGGCGCACTTCCGCTCGGTGATGCGCGGCACAGAACTCGACCTCGCCAACTTCCCACTTCGGGAAAGTTTGTCACGGCCTTCTGCAACCAAGTGCATTGTTATTATGTAATGAATTATTCAAGTAGCGAACTGACGTCATTAAACATCTAATGACGTCAAAATGACGTACGCTTGCTTTTTTCGTTTCAGATTCGTAATCTACGGGAAAAATCCTATCGAAATCATCTGTCATTCCTTTTGTGACATAAAATGAGTCGAAAAAGGTTGACCAGTGTTATTTAAGATTAATTATCCAAAGTAGCGAACTCTAATAGTATTAGACGTCAAAATGACATCACTTGACGTTTAATGACGTCAGTTTGCTATCTAGGGGTTATTGCTATATGTTTTAGATTTTTTTAGATTAATTTACCATTACAGGTGCAATCATAGCAGCAACAGTTCTGATGCAGATTCTTCTGCTGCGCCTCCTGATGTTTCGTGCAGTTGCCGCATTGCTCGCTCTTTTGTCCTTCGCCGCGCACCAGGAGCTCGCGGTTCTTCGGTGCCGGTGTGTGCTGGATCAAGGCGAAGATCGCCGGGGCTAGCCCGCCCTCGGAGCCGTCAATGTGCGTAGGTCTACGTGGCTCGTACACCGGGTCCATCGGCGTTTCCCAACAAATCGCTAGGTCCATCCGGGTCTTCGGCTTCTTACAACCGAGCGCGGGCACGAACGGATAATCTTTCGCCTCCAACATTGCGACGTCGACGTTATCTCGAACCTGACACTCGGCGTCTCGCTCGCAATCGGCCGAACAAGGACGACATCCTTTCCTAAAGATGGAATCGTCCACCCGATCCGGGAGCGGCTGGTGCTGCAGGTTCTCCGCGTGCAATCTCTTCGCCAATGCGAATTTGTCGGCGCAAGAAGCGATTTCTTGAATAAAAAAAGGTATTATATATTATATTACTAGTTTTAGTGTATTATATAAAAAATTTACTCTGTATTTAGCATATTATTTATCTTTAGTATTTATAGTATATAATAGTACATTATAGTATATAACAGTATATAATAGTATTTAATAGCATGTAATATAGTATACTATAGTATGTAATAGTATAGTAATATTTATTATAGTATATAATGTGTATATATATATATATTTAAAAAATGTTACTATAGTATATTACTATAATATTACTATTATACATATATACATTATTTATATATATGTATATATATTATTTAAAAAATATTACTATGATATATTACTATAATATTACTATTATACATATATACATTATAATATATTAAAGTATATTTTATTACTATAATACTACTATACTATTACTATACTATTACTATTATACTATAATATATTATAGTATTTATTATAATAAAATGAATTACTATAATATTATATATATCATTATATAATTGTAGAATTACTAAAGAATATATATATTCTTTTGTAATTCTACAATTATATAAATATATATTACTAAAGTACTAACTACTATATTCTACAAATATATATATATATATATATATATATATTACTAAAGAAATTGCGTATTGAAGTATTTGATTATTGTTATTTATTAAAAATTAATAGACTATTATTATTAATTAAAAAAGAAACTGCTTCAAGCTTACCATACTGTTTTTCTTCTTCGAAGATCTTTCTGGGACATCCAGGCGCGTGTTTCTTCGAATTGGAAGGCGACTTTGACTTCCCCGAGATGCTTTCGGATCGACAGGTCCTGCGAAGATCGTCGTTGCTTCGCCGAACAATCGATTTTCGAGCGCGACAACAAGAGCAATGCTCGCGCGATTCCATATTCCCGCTGATCGATTCCTATCTCTATACCGTTTTGCTCGTTACACTTGAGGAAGATTACATAACGATGAATGCACGATTTAACGAGCGGTCGACGACAGGGACGGAGGCGTAGTTTTTCCAGCGAGAAAAACTCGATGAAAACCATTGCTGCCGTTTGTTCTCCATTTTTGAAAAATTGATATGGACCCGAGAACCATCATCAGGACTATAGGAATTCCGGGAAAGAGCGTCGCTCCCACTCCCGACGTCGGTCGCCCTGGAGATAGGACATGATAATTCGATAAAACCAGCTGGCTTACATTACGTAAGAATCGAGAAAGTAGTACTAATGAGTAAGATTCAAGATCGAGAAAATCGATCTAAATTAAATAGAAAAATAAAACTGAATTAAAATAATGAAAAAATTAAGTTTATTTAACAAAAAGCTTTGACCTTTAAATGACTTTGGAAAGCATCATGCATTCAAAGAAGAACAATTCTAGGTCACGATATATCACGTCTGCTTCGAAATCTTTTAACTTTGATATGAAATATTATTTCTTCAGGTAGCAAACTGACGTCATTAAACATCAAAGTGACGTCATTTTGATTTCGAATGAATTATTGAATGAACATATGATTGTACGATTATATATGTATAATATTTTATATATTTCTATATAATTTTATATTGTTATGTATAAAAAAAATTTTACTGGGTTATTATCTTATAATTGGATTTCGTGAACGAATGACAAAAGTGGCTAATCTTTTCTAAAGCGAAATAATTCCAGATCCCAGAGAGGAAAGTCGCGCGATGACTTTCAGGGATGTGGCTGCGATTTACTGCCTCAACAATCCAAGATTTCCTTTTTTCCGCTAATAACAGTTTATTCTGGGTCACCTGAACGGATTCGCGTGCATCACGTAAGTCGGAAAAACACGCATTTCTTCTTGACGCGTCTCAAAATTACGTATAATTTCAGATCGGAAGAATAGATACGAGGGTTGTATTATAAATGCAAAACACTACGCATATCATCATCACGCTACAGAAGGCAAATGAATAAGAAGAAAAAGAGGAATTGGAACATTCTTGCTGCGCTGATTGAAATCATCAGGAAGAAGATGAAACCAGTTCGTTAGTTCATTTGTATTTATATATAGCGATGAATACGTTTTTGTGGATCATTGCCATGTTCTCCCTCCAGTTTCACCGAAAGAGACGAGACCTTGATGCGTAAACATATATTAGTTTACTTTCAGACCTCGACTCTGCAACACGCGATCGACTCTGTCGTAAAGCCATATATACTCGTTCGATTCTCTCTGTCTGGTTTCTGTCAGCTGATAAAATATTCGCGAAGTATTAGCTGAAAATAGGATAAACTGTATGTTAGCTTGTGCAGCGATCGAAGTTTATGTGCATATGTTTCGTTAAAGTTTCAACCCGAAATCGTCATTAAAGATAGTTAATTTTTCTTGTGATGAGGCAATTTAATTATAAGAGACTGTTTTAGACTGTAACATCTAAACGTTTTGTATATACAGGAAACCGTAGCAAAGATTTTAAGTTGGAATATAATATTTTCTGATTATGCATCAGAGAATTTAAAAAATCACAAATCGACAGGGTTGGGTAAGTTACTGATTTTTTTAAACTAAGTTAAGTTAGTTGCTTATAAAATTAATTTAGTTAAGTTAACAGTTGCATGAACAGAAAATTAACTCACAGTTAAAGTTAAGTTAAGATTAAATTAACTTATTAAGTTAAATCAAAAATTAATTTTTAAAAACATTATTTATATTAAATTGGAATATTTTGTTAATTCTTTTAAAATCAGGGTATCTAAGCGGCCAGGGAAATCTGGAAAACCGGGTTTTGTCAAGGAATTTTATAAATCTGGAATTGTCAGGGAAAAAGTCAGGAAATTTTACTATTTATCTGGGTTTTTACACATATTCTACATTTGTAATCAATAATGCTTAAAATCATGTCAATAATGTGAAATTTTTTATTAAATAAATATAAATTTTTCCTTGACTCCCAGTACGCTAATTTTCTGTGTTGTTAAAAATCGATTCATCTACATACTACGTTCGTTAATTTATATTTTCATCGTCGTATTATATCGTGTAAATTACATATTTGGAAAAAATAATGCTAAAAAATCCGAGAAAAAATTAATTTCTGCTCTTAGAAAATTTGAAAAATCAGGGAATTTTTTTCATTGAGTCTGCTGGACATCCTGAAAATTTATAATAACAAATAACAAAGAAATTTTGATTTTTATATAGAATAAATATATTTTTTAGTAATTACAATTGATGAGAAATGAACATAAAAATTAATAGTACTTTAATTTAAAAATAATACGTTTATAATTTATAAAAGAACAATAATGGTATTCAGAGATCAAACAAATTTAACTTATTAGGAAAAAGGTACTAAGTTTAAGGTCAAAAATAACTAATTAAAGTTAAAAATTAATATATTTTAAATTAATTAAGCTAAATTAAAAGTTATTAACTTTTTAAATTTCTAACTAATTAACTAGTTATTACCCAACCCTGCAAATTGAGATATAAGTTTTGAAGAGTCGTCTATTATATATTAAATTCTCTTTAATAATTTAATAATTTTTTTTTAAATAAAAAATTACGCTCTTTCTTTAATTATTTAATTATAATATATACACACTTATATATGACTAATTTTAGGAATATTCAGTTAAAACTCATCAGAAATTAGTGTAAACTTTAAATTATTTTGAAAAATCAATGAAAATTCGATTATATTCTACAATTTTAACTGGTGGATTTTATTTAAGTTTTATAAAAAAAAAAGAAGATAATTTGTTCATATTTTTCTTGAAATAATTTGCGCCTTTATAAGTGTATTTTTTTATTTTCGGACATATACCTTATAATATAATTATAATTATTAATATAATTATTGTTGGAAATTATTTAGGTGAATTATTCATTTTTCTCGAAAAACAAAAATTAATTACAATTCAAGATTAATTAATAAAATTTATATTTGTATTTATTTATACTTGATAGATCTCTCATAAAACTTATTGAAATCAGATTGACATTATTTCCTGCATATCAAATTTTTTAAAAAATTACTAAGATTTTTTTTGTGAAACAAATTAAAATTTCCTAAGCTAATATTTAAAATTTAAAAGAAAAATTATTATAATACTCTTCGAAATCGACGGTTGCTGTTTTTTTTTTTTTTAGAAATTCAAATTATATAATTATAATATATATTTATTAATATATTTATAAAAATATATATTAATATTTATTCTGAAGAATAAATACGTCTATTTAATTTTTTACTTTATTATGCACACACATTATATGAAAAGTAATCTTTTTTCCATTTGTTCAACTAATCTATATTTCAAATTGCAGTCGCGGAAAGAGATCCTGAGGACAGATACACGCCTTATTAAGGAAAAAGGAATAATCGCCTCGTGAATCTTAACAAGTCATCGGGCCCAGCGGTTTCTTAATTGCGTTAATTTCAACGATCATCATCATGCGTTCGTCGACAACCCGGGGAAAACACGCGGCCCTCTGCGTAGCGACCGATCGTGATGCGAGGATGAATGAATCAGTCGACAAGTCCAGTAGACCGGAGGACGTCATGCGTGCCGGACAATCCGCATTGTGAAACGGTCCAGAGAGGTCACAGAAAGAGGTGCAGTGCTCTTTGGAAATACCTGGTGACTTAATTTCAAGTGAGTGAGTAAAGAGAGAAAGTTGATAAAAATTGGAACTCTTAAATGTTTTTTTTTAATTTGTGTGGATGATATATACATATAAGGAATAAATTAGCGATGAATAATACGCATTTTATTATTGTGCTCTTTTTAAAATGAAATATAGACAAAGAGATTTAGTCAGGAGTGTAGAAATTAAATGTAAAGAGGAAAAATGTAAAAATAAGATATACGATATATATGTGATATATGAAGATTTCATTTTTTTATTCAAGTGTGTGTGTGTGCATTCTACATTTATATATATATATATATATATATATATATATATTTATATTTATATTTATAAAAATAAACTGTAAATAATAATTATAATAACAATATATTTTAAATATAATAATATTAAATATATATTAATATAATAATATAATATAAATTATATTTATATACTTATATATATTATATATAGGATATAGCGTTAAAAAATTAGACCAACAAACTTTGAAGAGAAGAAGAAAAAATAAATACAATATTCTTTGTTAATACTAATTTTCTCTACGTTTAGTTTTAATATTACCAAAAAATGAAAAATAAATTTATGATTTTTTAAGTTTGTCACATTTATTTATATTAAAGTTATAATGAAATAATTTTTGAGCATTTACTGAAAAAAAGTGAATCACTTTTATGGGTATTTATTCCGTATTTTTTGTTCAAGATTAAAGCTATACAATTTAATTTTTCCACTTATATATCCATACAGCACAAAGTATTTTAAAAATGAATGATATGGCTAGATCGCTCTTATTGTAAATAACAAGGATAGAGAATCTATTGCTGTGAGAGCCAATATATAATGCTTAGCAAATTTGGCAAGATGAGGTACATTCTCAAATCGAGATTTATAAGTTCCTCTTCCCTCCTAACAAATCTCCTAAAATTTCCTAAAATTAATATAGACGAGAAAAATATATCGGTCCGAAAAAGTCGGCTGAATCGGGAATCGAACCCGAGACCTTCCGCTTGCCTCGTCTATATTAATTTTAGGAAATTTTAGGAGGATTGTTAGAAAGGAAGAGGAACTTATAAATCTCGATTTGAGAATGTTCCTCATCTTGACAAATTTGCTAAGCATTATATATTGGCTCTCACAACAATAGATTCTCTATGCTTGTTATTTTAAAAATCTTTTAAAAATATTTCTTAAAAGATAAAATAATTCTCGAAAATATTTTTTAAATGTTTATATGTCAGCATTTTCATGTTTAAAAAATATTTTTAGAAATTTTTGAATATGGATTTAAACTAATATTTCAAAAATATGTATCAAATATTTAAGAAAATATTATCTAAGCGATAAAGAACATTTTTAAAAATATTTTTAAAAGTTTTTTAAAGTATTCTAAAAAATGTTATCACAAAAAATTGTTAAATTATTTTAAAATATTCCTAAAACCATTTTAAAATGTTTTTATGCAATATTTTATAGAAATATTCAGAAATGTTTTTTGAAAACATTCATAATATTTTGTGCTGTATGGGTATATAGTTGTTTATTGTTTAAGTTACTAATTTCTGTTTCATACTATGTAATATTAAAACCAAACATCGTAGAGAAAAATAATATTAACAAAAATGTTTATTTTGAAGTCTTTTATTTCTCTTTAAAAATTGTCTAATTTTTTAACATCCTGTATATATAGGTATATATATATATTTTTTTTTATTATTATACATATATTTTATATTTTATATTGTATATTTTAATTTTTAATACACACACATATATATATATATATATATATATATATACTTATATTTTATTATATATTTATATAAAATTTATATTATATTATACATATTATTATCATATAAAATTTATATAATTTATATAAAAGACTTGTATAAAAATTTTTTATATAAAAGAATTTATATAAAAAACGTGAATAAAATAGTTTTATACGGCAACATGTGTCCCGATTAATAATACGGCAAATATATGTCAGTATAAAACCAGTGTAAATAGAGCGACACATAAAATATGTGATACTTGTAATCGACTTGAGATATGCTCGCGGTTTTCTGACCGCGATAACTCGGAAAAATACATATATACATTCATAAAATACATAACATTTTAGAGAATATATAGCACATTCTTACAAAATAATTATAAGCGAAACCTAAAAGAAGATATATCTTTTTCCACAGGTGTTGGTACTTTTTTAGTATAAAGACATGGACGGGGAAGCGAAAATAAGCGACCAGCTCTCGTATCTGAACGAGGTTCACGACAACGTGTCGCATCCGCTGACCTCCAGTAACTCGGAGACGGTTCTACCGATGTTCGCTCGTGCCGGTTTCGTCGAGGAAGCTGACAATAATCCGGTCAACAATAGTTCGCGAAGACTGTCCAGGACGGAGCTCGAGGAGAAGCCGGACTTCAACTTCAGAGTCGAGCCGGAGGTGCGCACGCCCGACGTGAATGTCTACCAGCACAAGAAGACTCTCGCCCAGGGTATGATGGACCTGGCCCTGCTGTCGGCCAACGCGAACCAGATGCGCTACGTTCTCCAGACGGACGGCCGGCACCCGTACTTCTATCCGTCGCTCACCATGATCAGCCTGAGTCTCTTCCTGCAGATCGCCGTGGGCGTCGGACTGATCTGGAACAGCGTCTACAACGTCAAGGAGCACGAGCAGATGTGCAAGGCTAACAAGGCCAACAACTGGACGGTCATCGGGATCTTCTTCGTCACGATACTAAACGTCTTCATCTCCTCTTTCGGCGTCGTCGACCAGGCATCCATCGTGACGTAGGAGGAGCCTAGGGTCTGTCTATTTTCCATTATTTTCCTCTTTTATTGCTCTCTTTGTCAACCATTTGATTGCCATATACGTAAAATGCGTACAGCTTACCCAAAAGTAGCAAATTGACGTCATTAAACGTCAAAATGACATATGCTTGCTGCCTGGATGATGTGATTGAATTATTTCTCTTAATTTTTAAAATAAAAAAAACTATATCAGGTAGAAAGCATACGTCATTAGACGTCATTAAATGTCAAACTGATACCATTAAACGTCAAAAAACGTCATTAAACGTCAAAATGACGTATGTTTGCTACCTGGATGATGTGACTGAATTATTTTTCTTAATTTTTAAAATAATGAAACTACCTCAGGTAGAAAGCATACGTCATTAGACGTCATTAAATGTCAAACTGTCGTCATTAAATGTCAGAATAACATTATTAAACGTAAAAATGACATATGCTTTTATCTGGATGATAACTGAATTATTTTTTTTTATTTTTAAAATAAAAAAATTACCCCAAGTAGAGAGCATACGTCATTAAATGTCAGACTGACATCATTAAACGTAAAAAAACGTCATTATACGTTAAAGTGACGCCATTAAACGTCAAAATGACGTACGCTTGCTATTTGAGATGTTTAATATAATATATCTTCTTTGTTTTTCATGCAATATTCGGCTAAGAGTTTGATCTAAACAAAAATTGCCATTTTTTAATGTATTATTATTTATTTGTCACGTATTAATTATATTTAATAATTGAATACACAATACTTAAATAATTAAATGTCGCAATACTTGAAACTTGACATTTTTTTTCATTAAAAAACGACAAGATATTTTCGCGTTTCGTAATTCCGCATACATCTCTCGCACATATCATGATAAATTGCATTCATTTATCCACGTATCGATACTAATATCGATGATATATGACTAGCTTAAATTAATCGTATTGGCAGTAATTTATAAAAGAACTCTTGCTTGATCGATCGTGGTCTTTGTAATTAAGATGTTACCGATTCATGTAAACAATTCATTCACGGATAATTTAACAAACAACCAGATCTTTCTTTCAACCTCCACATGATAAATATATATGTAATTTATAAAATTTTTATACACGCAATTATAATAAAAATAATAAATCTTTTTCCAACTGCGCAAGTCAATTTTAATATATGTACGCTTAACATAAGAAGAAATAATAGTATAGACGAGTTAGACGCGAACGATGGATGGTATCAACTTCAGCATTTCTTCCAACTCGTCGGCCAACCTCTTCCTGTTTCGCTGGAGGTCTTCTTCCTCGCTCCTCTGGCGCTCGTTCAAATCATCCAACCAGTTTCGCGCCTCGACGTCCTCGTCACATAGACTTCTAAGCCCGCGAGAAGGGCAATCCAAGGTCGTGCTTCGAGATTTACCGCCTGCCGCATCAGCAGACGCAAGAACCCGCAGCCTCTTCCTGATCACTCGACGCAGCAGCGAGCTGAAGGCGACGAGTTCCCGCGAATCGGTGTTCTTAGGACTGGTCCCCGTGGCTCTTCGCTGCTCCTGAATTACCGTGACCTGGAATACACGTCGTTGTAGTAAGAAAAGAGCTCTTCCGCTCGTGGACCATCAATACGGAGCAAATTCACGACTCACCATCCAGTCGAAGAACACCTGACGCTTCCGCAACCATCTGATGCGTGCGTCCAACAGAATCCCGGCGTCCCTGTACTTTCGTCGTCGATCTTCCGCTTCACCAGGACTCTCGGAATCCTCGCTCGTCGTCGCGAGGCGCTTCGTCAATGAGGATTCGGACACGCTGAGGTGAGGCAACCCGCTGACGTCGACGCTCGCCGCATGTACCTTGGACACTAAGTTAGCCCGTTCCTGGGTCAGTTCGCTGATCTCCCGCAGGTTCAGATTCACCCTGGTGTTTAGGTGCAGGAGACTGGCAAGTTGGACGGTGGTCGGCTGATCATCAGGTATTACAATTGAAGATAGGGGTCGAATGACGGACTCCTGGATCACAAAATAGGACGTATAAAGATGATACATTTTGGTAGACTTGCTTCATGTAATTTCCATACTGACTTCCGACGGATCCACGTGCGAGCATTCAAAGCCCAGGACGCCACCGGCTAATTTTGCTCGCAGGACAATGCTGAGGACGTCTGGCATTCCCAGAAGCCAGGCTAAGGCTAGCAATAAGTCCCTGTTGCGATCTTTGTTGCTCTGCGACAGGCTGTAAAACTCTATCGCTGGGTATTCCAGGAAAGCGAGATGTAGCTTCACTGCCATCAGTTTGTCTAGAATTATGATTGATGATGAGTGCAAGGTAAAATTTAAATACGATGGATTTTAAATTCGCTAAATCTTAGCTATCGAGCGTTTTATCAAGAAATAATAATAAAAGCATATTATAAAAATTTATTTAAAAAAATCATATAATAAATTTTAATTATTAATTGTATTAAATTTAATAATTAAACAATATTAATTTTAAGTTAATTTTCCTATTTTATTAAATATATTTAATTAAATTTAATGAAATTAATATATATAAAATTAATATAATAAAATTTTATATATTTTAATTTAATTATTAAATTTAATAAAATTAAAAATTTATTGTTATATACTATTCAAATATAATAAAATTTACCAAGGAAAAAGAATATTATATATGAGTAATATAAATAAGATTAACAAATTAATTAAAAATTTTTAAATATAAATATATAAATAAAATTGTGTTTTACAAATTAAAACAATGTTTTTATATACAATGTTGAAATAAAAAGTATATTCTTTAATTCGCTATTATGTCTACAAAAATAAATTATTGCTACATAAAATTAATTGCGGAAAGTTTCAAATGAGAGCGGATGATTATTGGCGGAATATTCTACATACTTATATGTATCGATCATATATATTATAATATCAATGCGAGATTAAAATCGATGAAGAAACGAACCATAATTCCGAAAGTCTACGTCACTTCTCTTTTCTCTTGCCGCATGATAGCTGAAAACGTGTAGCGTGTTTCGCAGCGTCTCGGTCTGTCAGAAAACACATGTATCGCTTGACATATACATATATATTGGTCAGAGGTTAGGTTAGATTAGATTACGCAGGGGGCTATTAAATAACTCGAAAGAATATCCGATAATTCCTATACTCACAACATTCCCGTCCGGAGCGTTAAATTTCGCCAGTCTCAGATGCTCAGGTGTCAGACCTACGTTTATCAACGAATTGATATAATTGCAGAGCGCCAATAACGCGTCCCTCACGTCGGACATGTTTACAAACACAAGTACTCGCCACTTGACCGGTTTGCCCCGTCTCCTTTGCGTTTCTGAAGCGAAACGGACGACGCGCGTTAAATTCTCGTAAACGCAAGACGTGAAAGAATTTATACGCTGTCGCTTTTCAGGGTCTGAAAAGGAAAAAAAATTAAATTTTAAGCATTATATAAACATTATAACATTGGGGATCCCCTATACGTCACTGAAAGAGGTGGATTAAGGGAGAGGAGAGAGAGAATGAAGCATTTAGGCCCATATACGTCAGTCATGGTCAGTGGACCCCTTCCTTCGACTCCGTTTCCTCTCCTCGCGATCTCTCTCTCTCTCTCTCTCTCTTTCTTTCTTGTTCGCAACTGACTTCAAATTGTTGGAATCGCGCGAAGTGAGCAGTGGAACGCGGACGCTCGTTCCGAGCGAATCGTTATTTATATATCTGTGTTTATCTGACGCGGCAAAAAATGATATCGAATGTTCCTTGCGCGAGGAGATGGAGGAAGATGTACCTGGTGCTCATTGTCCTGGTGAGAAAAATAATCCGATCATAAATTAAATTTGCCGTCTTTTTTTATTCATTCAAAAATATTTTCCGCGTTTGAATGTTCAAACTATTTTTTTTTATTAATGGTTTTTTAGGATTAATTTTTTTGTCACATTTCCTGGTTTTTTAAAATCCTTTTTTATGTAAATTATCGGATACCTCGAGGCACAGTTTATAAATTCTGCACCGATTGAAAGATGCAACCATATATAGATACGTCATTTTTGGACATTTTGACGTCGAATGGAGCCAAACTGACGTTATTTTGACGTTTAATGACGTCAGTTTGCTACTTATCGGCGAGATGTATACGATATAGGATCACGTTATTTCACACAGTCATATCTTTATTTATTATTTGGTCATTCTTAATATCTTCGTCATAATATCAGAAGACATCGAATCTTTTGTCTTTGAGAAACCGAAAGTAGATAATACCTATATATGCTTCAGGCAGTGAAAATCTTTATTGAAGATAAGAGGACAAAAATTCATATATAATATCAATAAATAATAATATTAAATATATACTTTGTGCAAGAAAAATAATAAAAAGAATATATATAATTAAAAAAATACACGATGCAAAAATTATTCTAATTAATTATTTTTCAATTTAGTCTTTTTTCCTGTATATACAATTATATAATTATATTTATGTTTATATATGGACTTATTTTCCAGAAAGATGCTAGAAATAATCATAGGTGTTTTCATCGCAAATTCTTTTTTTTTTATTTCATGCATTTATTTTTCTATATATCTACGTCCTTTTTCTCAAATTATCTTTTACATTTCTTCTCGCGCGATGCAGATTCAAATAATGTCACACTGTGGAAGTTGCCGAGAACGTGCGGTGACACAATAAACACCAGGTGAAGAAAAGAGAGAAGAGCGACTAATAAAACGATGACACAGACGAAGAGTAATACCTAGAAATCGCGTAATTTTGCGGCTCGCTGGCACGAATCTACATTCAATCGCGAGGACCCGAAATGCACATCGTGAAATTATATTGCGCGCTTTTTTTACCGAATTTTCCCGCCAAAAATGTATATAATTATATATGTAAAAATATGTCCATATACATTTATTTTTTTAAGTAAAATATTTGTGATAAAATTACAAAAGACATACCTATAAAAAATTTGAAAACATTTATGACACATATATATTTATATATTACATATATATATTTGTATAAATATATATCTACTAGTAATAATATATATATGTATGTATATTTATATTATATATGTATATATATAATTAAGTATATGAACTAATTTATATTATTTTTAAATATTCATACAGTAAAAATAATAAGAATAATTAATGAATAAGTGAAGGAATAATTAGTATTGTTTCTTAAAAAAAAACAGTAAATAGTATACAGGATATTAAAAAATTAGACCGACAAAAAGGAAAATAGAAGACTTCAAAATAAATATTTATAATTAAATAATATATATACAAAAATATGAAATCTTTATCACTTAAATCTTATATCATGTAGTATTAAAACTATAAGTACATAGAGAAAATTAGAATAACAAAAAATTTGTCGATTTCTCTCTTTTAACACCCTTTATATATATATATATATAGAATATATTGTATAATTAATTGCAAACTTTACTTTTTCTAAAACGCAAAAAACAAGATAGACAGATATTATTTTTCAATTATTTTCTTCTATAAAACGGATAGAAATATACGAAAGAAAAAAAAATATACGATATATGTATAAAATTATATATGGATAATTTTTTCTAAAATTTTAAAATTAACGGAGTAATTTTTAAACAAGTTCAAGTTAGTTGCATAAAATTATTTAGTTAAATTAAAAGTTAGATGAACAAAAAATTAACTTGTCAATTAAAGTTAAGATTAAATTAACTGAAGTTAAATCAAAATTAATTTTTAAAAACATTATTTATATTAAATTAGAATTTTGTTTGTTAATTCTTTAAAATTTATAATAACAATTAAGTAACAAAGAAATTTTGATTTTTATATAGAAATATATCTTTTGGTAATTACAATTGATGATAAATAAACAAAAATTATTAATATTTTAATTTAAAAATAATACGTTTATAAAACTTATAAAAAAAAAACAATAATGGTATTCTGAGATAAAAAAATTTAACTTCTAGTTGAAGTTAAAAATTAATATTGTAAATTAACTAAGCTAAATTAAAATTTAAGTTATTAACTTAACTTTTTTTAACTTTTACCTATTAACTTATTGTTAGTTAATTACCCAACCCTGAATAATTGTACCATTTCTCAGCTGCTCTATATATAGAGTAAAACATATGGAACATTTAAAGAAATTATCTCAGATATACATGACTATGTATGTTACTAGGAATTTAATTGCGTTATATAATTGCGTTTGCCTGCAACAGGATCTCGGTCGCCTCGGTATACACGATGTGCATAAAAATAAAATGATGTATCTCCCTCCTCTCTTATCGCTTTTCCGTTCTCTCGGCTGTTCAAAGCTCATCGTCGTCGATGAACTCTCTACCTCTCTCTCTCTCCCTCATCCAGCTTCTCGGAAAGTGACTTATTTTTAATTTATTTTTAAAGCAGGAAAATCACCCACGCGCAAAGCGACGAGAGAGCGCGAATCTAATTAACTGACTCGTTCCAACTCTTTGTTTCTACGTAATTTTTTATCTCCCGCTTCAGACAACGGGACGAGTCGAAGGTCATCCTCGCACTGCTTCCACGTATTCCCAGGACATCGGAAGTTCCTCGACGCAGCAGATGTCGATCTCGAGGCTGATCGAGGCGGCGTATGAGAGACAGGAACTGCTGCGACGGGAAGACTGGTCCCGGCGAACTGACGAACACCAGGTAGTGACCAAATCCGAACGGGATATCTCTAGGCAATCGGAGTACCTGGCCGAGGGAATTTCTACACCTGGAGAGAGAAGATTGTTGGAAGGTGCGTCAAAATGGTCGAGACTTCCTCTTATTCCTGCTGGATCCTCGTCCAATCGTAATTGGACGTCTAATTATGTAATATATGTTTAAAATTGGGGCATATGATAATATCTTTAAAGTTTTTCTTTAAGACACCTTTTATGATATGATATCTAAAAGACATCTTAAAAACGTTTAAAGACGTCTTATATATATTGTCTTAATTTCGAACCTGTTTCGATTTTGGTGCCGTTCGGGCCGATTATAGGAATTCCTTTTTTCAAATTTTGTATAGATTTCATTTGTAAATCTCAGAAATGTTTTATTTTTGTTAGAACTATTAAATCAGATGATTGTAGGCTAAACAAACGTATTCTGAAAATCAGATAATTGTAGGCTAAACAAACGTATTCTGAAGCTTGTAACGCTAATTGATACCAGTTTTATCATCAACGCTCTTATTGTGTCACCTACACATTATTTCCTTATATTTGTGTTGTGTTATATTTTAGTGTGTAAAATAACAATCAAATATTTCATATTTTTTGATGATGACTAACTAAACAAATATTTATTTTCATCAAACGTTGATAGTATAAAAATATGGTATTAATTAGTATCACAGGCTTCAAAATACGTCTGTTTAGCCTGAAATCACCTGGTTTCAATAGTTCTTACAAAAATAAAATTCAGAGGAGATTAAAAACCAACCTTGTACCTGTGGTAAAATGAATCCTTATCTCCTTTTAAACATATGTTGTAACAATATTTCTCTCTTTCTGAAATTGACGAAAATAACTCATGTGTAATAAAAATAAATCCAAAATCATTGAAATATGTTGTTCTTTTGCAGCGTCGACGCGGACAAATGGAGATGGGATTATCTTCCCCTCAGACGACAGGGTCTCCTCGATGCTGACATCGACACCAGCATCAGACTCAGACTGCCATAGCACATTCTGCGAAAACGTCACTAATTATCCAACCCATTTGGTGAACGCGGCGATAGCGCGAAACTCTAGTCTCAGATTCCTGGAAAGCGTCGATGAATTATTATCTGATCCGGTTAATAATTTTATTATATTATTCAAACAAAATTAAAATCCCAAACTGTCGTCATTAAACGTCAAAATAACGTCATTCTAACGTTTAATAGCGTCATTTTGACGTCTAATGGCGTTTAGGTGTCATATTTTGACGTCTAATGACGTTTAAGTGTCATTTTGAGGTCTAATGATGTTTAATGGAGTCATTTTGACGTCTAATGACGTCACGACTTCAAAATGACGTATTTTTGGTACTTGGGATCTTTGATATATAAAGGCATCCTAGGCAGCAAATTGACGTCATTTTGACGTTTAATAACGTTAGCAGTTTGCTATCTGGATTGCGAAAAAACCTGAAAAATATGTTTCTCTGATACAACCTCGTGATGAGTCTGTATTAAGGTCTATTGTTGTCTATTTTATACTTATTATATTTGTTTAAATAGCTATTGTTTTCGCGTATCTCATCCAACATCAAGATTCGAGAATACGAAATTAAAATATTACTGTAATCTTTTAGGTACCTGACATCGAGCATAGAATTAAGCCGACGGATGAGAAACTTTGCGATTATGTAGTAAGTGAAAAAAATAAAAAGACTCGATTTATACTTTGTTTTTTTTTCTTTCTCTTCTCATGGTTTGAATAACACATTTAATTTCGATTTGCAGGAACACTTAGTATATCCGCAGACTGCGCAAAACAAGGAGAAACAGTGGCTGTTCGTCGTGAATCTGGACGGCTTGAAGCAGCGAATACGCGTCGAGATTTGCTTGTAGGTATTTTACGATTCTATTTTAAGAGAAATTAAAGTAGACCACGTCGAATAACGTCATTAGATGTCAAAATGGCGCCATTAATGTAAATTTTGCGTTACCTTGAATCTTCCATTCTATAGGAATGATGGTCAGGAGTGCAACGTCATCAAGGGCTTCGCCGAGAATTACAAGACCACTTGCAAGCAGAAGTTCATCTATCGAGAATTGTTGGCGGTGGGAACCAACGGAAACATCGTCAAGGACCAATTTCGCTTCCCCTCGAGCTGTTGCTGCCATATCAAGAACACCGGCGACCCCACCGTCAGGTTGGGACTGGCATCATCGGATCAGCGCTCGCTCAATCGAACCGCGATCGCGGCGAAGACACGATTGTGACAGTGAAGAAAATCAGAGCTTAATCGCAACGCAATATGCTCATTAAAGCGTATTTTACACGATGCTTTTTTTATTATATTAAATAAAAGATGATGCATCTCGAAATGTTGTAACATATCAACATCTCGCGCGAGCTGTAGCATGCTTTCTCTTAATATTAGTACATTAATTTGATAATAATATTATTAGATTACAATATTATATTTTATATATATATAATAATTAATATTATTATATATTATATAATTATAATATATATATATATATATATAATTAATATTGTAATATATATTTAATATTATAATTATATATATTATATTATACATTAATATAATATAATATATATATATATATTTAATATATAATATAATTAATATTACACACACACACACACATATATATTTTAATAATTTGATTTTTCTTTCCATCAACCAGCAGTCTAAATTAAAATATTTCAAATGCGCTCTATTATAACATCAACTAGTTTCTCACAAAAAATTGTGGATCGCAACCAGTTTTTACTTTTAACAAGCAATAGATTTGATTTGTTAATAACGGTAAATTAGAACACTTCTAAAAACACGAATAATGTTAGAGCATATTCAACGTAGATATAAAACAAAAATTCTTTCAACTAAGATTTTAAAGTAAATTAAGAGTTTAACAAGGCTCTGTAATATTAAATATAAATCTAAAGTGTATAAACAAGCAATAAGAGCCAAATTGCGGATGACAATGCGTTATCCCAACAAAACTAAAATTTTTTCGTTAAAATTAAATCCTGTGCACAAGGCACCAAATTTTACTTCGTCACGGCCAAGACTTAATTAAATTTCAAGTATAGAGATTATTCCTATTTTAAGTCTTGGCCGTGACCAAGTAAAATTTGGTGCCTTGTGCACAGGTATTTAATTCTAACAAAAAAAATTTAGTTTCGTTGGGATAACGCACTGTCATCCGCGATTTGGCTCTTATTGCCTGTTTATACACTTTAGATTTATATTTAATTTTAAAGTAAACCTGTCAAAAAAATTATTTTTTCTTCCTTATGTATTTTTCAATAGATATCTACTCTTATACTTCGACATATCAATTAAGTTGTAATAAGAGATAAATATTTACGCGAGATATAGGCATCAAGGCACTGACAGATCTTTGTTTGAAAATATTTTCATCAGCATTATGTATATAGAATCGCTTGATTATTAGTCCTCTAGCTTATATTAATTAAAAAAAAGCATCAGTAAATTACGCTTTAAAGTGTTCCATTCTGACAAAATTTAACTGGACTTTCACTACATCTTACGAGAATATAATCGGCGATGTCAATTAACAGAAGAACAGAGGTATCTCTAGTTTTTGTATAAATATTGCAAAATATTCTTCTATATTCTTAAACGCGAATACTATTCGATAAGGTATAAAAAACGTGAAATACAGAATTATATTCATGAATGTGATATTATGTGATACCAATTACTTATACATTAGTTACACATTAATGTCGTATTTTATATATAAATCTTACAAATAAATGCGATCTATTCGTCCTTGTAATATAACATTTTCTCCACGTTGACTGTCAGACAAAGTCGCTGACGAAGGCACAATTTATGAAATATTCGAAGCTTTTTAAATACATATTTCAGTCTAAAGATAAATAAATAATTAATTGTAATATAGAATCATTTTCTTTCTGGCAGTTATGTGTGTTCAGAATGTGGAAGTCAAAGATCTTTCCGCTATGTATATAGTATAAAATCCTAATAAAATGTCCATAATAAATTGCAGCACTTAATTTTGCGCGTACAGAAGAAATGCACTCGATGTCTACTTGACAAATAAGGAACATGGATATCAAAAGTGAAAGATCAGTCGTTGTTTCGCCAAGTGTCATACATGTCACTCTCACTTTCTGTCTATCGTATTATTAAATATTCCCCAGTGGCATCACCAATGTCACTCTCAGCAGGCCTGCAATAGAAAGAACAATCAATTCCCATCCGACGAAGCCTTCAGTATATAGAGGATATAACAATATAGACACATTATTTTTTGCGGCAGAAGTAGCAATAATATAGCAATAATGAGCGCTATTTAATAAGCCAAGTAGCAAACTGACGTTATTAAATGTCAAAATGATGTCATTCGATGTCAAAATGACGCACACTTGCTATCTGAGAAGTTTCTAATGACATCTAGATGATCTATTGTATCTCCTCACACTTTTAATTAGCTAAGTGGATCTAGCCTAAAGTCTAGAGCACCAGGTTTATTAAATACAGATCCACTACCGTCCCAAGTAGCAAACTAACATTGTTAAACATCAAAATGACGTATGCTTGTTATTTCTGGGATGTCTCTCGATCCATCACCCTTGCCACTTCTAGGAGACTTAAAAATTGCATCGTCAAAGGAGAAAAAAGATGCAAAAAGGTTTCCGGAGGATGACTTGTAGAGCAAGAACAAGAAACGCACTTTAGCACCGAAGTCGACGCTGTTGAAGCCACTCTTCCTCTGCATCTGAGCCTGGAGATCTGCCAGCTGGGCGATCGACATGTCGATGTCGCCGCTGCTGATGTGCGCCGTATGACGGAAGTTCGTGGGGACGCCGATCATGCTCCGGTCTATCCTGAGCCTCTGATGCGGCCTGCCGTTGTTCCGCCTCCCGGTGTTCCTGGTCGCCCGTGTCAGGCAGCAGGTGAAGCACTGCACCCAGAGCTCGCTGTTACCGGCCATGTCCGCGGATATCCTTCCTCCTGACGATGACGTTTCGTGAATCTTCGGGATCCTGGGAAACCCTGAAGGTGGAAAGAACCCTGAATATTGCTCAGTTTTGGATATAATCGGATTACAAGTTAAGATGATTTTACCTCGATTTTATCCTGCCTCGCTTCTTCCTTTGCAGACAAATAAAATATATAAGGTTGAGTCTCCGCGTCGTGAAGATTAAGATCTTCTGTAAGGATACCGCGACCTTTCGGCGTCCTGATCGTCCTCAACGGCTGACGAGCCGTGCGAAGTAAACATTTCCGTGAAACACGCCGGCTGCGAACGACATTGTCGAGTGCGAGCGAACACGATGACAGCACGACGATGACAGGACGGGAACACGATACGTATAGGCATTCGGCGGAAACAAAGGCGAGTCTCTCCCGCGATGTTGACGCGGCGCTATCACGCGCGTTTTGGATGCTGTACAGGTCCTGCAAAAAGTGTCTGTGAATGGACAATATTTTTATTTTCTAGATGAAAATATAAATATATATACATAAATCGACACGTTATTTATTTTTCTCGAGAAAGTTAATATTATATATTAATATAATTTTATTTTAGATGTTCGAAAATATAAAATTGAAAAATCTATACAATTTTAAGAAATTGTTTAAATATTGAAAAATTTAAATAATTTACAGGTCCTGCAAAAAGTGACTTTAAATAGACAATATTTTTATTTTTTGACATAAAAATTCATGTATTTTTTTTTATTTTTCTCGAAAAAGTTATAATTGATATATAGCGATGATATATTATATATATATATTATAATATAATTATATATTTTATTAGATATATTCAAAAATAATTAAAAAATCTAATTTTTCAAATTTTTTACACATAGTGTAATTTTCGAAAATTAAAAAACTAAATACTAAATAATAAAATTACTAAAAATAGAAAAATCGATCGAATAATTGACAAGTCTTGCAAAGTGTCCAAATAAAAAATATTTTTATTTTCTGCATAAAAATAAATATATGAATATATATATATATATATATATATATATATATATATATATATATATATATATATAGTTTTATTATTTATTTTCCTCGAGAATAATATTATAAATTAATTAATATATAATATAATTTTATTTTATTATAGATATTCGAAAATAATTGAAAAATCTAATTTTTTTCAATCTTTTAGAAATTAATCCTAACGTAATAATATAACTTTAAATTTCAAAAATTAAATCTTCTCAGATTAAAAAAATTAAAAAATTACTAAAAATAGCAAAAATTGAATAATTTTGTAATTTAAAAATAAAAAAATTATTAAATTTAGATGAAACAGAATTTAATTTTTATATATAAACTTAATTTTTTTTCTTTTATAACTCGAAACTTACAAATACTTGGATATCTTTATAAAGAAAAATTGACTTAATTATAGGCAAAGATTTTCCATTTGTTCTGAATAAGAAGAATACGTAATCATTTCCGATTTATGCAAAAAAATTAATAACTAGAAATCACCCATAAAATTGTCACAATTTACAATCACACAATTGCTTACAAAATATCATCTCAAAATTGTCCGCGACGAGTAGAAAGAATAATGAAGAGAGGATAAGATGAGTTACAGTTATATAAAATGCCAGCTAATACACTTTATTTAAATAAATTATGTACAAGTGCGCTTCGAGTCAGATCGAACGCTTCTTTTTAAATTCGATAAATTAAATTTCTTTCACGGTTTAAATTGACTGCAAAGGCCTTCACACACACATTCTTTAATCAACCTTCATAAAGACCCCTAAGATAGAAGTCCCTCCTTCCCGGAGGAAAGATTCTCCTAAACGACTCCTTTCTCTCTTTTCGCGCAAAACATTGTTAGAATTATCACAGTCTGTCTATTTACAGCGTTAAACATTAAAGTGATCTCTTAATCTAGAGAGAATTAATATATATAGATCTCGCCTTCTTTCTTTCTTCCTCTCTCTCTCGATCGAATATTCTGTTTCGCATTTTATTATTAATTAACGAAACTCGCCACTCATATATGTTATATAAATTTCCCGGATCCTCACCGCGGCTATGTCAGATTGTGACGTCAGAGGTGCTGAAAATTCTTGGATGCTATTTTTAAATGACAGAAGATAGCTTTAGCACACTTTAAAAATACCTCGAAAATCATCCAGGTAGCAAGCATACGTCATTTTAACGTTTAATGACGTCATTTTGACATTTATGACATCAGTTTGACGTTTAATAACGTCAGTTAGCTACTTGGATAGCCTTTTCCCTAGTAGAAGTAATTTATCGACATCTTTTTATCTCAAAATGGCATCGAAAAATTTTAAGCGTATTTTCTCGCCTATAACGTCACAATTCTAACATAATTGGTAATTTTAATTCGTGGAATTTGCGAAACGGGATTTTATAAGACTTCGACTATATATATATAGTCTATATATATATCGACTATACATATGTATACGTGCGTGTGAATTTTCTTCAAAGGAAATACTTTCGCGATAGCGAGCCTTACAATATAAACTTACATACTAATCGTGTATATATAGATAACTAAATAATCGAATAATCTAATGGCGAATACATAGATTCGCTTAGCATAGTGTGTGTCTGTATTTGTGTATATTTACATCTAAATGTACTTATAGATACAAAACGTCACATAGTAAAAATTTACGGTTACGCTGGATGATATATATACAAACATTTAGGGGATATAGTTGCATTTTTGACATTTTTTTCATCTCTCTCAAAAAAATCTTCAAATAAAATACATTTTTAAAATTTAATTATTTATTTCGAGATCTCTCATCTCTTCTGTCTATAGAAATGTAATAAAGTTGGATAATATATAATTTTAGCTTCCATTTCATTTCATTCGTTGTGAATTTTGAGAAAAATTTAAGTAGAATCTTTTTTAATCAAGCATAAAAATCGAGCAGATTAATCGGATAATTTTTAAGACACTTTATTTTATTTTTCTTTATCATAATAGAATCAAATACAGCATCAAAAATAAGAATCGATAAAAAAATTGTGATGAAAAAAATTAACTCTTCCAATCGATCTGTTCGAGTTTCTAACTTTTTTGGCTCTCCATCTTCTGTAATTTCTCCTAATATTTATACGAAGATCTCGCAATATTTGTCTCTTAAAATAAATTCATTGCTTAGTGAATCATATTTCTTAAATGGAGATTTGAAGGTCAAAATGCACGATTTTTGTAGATTTTATTTACCGAAATGGGACTAAAACTGCGTTCAATTTTTAGTCTGTAATATTTACTAGACTTCTTTCTGAGAGAATTTTTTGCACTTATCCCGATACTATATTTGACAAAAATTTATTGATACGTCACATTTCTTCGATATTTAGGGTGCTTTCCAGCAGCATACACAATCATACACTTTGTACAATCATTGTATTTCTATAGGTAATATTGTTTTCAGAATGTTCTCACAAAACTTGTCTCTGTTTTTCAGCCTCTAGTTTTCCACTTATTCATTATCCAGGTAGCAAGCATATGTCATTTTGATGTCGTCATACGTTATTTTGACGTTTAATAACGTCAGTTTGCTACTTGGATATCTAATCAATTGATAAAATCAATTTATTTAACAATTTTTTGTAATTTCACCTATCAACTATTAGATAACAATTATAAATTTATTTTTTAAAACAATTTATCCACAGTTTATGCGCAATATTTGAAGCAAACAGATAGTTTGGCCAATAATGATCCCGAATTCTGACATTGTTGGAAATTTTGTAGCTAAATCTGACCAGCTTTAAATGATCCTGAGAACATTCTTGATCCTGATCATGTCCCAAAATCTCATTTTAATCGCCAGGAAAAAAATAATTGGCTTACAGCAGTTCCACTGTCGTGTAATATTATGTCACCTATTGTAGGACTGTGTTCCGTTGCTGGAAAGCATCATTAGGCAACTTGGCGAGTTCCCCTTTCAGTAGGCTACCCTATCAGCACTAAACACTCGACATACTCATGTCTTCGCATCTACAGTTAGGCACTTCCGGGTCGAACATCGGGTCTCTTCTCTTCAGCTGAATTGGCTGCACCAATTCAAGAGTTTATAGGATTGGTCTTTTCTGCTAAAAAGAACAGACCTTATTTTTTTTACTCCACGTTGGAAGGAAAGAGTAAATCCTGAACTAGTACAGCCAGTTTGGCCGATAAAAACAGATCTTATCTCTCTTTTACATTCCACATTAGAAGGAAATAAGTAAACCTTGAACTAGTACAGCCAATTTTAGCTGATAAAAACATATCTTATCTCTCTTTACTCTACATTATAAGGAAAGAGATAAAGTCTGAATTAATGTAGCCAGTTCAGCTGAAGAGAACAAACCTATCATCTTCATAGGTCTTCTTGCATATACATCTTCGTGCATATACATACATCATGTGTTGATAAGAAAAATTGAAATTTACTCGTGAAAATTTAACACATAACATTATTGATAATCTTCCCAAGTAGCAAGTGACGTTTAGTAATGTTTAATGACGTCATTTTGACGTCTAAACTCCACGTCATTAAATGTCATTAAACGTTACTAAACGTCATTAAACGTCAAAGTGACGTTATCTTGATGTCTAATGACCTCAATTTGCTACTTGAGTTTCTTATTGATATAGAAATAAAATATTTTGCTTAATATTAATTGGGTTACACTAGTTTCGTGTTACAAATACTTGCGTTCGAGCCACAAAACTGCCTAGCTTTATGCGCGAAGACGACCCAACTGAATCGCATGTGTCTATGCCTTCTAAATAGGATGCGAAAGTTCGTTTTTTCATGGTCAATCTTCCCGATTGGATGAGTGATCTGAGATTTTTTTGGCCGGGCTGGTGAGTCAGACAGTGAAGGGGACATTATCTTTATATATACGGTGTTCGGAAATGGCGGACTTTTGATAAGAAAAAAAAATTAAAATTAGATATAAGTAGATGCCGCGATACGGAATATTATTAATTTTTTTTAATAATTTTAAATTCATATTTTGAAAAAATCTAAAAAAAATAGAGTGCTTGTTAACACAATTCTTAAACAATCAGTGACTGAAGGTAAATGATTTGCACGAAATAACAATATAAAATTAATATTTTCTAATTATTTTGGATTTTGTTTCCTGTCATTTCCCAGATAGTAAATGGACGCCATTAAACGTCAAAAAGATGTCATTTTGACATCGAGTGGTCATTTTGACGTTTAATGACGTTTAATTTGCTACTTAAGTTTTTTTGGACTATCTTCAGTATATTGACTCATTATCAAAAAAAATGTTTCAGATATAAATTTTGTTTTAATATATAATTTTAATTTCAAAGGTGCAAATTAAAAAACTGATAAATAATAATTATATTGATTTTTAAGTAAAAAAAGAAAATTAATAATTGAATAAAAAAAAATAAAAAAGAAAAAAATGGAAGTTTTCGTTTTTTAAATTGAAAAAGTATCAGCGATTCGCTGACATCCTATATGCACAAAACCTATTTGCACGCGCGAGACCTGCGAGACCAAATAGATAACCAAATCATTTTAGTGTCTTCCTTGTGTATGTATGTGTATGTATTTGCGTGAATTCTCATGAACTTCCGCACCTCATTTATAATCGAACGATAAATCATGGTACAATCAAGTGTCAGTATGGTTGACATTTCCTATTTTATAGATAAATCTTACAGATGTATTCGAAATCACGAATAATAGCTAATCAAGTGCTTGCCTAAATTAAATATAATTTCGTCGAATTAAAGTAAATAAAGATTCAGGGTAAATTGGAATATTTAATGTTTAAAAGCTAAAACAAGAATTAAACAAAGTTGCTGTAGTACACATATTATTACAATTTTGTTTTCAGATTGCAAAAGAAGATAATTTAATTTGAAAAAGAAGCTAAAAATTAACAACGCCATCCAAAATGATCACTAAATCTACCCTTAAATTCATAAAACCTCTCGTGAAGATTACCGCCCCAACAACACACATATCCGTTCAGAGGACATCCTAAGGACACCTAGAGGATGTTCGAATGTTCTTTAGATATCCTTTGAATGTCTTTCGGATATGTTGCGCTGTCAGGGTCTATATCGACGAAGACTGTCTCAACCATTCTGACACAGGTATACAAGAGATACGCGACCTTGTAGCTAGGTAGATAGCAACACACTTCCTCTATCGAGCGAAGCCGAGGAAGTCGGTGAGCCGGTCGTTCCAGTCGTGGAGCCAATGAGTGGGCCCGTGGCTGGGCTGCCGCTGCTTGCAGGGGTTCATCTCCTTCTCCGGTGGCATGTACTCCTCGCTGCGTATGCAGAAATAGCTCTTGATCGGGCTACGGCACATCGGGCATCGGTCGAGCTTGCCGAAGCAGGAGGCGCAAATGCAGGTGTGCCGGCAGGGCAGCAGGGCGCGCGACAGCGGAAAGTACTGGCAGACGACGCACAGCTGCTCGCCCGCGGTGTTCCAGAGGGAGCCGTTCTCCTGGTCGCCTTGGCCGGACGCCACTAGGGCGCCTCGGCTGCCCGTGGAGTTGTTGTTGTTGTTGCAGGGCTCGGCGAGCGCGAGCGCCGGAGATCCCAGGCCTGACGACATCGCCTCGCCCTCGTCGTAGTTGCTCGAGTTACCCGTGGCCAGGTAGAGTTGCTGCGGAGAATCACATGACGTCATCATGTGTCAATGACCGCGGGAGAACGTTATATGGTTGTACATATAGTATGTTGCCAATTTACGGTTTGGGGTTTGTCATTGAGTGGATTTTGGGTGTTAAAACAAATTAATAGGTGAAAAGAAGACTTTTGAGTAACAAAGATTCACACATTTTTTGTTAATGTAAAATCTTTTGTCTACATTTTTGTAAATTAAGAATATCTGATACTGATCTTGCTACTTGGGTCACTAGCAAGTCATTTTGACGTCGAACGATGTCATTAGATGTCAATTTGATGTTTAATGATGTCAATTTCATCGATCCCAAGTAGAACAGAAAATCAAAATAATATCATTTTGACGTCATCAAAATTTGAACTCCAAATTTGATCAATGACGTCAAAATGATATTATTTTGATTTTCTGTTCTACTTGAGATGACATCGTCATTAGACGTCAAAATGACATCATTGATCAAATTTGGAGTTCAAATTTGAACTCCAAATTTGATCAATGATGTCATTTTGACGTCTAATGACGATGTCATCTCAATCAATGACGTCAAAATGATATTATTTTGATTTTCTGTTCTACTTGAGATGACATCGTCATTAGACGTCAAAATGACGTCATTTTGATGACATCGTCATTAGACGTCAAAATGATGTCATTTTGATGACATCGTCATTAGTCTCTTCCCTTCAAGATAAGAGAATCTTTTACTGCTTATTTTAAAACAAGATATTCTAAAAAAATAAGTAGAAAATTCTTAAAATATTTTCAGTGAGGTAACTCAATATACTCTATAGCAGTCAATATCAGAATTACTTTTGGAAATTGAAACATCGCGGGATAGTTTCGACCCACCTTTAAACAAGACAGCTGGCCATTAGCTTGTTTCAAGTACTGCGCCAGAATCGAAGTCGGCAGCGTGCACACGCTGTCCTTGATGTGAACGACGTTCACCAGAGCCACCTTAAAAAAAAAAAAAAAAAAGAAAAAAATCAACAGAAGATATAACAAGAGAGAAATCGAGAGTTTTCCTTTTTACCTCCTCTTTGTGCAAAAACGCATGCAAGCAAGGTCACGCGACGATAATAAATAAAATTACTCACGGTTTCGTCGGGGTGGGGATCCCGATTGTCCCTTCGGGTGAGGAAGATCACTAGTGGGTAGCAGAGTCGCGGTGGAGTGCCCAGTTCCAGCTCCGGCGCCGGCAGCGACAATCTGAGCGTTTCCTCGCCGTGCGGCTGTCTACTATAATTTCAGTTAAGGAATAGCGAGAGAAAGATGTGAATGATGAGCGTCCAATGAACACTCGAGAAAGGTGAAAAAAATTATTTGACTACGATCAGTCGATTCACTTTCCAAGGTGAACAAAAGGCAAAATTATTATAATATTTGACATCATATTGATCAAATTTGGACATAAATTCCCGGATGTACAAGTCATTTTGTCATTATGACATCATTATGGCGTCATTTTGACGTCAAAATGATGTCATTTTTATGTTTAATGATATCATAATGATGTCATTTTGCTGACGTCGTCATTAGACATCAAAATCAACCCAAGAAGCAAGCGCACGTCATTAAAAAACGTCAAAGTGACGTCATTTTGACGATTAATAACGTCAGTTTGCTACTTGGGTCAAATACCAAGTCATTTGACGTCGAATGACGATTATATATAATCACCAAGTCCTCGAATGATTATATATAATCATTCGATATTATTGTGATTTTAATGATGTCAGTTTGCTGACAGTTATTAAACGTCATTTTGATGACATCGTTATTAGACATCAAAATGACGTCAGTTTGCTACTTGGATTATGTCCAAATTTGATCAGTATGACGTCATCAAATTGATATCATTTTGACGTCATTGATCAAATTTGGAGTTCAAAATTGGTCAAGATGACGTCAAAATAATGTCAATTTGACGTCATCTCGACCAAATTTGAATTCCAAATTTGATCAATGACGTCAAAATGATATTATTTTGATTTTCTATTCTACTTGGGTGGGTTGAGATTGCTTAACTGCAGCCACATTGCACCACAACTTCTCAGAAATGAAGCAATAGGGCGAGTTTACTCCCCTTCACACATTCCCTTGTTTTTACATGCCAAAGTAAATTGGTTTCTTCCTACGCCACCGTGGGCCGGAAATTCTCCTTTTTTACAGTCGTGCATTAGCCAATACGCAAGCATATAGTTTAGCCTGCCTTACATTCTTAATTCTTACTCAAGATGGATCTCAGAGATAGAGAGATCAAGAATTTATGAATTTACGCAAATTGAAAAAAAAACCGAGTCTTCGGTAGATATATTTTATTGACTATCTGCATAATTAAATGTGCTAAAAAAAAAAAAAGATTAATTTATATCGCGATGAAGTTGAGAAAAATAACAGCACAACTTCTCGCTTCTGACGTCATATGTAAAGATAGAAAGGATGCGAGAACTTCACGCACGTATCTCGAAAATATTTATCTGCTAAGGTCGTGATTTTTGCTTTTGAATATTATCTTCAAAAATAGAATCCGACCAAAAGGAAGAGAGAAGAGAAGGGAAGGCTCTCGTACAATAATCCTTGTGGAAACTGGATTTCGGTGGAATCGACTGGTTCAGAAACTGTTCATTATTCAGCTTCGAGGTTTTTACATCTTTTGTTCAGCTATAACAGAGTGTATACTAAATCTTATAAACAAATTCCATGATTTTTCAAGTACTTTTGTTAAAAATTCCAAATAAATTTAAAGTATTTAAAAAAAATTTTAAATATACTTTTAATTTAAGTGCATTTATTTTATACATAATTTTTTTAACACGAATAAAATGTTTTTTAATATAATAATATAAAATAGGAATTTTGATTAAATCCGACACACTGGCAAATGAAGTGGATATTAAATTTATTACGTTACGTTTCGACCATACGGATTATAGTCCTTCTCAGACAATTACAGTATTTTACAATCTGGAAAGCCGTTACAAAGGAATTTTTTATATATACATATAATCAATAGTAAGAACAAAAAGTCAATACAGATACTTACATTTAATATTACATCACATTAATTCTTTAAAAACTTGTTTATCAAGTGTATTATAATTTAGTCATTATTTAAAAGAAGAAAACGGAAACAGACAAAACATCGCTTGAAAACCGCACATCCGAATTAAATGAACGTGTTTTTACATCTAAAGAACAACGCGGTACCACATATATATCCCAAGTCGTTTTATTTTAAAAATAAACAATCATAAGCTGTACTAAATTTTTCCGTGTCCTTCTGTAAATTTATCATTGTGTTTAATTTGTTAATATAATACATTTCTGCGATTTCTCTTTTTTTCGATTATTCTCCCTATGTAAGACCGACGGATTTAACCAATTAAACTCATGATTAAAATTTAATCTGTGTTCGCTGACAACAGATAAATTTCCGGATGAACTATTAATATCTCGTTTATGTTCATTGATCCACCTAAATGTTTTTAATTGGGAAGCAGTTATTAAGTAAAATGTCCTTTACTGTTTTTAAATTTACCCCATAAAAACGATCATCTGCGAGTAAAATTGCGTGGTCAACCAGACTGATAATTGTGTTTATTTTGTATTTAAGAAAATGATTAGAGAGGAAATTAAGATACTGTCCTGAAAAGGTAGGTTTCTTATAACAATCTGTGATGAGTCCCTGATTTTCTCTATGTACTACAGTATTCAAAAGGTTAAGAGAGTTATTTAATTCCACTTTTATGTAATTTTGATTTAATATCACTCCAATTCACTTATAGAGTGGAATTAAATAATTCTCTTAACTTTTTGAATACGGTAGTACATAGAGAAAATCAGGGACTCATCACAGATTGATATAAGAAACCTTCCTTTTCAAGATGGTATCTCAATTTCCTCTCTAATCATTTTCTTAAATACAAAATACAATTATCAGCCTGGTTGACCACGTAATTTTACTCGCGGATAATCGTTTTCATGAAATAAATTTAAAAACAGTGGACATTTTACTTAATAACTGCTTCCCAATTAAACTGATAAAAAAGCATATAAACTTTAGAATGAATAAATTGTAGAGGCGAATTCTCGATGTTAATACAGAAAATAATTGTAATCCCAGGGTTAGAAAAAAACTTAAAAATTATGTTATTGTTCAGCACTGTAATACATATTCGAGCGATATCTACAGATTTCTAAGGAAAAGGAAGTTTAATGTCGTCTTCACAATTCCAAAAAAAAAACTGAATTATTTGATTAAGAGCGGGAAAGATGTATTGGACGTCGATAAGCGATGTTTTGTCTGTTTCCGTTTTCTTTTTTTAAATAATGACTAAATTATACACTAAACAAGTTTTTAAAGAATTAATGTGATGTAATATTAAATGTAAGTATCTGTATTGACTTTTTGTTCTCACTATTAATTATATGTATTGACTTTTTGTTCTCACTATTAATTATATGTATATATAAAAAATTCTTTTGCAACGGCTTTCCAGATTGGAAATTACTGTAATTGTTTGAGAAGAACCACAACTCGTATGGTCGAAACGTAACATAATAAATTTAACATCCACTTCAATTGCTAGTGTGTCAGATTTAATCAAAATTCCTATTTTATATTATTCCTGATAAAGGAATATCGTTTAAAAGTTATAATAATATAATATTATATATTGTAACATAAAATATATTTTAATATACTTTATATAAACCTAATAAATTTTATATTCTTTAAAGGTATATTTGAAAATAAAATCAAAGCGGCAATTTTTTAAAAAATTTCTTGAGTTCAAAATAAATTCTATGAGTATTTCAGAATTTTTCAAAGTAGAAAAAAATTCCCTAAGAATTCCAGGTTTTCCAGGTTTTTCCAGGGAGTATATATCCTGTGTATAATATATATGGAAAAAACCAATTGTCGTCAATTTTACGTCAATTTGAAATTGGAAGGATACGTTTGCGGCGGCGTGAGGTATTGCGCGTGGCCTTGAAGAAGGGTCCCGTTCAAGGACGCGTCCCGCAACGTGTTCCAAGGTTTCCAAAGGGCCAGATGCAGTTCCCGGATGCTGACACCCCAAATAGCCTGCAACGAGTACTCAACTTGGCTGGACACCTCGCACTCCACCTCTGAAACAGACAGGGTTTCCTCCTTTCAACGAGATGATGGTCAAACTCCAGGAGCATATTTCATTTAACAATAAATACGTAGCTGCAAATTTAGTTTCTTTAATCGGAAAAGCTTTACTTTTCGGAAATTAAAATTTTTTAAGGTGGAATTGTCTAAAAAAATGGAAAAATTATATTTTTTAATTATTTTCGAATATCTAATAAAATAAAATTATATTATATTAATTTATAATACCAACTTTTTCGGGAAAAATAAATAATATGTATATTGATTTATGTATTTATTTTTATTTAAAAAATAAAAATATTTTCCATTCAGACACTTTGCAGAACCTGTATTTATTAGATTTTTTCTAATTTAAGAAGCTTTAATTTGCGAAAATTAAACAATTTCTATAAAAATTAAAAAATTAGATTTTCAAAAATTAAATTATCAGAGTTAAGAAAGTTAACGATTTTTTAAAACTGAGTTAAAGTTAGTTGCTTATAAAATTAATTTAGCTAAATTTAAAAATTGCATGAACAAAAAATTAACTCGGTTGAAGTTAAGATTAAATTAACTGAAGTAAATTTTTAAAAACATTATATTAAAGTATTTTGTTTGTTAATTCTTTAAAAATTTATATTAATAAAAATTTATATTATTTATATAATAACAAGTAACAAAGGAATTTAGGCTTTTATATATGGAAATATATTTTTTTGGTAATTACAATTGATGACAAATAAACATGAAAATAAATAATACTTTAATTTAAAAATAATATGTTTATAACTTATAAAAAAACAATAATGATATTTAGAGATAAAAAAAAATTTTAATTAAAAAAAAAGTTAATAGGTTTAAAGTGAAAAATAACTAGTTAAAGTAAAAAATTAATACATTTCAAATTAACTAATTGTAAGTTAAGTTAAAAGTTATTAACTTTTACCTTTTTTAAAATTGTTAACTAATTAACTAATTATTCATATATCAACCCTACTTAACAATAAATACGTAGCTACAAATTATATACTGTTTTTAGACCGACAATATGTTTTTTTCACTAATTGATTTCACCCATCGAAAAACAAATATTTAATGAGATATTTTCTAATTTATGTGAAATTATGTCTTATCTCCTAAAGTACAAACTATTTCACTTTTTAGCTACCCTTCTAATCTTTTATGACAAATATTGATTTATATAAAAAATTAGGATAATTCCATTTTTTAAAATTAGATTTTTCAAATTTTCAAATAATCTTAAAAAATGCTTAATTAAAATGCAAAATTATTATGTTTCTTTCTCTTTAAAACCTTTCAATTTTTATTTGATAAAAGGACCAATAAGATTGATAAGATATAAATAAGCATTGAACAGTTGAATACACAAAAATTATATAAAAATATTTTTATTAATTTAAATTCTGAATTAAAACATAAAAGAAAAACTGAATCAAAGTACACAAAAATTATACTTTTTAAGAATGCTGAATTGATTTCCCCGATTTTTCAAATTATTCCGAATAAAATATGCGCAAACATCCTTCTCTTTTTCATCCTCTGATGCACAATATCAACTTTGATATTTGCTTCCTGCTATCTTTCTCGCTCTTTCCTTGTGCAACAACTCGCGAATGATTCGCAAATAAGTTTAGTTTTTATCTCTAGTTCTTGTTCATTTTGTGTTTAAAAAAAACTATCATCACGTCACATTGTCGGCAAACAGCTGAAAAAGAGATAGAATTATTTGTCGACAACACTTTTTACTCAACTTATCGAGCACGATTATGAATACGGTCAAGGTTCAATGGAAATGATCTGCAAATTAGATCATTTATAATGGCACTTAAATGTCATAATTAACATAATAATATAATGCGATTTTCAAATTAACACTATAAATATGATCATAAAAACCTCAAAACACAGAACTTTTCGTTTTTCAATTATATTTTTATAATATTATAATTATATATATATATATATATATATATATATATATATATGTATGCGTGTGCGTGTGTGTGTAATATTAAAACCTACAAGTTACAGAATATTAATACTAATAATAAAAAATAAAAATAATAAAATAATAAATAATATTGAATATTAATTATTAATAACAATTAATATTATTAAAAGATAATTATCTTTTATGCTTTAAAAATTAATGATTTTTTAAAAACTAATTGTAAGTTAAGTTAAAGTTAAAGTTAGTTGCTAATATAATAAAATTAATTTAGTTAAGTTAAAAGTTACGTGAGCAAAAAATTAATTCGGTTAAAGTTAAAATTAAATTAACGAAAGTTAATTTTTAAAAATATTATATTAAATTAGAATTTCGTTTGTTAATCCTATTACAATTTATAACAATTTTGATTTTTGAATAGATATATAGAAATATATTTTTTGATAATTACAATTGATGACAAATAAACATGAAAATTTTATATATATATATATATATATATATATATATATATAATAATACTTTAATTTTAAAACAATACGTTTATAAAAAACCAATAATGGTACTCAGAGATAAAGAAAAATTTAATTTAGGAAAAAAGTTAATAAAAGTTTAAGATCAAAAATAACTAGTTGAAGTTAAAAATTAATACATTTTAAATCAACTATAAGCTAACAATAAGTTAAAAATTATTAACATTTTTTTTAATTTTTAAAAGTTATTAACCTTTTTTAAAAATTTTTTATTATAATTAACTAGTTATTACCCAACCCTGATATATTTACGTACACATATTTTTCATGAATTTTCTGCCTATATATTTTCTTAATCGCCGATTATCGCTTTAAGAGGAGAATGAGATCAATGAAGCGGGTAATTAGAGCACATAACGCGGATTATTAATTCGATATCTCGCTTTACGCACCGATTACGCTCTCGGCAAACACACAATTCGAGCCCAGCCCCAAGAAGTGTGTAACGGCATGTAATGTGGCGCAATCGCCGCGATATATACAAGGCAGTATATGTGTAACTCGCGAGACCGGTATTTACTATCGAGAGCCTACGAATTTTTGTTACACACGGTGCGGCGCGTTTAACTTTTTCTCTCTTTTCTCAGCGCCCTCTTACCTTCGCGGAGAGAGAGAGAAAAGAGTCGAGAGAGGCGCTTCGCCGCTTAATTGCGCAAACACACTTCGTGTTTTGCAATGCTTCTCGTGTAATTCAACCATCCACCTGCACGGACGCCTGGATGCTCCTCCTTTCCGCTTGCTGGAGAACGCATCATCGCCAAGATCTCGTGGAAGGATCTCAAATAGAGAAGGACTCTCGGGGGAATCTTATACCAGTGCTCTTTGATGATTTTAAAATTAGCTATTTAGAGAAAGATGAGATAAAAGTATGTAAATTAATTTTAAATGATTTGGTTTTAAATACTATATATCTAACATGATTGAGTAATAACTGTAGTTAATTTTTCTCAAAAAATTTGATACTATATATAATTAATATTAATATAATTTTATTTTATTATATAGATATTCAAAAATAATAGAAAAATTTAATTTTTCAAATTTTTTTAAATTGTTCCTACCGTTAATTACTTTAATTTTCGAAAATTAAAGCTTCTCAAATTAAAAAAAACTAAATACAAAAATAAAAAATTACTAAAAATAGAAAATCGAATAATTTACAGATCCTGCAAAAAGTGTCTAAATGGACAATATTTTTATTTTCTGAATAAAAATAAGTAAATACATAAATTGATAATTTTATTTATTTTTCTCGAGAAAATTGATATTATATATTAATATAATATAATTTACAGGGTAAGTAATAACTAGTTGATTAGTTAAAAGGTAAAAAGTTAATAATTTTTAATTAAACTAGTTATTTTTTACCTTAAACTTATTAACTTTTTCGCAAGTTAAATTTTTTTTATTTTTGAATACTATTGTTTTTTAAAAGTTATAAACGTATTATTTTTAAATTAAAGTATTATTAATTTTTATGTTCATTTGTCATCAATTGTAATTGCTAAAAAATATATTTCTATATAAAAATCAAGATTTCTTTGTTATTTGTTATTATAAATTTTAAAAGAACAAACAAAATTTTAATTTAATATAAATGTTTTTAAAAATTAACTTGTGATTATATGATATAGAATATATTTTTTAATATATTTTTATTTTATATTTTTTCAATCAAATATTCTTGTCAAACTATAATAAAACCACATCTTCGTTCATTAATATTGCATCGTTATTTATGTTTTATAACGCAGCAAATTAGATTAGCACAGATTCTATATTCGATATGTATGTCATTTATTTCTTATTTATTTAAATTGTCGTTGAACATGATCTACTACATTTTCTTGAAGAGAGAAAAAACGAATTTGAAGGAGAAATGAGAAGATAACTAATAAGCATAGCTGAAGCGGCCTGCTTTTAATTGATAGACGTGAACCTATACGTATGTATATAAGTCATAGACGTGGACATTTTTATGGGAGTTTAACGACGACGCGTTTTTTATGTATATCTCGTCCTAATTCGAATCCTATCGAGTATCCCGAACGCGAGAGACAGCGTTTGCGTGACTGCTTACTAAAAATTATTACGTAAGCAACGCGCTTTCAATTTTTTTCTTTCTCCCTCTCCTTCCATCATCGTCATGGTCCCGTTCCTATGATATGTTCAAGGGGGACCAAGGAAGTTTCCAGGTCGCGTCACACTTCGTTCCTATCACATTTTTCTTATCCAATTTTTTCTTTTTTTAGAGAGAGAATAATCTTTATTAGCTTTCTCAGCTATATTTGCAATACCAATATAATTTACATTAGCCTTACTTAACATCCTCTTGACGGCTCAATTTTTTATCTCAGCTGGTATAAAATATACATTTTCACTCTTTCAAAAAAACCCTTCTGTGACTCTAATTCTGAAATTGTATTACAAAGAGAGAGAAAGAAAAAGAGAATGATGGAAAAAATGACTGCAATGTTGTCTTTGAACGAGAGGAATCGTCTCCTCTAACAAT